AGGTAAGGGTGCTAGTGTGGTGTGTTAGCTGAAAAACATCAATTGATCTTTTTATTTTCACTATTATGACGTCTGTGTATTTTCATTGTATTTCCACTAAATTGTATCTACTTTTGAACAACGTCGGGAACAAACTATTAATTTTAAACATATTTCTGAACAGACTGTTCCCAAGGCTCCAAACTGCTCCGCAATTCGATGTGCTGAGTTGCGTCCCCTTGGCATGCTGGATCATATGATAGTTGGTTCGAATCGAACATTCTCCCTGATTATGCTTTTGTATAAAGGTTTGCTAGCACTAACCCCGTGTAAGTAGGTTTCCCTAAATTGTATAGACACGGGATTCCCTGCCAAATAAAGCTCAAAACGCGTACATAAGTGAAAATCTATACGAAGCTACGTAAAGCCCATCTCTACGCCCACTCACTCACCCATGAGCAACAGAATACAGGTGGTATACAATCTTTTGAAATTTATCTCCACTGCGCAGTTTATAGTCTTACTTATACAGAAGAAACATATTCGTCGAGTAAAATATTGGGATTCTTCCCGTATGCTGTATGCGTGTAGAGAAAATAGCACATGGCTTCATATCGAATCCAACAAATGTCCGCGACAAGCAAACGCATTACCCTTTGTCCTTTGTTAACTAGGAGCGGTGGCGTAGCTTAGTGGTTAAAGCGTTCGCTCGTCACACTGAAGACCCGTTCGACTCCCCGCATGGTACAATGTGTGAAGTCCATTTCTGGTGTCCCCCGCCGTAATATTGCAGGAATATTGCTAAAAGCGATGTATAAACGCACTCACTCCTTTGTTACCCTAAAACAATCTACAATACATATCCTGTAAACGCATCTTCCCATGCCTACTGCACTAAACCTGCATTCAAGAAGGAACTCCAACAAATCATGTTTGGCTTTCGTTGGGGAAAACGCCCTATACACTTAGCGTGTCTGGAGATTTTGAGCGAGGAGTTTCGGTGTTGGTTCTCGTGTTTCAACAATGAATCATGGACATAGGGGACAATCTAAGACTTAATTAAGCTATAAGTTCAGTTTAGAATGCAGCTGTAAACACGCATACATGTTTTAAAGTGCGTGTACGTGCGAATAGATGAAAGTTCAGATGGATACAGACTAATTGAAAATACTCGCAATTCAGTTTTGGGGGGATTTGTGTAAATGTATCGATTGTCAGGGGCGGATACAGAGAAAGCGGGGTGCACACTATTGAGAAAAGGAGGGGTGCACTCTTCATTTTCAGCGGAGTTTCAATGGTCATTTAACAAACTTTCAGCACAAAAGGGTGGGGGTAGAGGGGTGTGTGTGTGGGTGGGGGTGTCGGGGTGCGCACTCCTGCATCCACCCCTGGATCCGCCTATGGATTGTCATGCACTCGAGCGCACAAGTAGCTCAGTGACCCGTTTTACGAAGCGATCGTAGCTCTACCGCAGTCGTAAGTCTATGTTATGAGAGTTACGACAATCGTATCGCTGCGCGATGGCTTCGTGCAGTGAGCTCCAGGGCCTAGATTTTCGAAGCTCTCTTAGCGCTAAGATAGTCGTAAGTTAATGTTAATGTATGGCACTTACGACTATCTTAGCGCTAAGAGAGCTTCGAAAATCTGGCCCAGGGCCACATCCCTCAAAGCGATCGTAACCCTAATGTGATCGTAACTCCCATACTTTAACATAGACTTACGACAGTCGTAGCACTACGATCGCTTTGTAAAACGGGTTTTGATTTGCAGAGTTATGTCCCTTGTGCACACCAACCCATATGATTGTGGTTTGGAATCTTGGTGCGTTCCAGTTATGAATCAAGGTTTGTCACAACATCCGTGGTCGTTGGTTTCACCTAAGAGTTCTGCGTCTGAAACCCCATCACTTTCCTCTCACATTAAGCTCATTCGCAATATAACATAACTAACAGACTGTTCAAAGCGGTATTCACCTAACTCACTCACTCGTATTTTCTGAGAATGATACAGGAGAATGGTATGAAACCGACGATATCATTCGAAGTGTTCTGTTAATCTTGCAATGTTGAAAATACAGCAATCCCACTTCAGATTCTAAGGAAGTAAGAAGCATAATATTTTTCTACGTTGGATAAGGCGACATATACGATTCTACTTTATCATCTGGAGTAGCGGCCGAGGTTTGGTATGCCGGAATGTGAAGCTGTCCTTGGCATAGACATATCTCACGCTGTGTGTGTTATATATTGTGACTTAACCTTTCAGAAACAGAACTCTAAACCTGTCGAAAAGTAGAGAAGTGGAGGTGGAGTGAGTTAGTTAGGTTTTACGCCGCTTTTAGCAATATTCCAGCAACATCACGGCGGGGGACACCAGAAATGGGCTTCACACATTGTACCCATGTGGGGATTCGAACCCGGGTCTTCGGCGTGACGAGCCAACGCTTTAACCACGAGGCTACCCCACCGCCACGATCCGTTACTGACATACGTGGTGGAGGACATCAGCAACAGTCGGTGTGCTATGTATTGTGACTTAACCTTTGAGATACACGTACTATACATATAGATCGAAACTGATACTCAAACGTACCGTTGGTACTATTTGACCCGCGGGTATACAATTAACAAGACAGGGTACGTAGAAGCGTGATCCGTTACTGACAGAGGTGGTGGACATCAGCAATATTCCAGTGTTATAAATCGGCTGCGAAAATACCCGAATCGGCTGGAGGAGGTAAAACTTTGTATATCCATTCAGCGAGGCCAGGGTTTCACGAGCTTTCAGAAGATTCCAGTGTTGCCGTCTTACAGACGCGTCTTATCTGTGTGACCGAACTTCGCAGGTTCATAACGATATACATTGAATGTTTCGGGAAAGGTTTCTATAGCTTTTCTTTGCAAAATGGTTTAATCGCCAAGAATGACTGTCACTGGTTGATGGCCGGCAACAGCCGCTTAGATTGTGTTGATTATCGGACTGACACCAGCACCATGACCATTCTCATCAAGCAAGGGCCCTCAGAAAATTTTACGAACGTTTCGAAAACAATACATAGCCGCAACTCAAAGAAAAAGATATACTTGGTCGCATTCTAACTACTCGTCCCTTTCCGTCTACTTTCTGGTTACGGAAAGGGACGAGTAGTTTAAGTTAAATGTCAACAAAATCATGACCAGTCAACCTCTATTGATATCTTGTTCTTTAGGTGTTCAAACAGGCACATAGTTTCAAGACTGACTTGGACCTTGACATGAATGTTATAGTGTATGAAACATGCAAAAATTGTACTAAAGAAATTGCTTATTGAAAAACATTCAAGGGAAGTCTTGAAAGTCTATGAAGAAAATCCAGTGAACCATTCTTGAAATATCTTGCTGACAATTCAGGTTAACATGCTGAAATCTTCAAAGTGTCATCGTGACCCTGAAAATTATATGAAGGTCACCAAAATTGACTGGGCCCTGCGCGTTCCTTGGATGAAGCTTGGTGTCAAATATGAAGAAACTCCAGTGCATGGTTCTTGGGGTATCTCGCTGATAAGCATAACATGCAGGTTTATATGCTGAAATCTTCAAAGTGTCTCTGTGACCTTAAAAATTAAGTGAAGGTCGCCACAATTGACTGGGCCCTGCGCCTTCCCTAGATAAAGCTTGGTTTAAAATATGAAGAAAATCCAGTGAACGGTTCTTGAGATAGCATAACATGCAGGTTTACATGCTGAAATCTTCAAAGTGTCTCCATGACCTTGAAAATTAAGTGAAGGTCACCAAAATTGACTGGGCCCTGCGCCTTCCCTAGATAAAGCTTGGTATTGAATATGAAGAAAATCCAGTGAACGGTTCTTGAGATAGCTTAACATGCAGGTAAAACGTTAAAGTCCCCTCGTGACCTTGAAATGAAGGTCAAGGTCACCAAACCTGACTTGGACGTTTCTTATACTGTGATGAACCTAGTACCTATGAAAAGAATCTAGTGAACGGTTCTTAAGATATTCCAATTTGTAAGTACGGACGGACAGAGCCTAATACTATATCCCCATTCGCGCTAAACATGCCGTGGGGGATAATTAAAATATTGGGGATATCCTGTTTTTCATATTATCATTTCAATAACATCATTTATTTCCCAGGTGGTGCAAGATCAGTGAGTTATTAGAAACCCACAGAAAGTAAATAAGGTCATCAAGTGTATAAAATAGACAAACTCCAGGTACAAGCTTGACACCAGAATCTTATCATGAATGATTATTAAACGGAAGTGTCAGTTCGTCTGAAATAATTTGGTTGTTGCTTAATGCCGCACTCAATATTTCAGTGAGTGAGTGAGTGAGTTTAGTTTTACCCCCCTTTGAGCAAAATATTCCAGCAATATCATGGTGGGGAACACCAAAAATGGGCTTCACACATTGTACCCATGTGGGGAATCGAACCCAGGTCTTCAGGGTGACCTGCGAACGCTTTAACCACTAGGCTACCCCACCGCCCCACAATATTTCATACCCGTGAAGGTCCAGGTTAGAATATTGGCCTTCAGTAACTCATGCTTGTCGTAAGATCGTGTGATCACCGTGTGATCAGGATCGCTGACTTGGTTGACACATGTCATCGGATCCCAATTGCACAGATCGATGCTCATGTTGTTGATCACTGGATTGTCTGGTCCAGACTCGATTATTTACAGACCGCCGCCATATAGCTGGAATATTGCTGAGTGCGGAGTAAAACTAAACTCACTCACAATATATCAGCTTTATGGCAGCGGTCTGTAAATAATGGAGTCTGGATCAGACAATCCAGTGATCAAAAGCATGAGCATCGATCTATGCAAATAAATATGAGCAAAAACTTTAAACAATAGGCTACTCCAGTGCAATATATCAAAAATAGTATAAAAATACATACTCCTTCATATCTATGAATAAAAGAAAACAAAAGAAACCTTTGAAGTCAGTCAACACAGTCATAATACCCTTTCATACTGACCATAATCACAAAAATAAAAATAACAGGACTCCTTCATTTATGAGAAGTGAAAGTTTAATGAACTGAATGATTGGCTGAAAAGTTTAAAATTAACAATAACCAATGAAAAGCATAAAACACATGATGGTTTATTTCTGGGAGGAACCTCACCTTCAGACATGACAACTGGCCACATGTAGTATAGGTGAGGCACCTGGTATTGGACAAAACTTACATAAGAATATTCCCCAGTGTCAATGAAGTCACTGCTTAATGCCCTATATCACCAAATTCGGTCTTGTGCTGAAATTGATGGAAGTCATGATATTGCAGGCTTTGTAGGCCTGAGATTGAAACTTTAATGTAATACTGTGAAATCTGAAGCTGATGAACAAGGCCATTTTTGATACAGAAACTGATACTAGTACATGGGTTTAAATGTGGACAAAGATCGAAACTGTCTACAAGTGGAAGAAAAACAAGTCAATTTAAGTACAGAGAATCAAAACAAAGGGTAAGGGAGCAGTCATAATCAGGACATAACAATCGGGGCCCAATAAACCTACATTAAATTTATGATGACTGTCAGTGTTGGTTGTAACTATGCTGTAGATTTCATCAGGTCAATCACACATCATTTGAGTGCAAGTCAAGCGAGTGTGTCAGATATCCATGCCACTTCATAACTTGCAAATCAACTGAGTCAAAGAAATGATGCTCCCAAAAACTACATTGTAAATATCCATAAAATCATACATTTGGACATGTAGTCCAATTTTTAAATTGATTCAAAGCTCTTAAACTGATTCAGTTGGTCTTCAGTGATGATTCATGAATTAATACGTAATATGTAAGTGAGCGAGTTGGTTGGCTTTAATCATCCCATTCTAAACATTATTAAAGTTCTATCAGTTTGTTGTGGGAGGAAAACCCTAAGTGATGCAGGTCTTTGACGTTTACCACTATGGAGAAACCTACACCCTTAGGTTGGATGCTGATGATCAGACTTAACCAGGGATTACAATCACAGGTTTTGGCACACCAAAGGGCCACAACTCTGCACTGTGATGTGTGGCGCCTTAGTCGACCAGGTTACCCATGAAGTAATAATGCTGGTGGGGTAAATCTACAGTGCTGCTACAAACAGATTGGTACCTAAATGCCAGCTTAATCATTGATGAGCTCTCCCTGAAGTAAACCGTACCATAAACTATACATCATCTTTTCCACATTACAATCAAAGAGTAAAAATACAGTTTACTTTAAGCAGTGAAGAATGTTATGACTGTTGTATGTTGCAAGTTGAAACTTAAAATAAAACAGGACTAGGTTCCTTGAAAAAACAAGTTTGGTTTTACGCTGCTTTTAGCAATATTCCAGCAATATCGTGGGGGGAACACCAGAAACGGATTTCACACAATGTACCCATGTGGGGAAATGAACATAAGCCTTGACAAATGAATGCTTTAACCACTAGTCTACCCTTCCGACCCTTTTGTTGAAATAGATGGAGATTCAAGGTGTGTGTCTCTCACAAGAGACTGGTTAACAGCTTATGCCATTAACAGATCCACTAAAATAATGTAGCAATATCTTGTTGGAAAATCATGTCATTTCATTAATAACAAAACAAAACAAATGTATATAATCATCGGTGTGAAAAGAGAAATTAACCCTAGCATAAAATAGAAAGGCACACAAGATTATTTTTTTTTACAGTTAAAACAATAATGAAGCAATTTCTTATACTTATGGAGTGATACAAGAAATACAAATTTACACAAGTCTAAAAACTTTTTGAATAATTTACAAGGCATTATAAGATTTTTTTTTACAGATTTAAAATGTCTGTCAAAATAATCAATGCAGGCTATGTACAAATTATACTTGTCAATTGCAGATTCCATAATTAGCATAGGCCACTTGTCTTCATGAAAATGTCAAGAGCAAGCACTTTACAGCTCATAAATAATAGTCACTGACAAATCCTTCACCAAATTATGATATAAAACTGAAGTATTGCCACTCATATATTAATTCAAATAAATTCTTTTTGAGAAATCTTATACATGATGATCTTCCATAATGCACACTACATACATATTTAATAACTGATTCAAGAATTTTGATTTCTAATTCTCAAAATAAATATTTTCAGGATCATTGTCGCAATTTGCAAGCATGAATAACCTTAACTTGAAAAACTGTCAGCATCTTTGTGAACAGTTCACAAATATATACAGTAGATGGCAACTGAACATTGTAGCCAAGCTACTTAGTGCTGATAGTGTTGTCAAAAAAACATGGAACAAAGCCCCAACGCATGTTTCCAGTGGAAGATTGCCATTGAAGCATATGAACTCGTCAAAAAAACGTTAATTAAAACTCAGAATGTCACTGTGTATTATGGTCATCAAAGCAAACTTGGATGGATTATGGAATTTGATAAATATGACATAACAGTATGGTAAACAAGAAACTTGAATCGAATGTTTTGGTCAATGATATTGAAATAGATGGCAATGATGCATGCTCAGGTGAAACAATTGAGTTATGAAAAAACTAAACACTGAATACAATTATGTACACTTCAAACTATATGGCCTTTCAGGCAATAAAACATTGTCAGCTAGTATCCCCGATAAAGCATGCAGTAAGAAAGAAACAACACAAGTATGCAACACATGGAATGATGGATGGCTCAGTGTGGATACTGAGACTGGAACAAGACCGAGATAATTATTCGTGTTTTACACTGGTTCATAATTTTGACCATGAAAATTACACAACCATGATAGCACTTTTTGCCATAAATATATTTGCAGTTGCCTAAAGTTCAAAACACAACGGTTTGCACCCACATAAAATATCGCATATGAAAGTGTTTATGTCCTAAACAGGACAAGAAATTGATTAAAATTAGAATGATGCATTTTCTTTGAAGGTTTAAATATCTATTTCCTCAAACACAAAAACATGGATGGACAAAGACAAAACAAATCTTTTTTTCATATTTCACATATACACAAATAATCATATGTTGAAAGTATAATCATGCTGGTGTTGAGTTTTAGAATGACACACTTTCCATGTTACGGTACAAAATCTTATCACATTCTCTAGGCTGAAAGACCTGAATTTGATAAATTTGGATTAAGCATAAGGCATTTAGTCTTGTACTCAAATAAGTTCTACATATAGCAAGGGAAACACAAAAATGCTGTAAATGTTAAATTCCCTTCTAGTCCATCATTGCAGTTCATTAACAACATTTTGGCATGAATATGAAACTATTAGGATGAGGCGATGAGGTAATGTATAGAATGACATGATTTCTTCCGTTACTGGCAGTTTTTTGTACCGTGAAAGGCATTTTAGATGATATTTTTGGACAAACATTCACAGTAATTGAATAACATCAATGTTTCACCTTTTCACACATCCCCGGACACTTTTCTGACCTGTGCACATGGTTTGATTTTCTGCCCAACAATCCTGGAGATGGGAAATCCATCTTTGTACAATATTCTCGCCAGTTATGCCTGAATGTTCTCAATGTATTAATACGTTAATAAGAATCTGCTATTCGTAACAGATACATCATTGCATAATCAATCAAAACATATTTCAGTATTTAGATGCACCATTTGAGTGTAAAATCCCATATCCAAAGCTAAATGTTGCAGGTCACACAAACCATGTGCAGCATGAGGTGACCTCCATCTGCCGATATCCGTACCAAGCAGTGACTATAAGTAGGCTAACATCCATGAGAGGAGTGTGTGGCTGTGCGGATGTCAGTGGTAGCCCCCCTGTCTCTGTGATTGCTTCAGGAACTCTTCATAAGCTGCTTCTGTCTCATCATCCATCTCATCATCATTAGCACTGTGAAAGACAACAAGTTAATTAGTTTCTTTAGAAGTCACTCATGTTTCTTACCACATACTTAATGTTGGGCACAGTTATAATTTTCACATTTTCTAACATATAGCACTGGATAATTCTGACATGTATAAAATCCTGTATCATCAAAAGGCGCCAGGTCAATACCAAATGTAAGTTTCGACAAAACTATTCAGTGGTCTAGTAGTTATTAGCTGAAAACAAACAATACACAGTGGGCAGACAGATGGACATGTGATTGCCATATGGTGCCATTTTTTTAACAGGGAAGATGAAATGGCACTGAAAATCTTTAAGAACCTGGGTGTCGTACATGTACAAAACAACCTTGGCTATGACTGCTCTTAGTGTATGTTAAGATGTGGGAGCTACGATCACCTGCTTTGTATGATGGCACCCTGCTTAATTTTTACACTGAAGACCCATACACAATCCAGGTATGATTGAAAATGTCCACAACTGATCGATTTAATGGTATGAATGTTAAAATGCCCATGGTACTATGTTGATGATAATTTGTTTTGGCATGAGTTATCACCAAACATTTTTGCATGTTCTAAAAAAATGTACTATACATATATGATGAAATTTGGGTTAACTGATGTCTGATCCAACATAGAAAGCAAAGGCCCAATAATAGGGCCCGTCAGTAGGACATGGCACTTCGCAAGACCTTAGTACTTTGGTGCAACCAACGTTTCACACCTTTTCAAATGGTCTCCTGGTTGTCAGCTGACAGTAAAGAACTGTTTATCCTTGCAGTAACAACAAATATCAGAACTAACCATCCCCAAATTAGCCAACTAGTAAGACTGTCAACTGCTGTGACAGCCAAGCATGGTTGTACACTTGGTCCGGTCAAGTAAAGTCATAGTTGGCAGTCGCCCAATTTGGAACCAGAACTGGTTATTGACTACACGCTTCTCACCGGGAAATCTAGTACCAGAAGTAAACTGGACCCCGTCTTGCATATCGCAATATGGTGCGTACAAAGGGAGCTGGAAACCAGCTTAGTACCAGAAGTAGCACCCCGTGAGACTTACAGGCCCTATAACAAATATCAGATCAAGTAATTCAGATTCAGTGCAAATGAACAAATAGTGAGTACTTACTAATATCCAAAGTATGTCTGGTCCTCATTGTTGGACCAACTACTGTAAGCGTCATTGTGAACTCCCTCGTTGGATTCAGCCTGCCACTCCAGGAAGGCTTGCTCTTCATCTTCATTGAGAATATACTCTCCATCTTCCACCTCCTCATTGTAGAATCCTGCCTCCTCTCGAGTGATGGTCTGACCACTGGCATTGTAAAACACTGGCTCATTCTGGAACAAAAACAGATAGAATGGAAATTGCAATAATCTGCATCAGTGACCCACAGCTGGTACAAGAAGGTGTATGGTCCCAAATCAACACCCTCTAACAAGATGCAACAAATAAATAATCTATTTTAAAATTCAAAGCAATCCTGGAAATTCTATCGAAGGTCTTGCCATAATATTGAGCAAACTTTATGTATCACTCTTCATTTATTTCGTGAGTACGATGTTTCGATACAGATTCTTGTACCATTGTCAAGCAGGAAGTAATACCCACAAAATAAAGGAAGTTGTTATCCATAAAGTTTGTTCAACATTGTACTTCCCCAGTAGTGAGTATAGTTTTACGCCACACTTAGCAATATTCCAGCTATATGGCGGTGGTCTGTAAATGATTGAGTCTGGACCAGACAATCAGGTGATCAACAGCATGAGTATCGATTGATGATATGTGGCATCCAAGTCAGCAACCAGATCACCCAATCAAGTAAGTCCCCTCTTACGGCAAGCATGGGTTACTGTAGATCAATTCTAACCTGGACCTTCACGGGTTTCAACAGTACAGAGGCGGATGCAGGATTAGGGGGAGTGTGAGGAACACTCAACAAATGTGTCTGTGCTGCTCCATACCTGTAACAGTTCATGAGACACGGACCCATTGAATTCTGAGTCGCCACCTTGTGATGATGATGAAGATTCAGGCCGCCCCCAATTGGACAGCTTTAGGTTCAATACAGATTTGATTAAGAACTTGGTGTTTCTGAAATATATGAAGCAAATACAACATGAGGCATTAGCTGTTTCAGACTTTCAGCTATTTTACATTAAGTAAACAAAATAGATCTGATATTGATACAAATGAATTAAATAATAACTCACATTAATATGGTATCAAAAATGTAATTTTCTGAATAAAATTGATATTTTATACTTATCCTGACTCATGCTTATTGCTTGTCTTCTTCCTCTTGCGAACCTAGTGGAACACTTGTATCTCCTTATTGAAGCTCCCTTCAATAAAACATACATAAAATCACTACTCACCAGAGTTATCCCTGTTTCCGTTTTGGCGGGAAAAGTGGCGCCACTGTTCTCCCACGCTTCACTCTCTCCTGATTATGAGCCCGACACCTGAATTTGCAGGGAAATCCAAAGTGTCTAGTGGGGAGGTTGGGAGGGGGCTTACCTCATGAGTCAGGATAAGTATAAAATATCAATTTTATTCAGAAAATTACATATTTTTCCTTATCCTGACTCATGCTTATTGCTTGTAGAATCCGACGAATTGGAGGTGGGAAAAAATACTTTAGGATTTCATTGTAGTGATTTACGTCAATATATACCCCCCTATGGGAACTTCGTATTGGCACTGAATTTACTGCTAAATCTCTGCTGCTGTTTGCACCCTGTCCTTCCAGCTGCCTTTTGACGGGGACCACAATTGTTAACTTTTGGTCCTTTCTTCTGTTAACATTTTATGTGGATTTTGCGACTTCCATCTCTTGATGCAAGCATCAAGGGAGAAGCCGACCCTTTCCTGTACGAGTATTCTTACAAGTACTGGGTCATATCACTAGTCGCTAGATCGCATTGAGACTTAAGCAGAACTCTGCTGAGTGTAGGCTTGGTAAGTCATGTGATAAAAGAGCTTGGTGACTTCGCCCTCAACGCCTTTGTGGAACTGTCAACTGTTGTGCTACAACCAGTGGGCCGAAATGGTGAATGCCTGAGACGTCCTCGGTGGCGATATCTCTCAAGTAGTGGTTTGCAAACACCATGTCCGATTTCCAGAAGCAGCCCTCCATTATCGTCTTGAGTGAGCAATTCCCATGTAGAGCGAGTGTTGACGCCAGAGCTCTAACTTCGTGTGGGTTGGAGGCTCTTGGAGGATCAAGTCCTGCTGCTTTGTAGGCCCGTAGTATGACAGTTCTGATCCAGATTGATATCGTAGTGCGGGAGACCTCCATCTGTGTCGCTGTCGATATCGGGACGAAAAGTCGCTTGAACTTGCGTCTCCTAGTTCTGGATCGTTGTAGATATACTTGCAATGCTCTCACTGGGCACAAGGATAAGTCATGCGTATCTTGTGGTCCAAGGACGGAGGATAATGCTGGGACGTGGAATTGTCTGTCCGGTTGACCTGGCAGTTGATTCTTTGCGATGAAATCCCATCGTAGTCCCATATGCACTGTGTTTTGATTTTCATCACAGCGTGTTCTCTCGTAGTCTAGAGCATGTATTTCCGACATCCTGGCTGCTGTTGCTAGGGCTAGCAGGAACAGCGTCTTATGTGTCAAGAATTCGAAGGATGTTGTCTCTAATGGTTCGCTGCTCTGGCGGAGCACCCTCTCTTGTTCAAGCACGCGTTGATACAGTCCACACGCGTAGTTGGAACGCCCCTGGGTTGCCGTGCGCCTGCTGTGTGTGAGGATGTACTAGTAGATTCGGCCACTCTGGTAGTTGCAGCTGTGGTGGTCCTAGTTCTTGTATGAGAATGGGGAACCACACTCTCGCTGGCCAGTAGGGCGCGACCAAAATCAGTTGGAGGTTCTTGGTCTGGCTGATTTTCTGCAACACCCTCGGTACTAGCGCTGGCGGTGGAAACGCGTACCCGTTTAGTCCTTCCCAGGATATGCTGAGAGCGTCCATTGCCCACGCTCGTGGATCTGGTACTGGAGAGACGAATGTTGTCAGCTGATTGTTGAAGCGTATGGCGAAGAGGTCTATTAGAGGGGCTCCCATCTCCTTGATGATCTGTTTGATGATCTCGGGATGTAGCATCCATTCCGTTGGAGATGGTTGAGTTGTACGGGAGAGGGCGTCTGCTATGACATTCTTGGCTCCTGGAATGTGGCATGCTCTTATGTGGATGTTCAGATCGTCGATTAGGTCGAACAGTTGAAAGCAGAGGTCCAGCAGGTTCAATGATCGTGTTGATCCTTGCTTGTTTATGTAGAACGCCACTCTTGAGTTGTTCGTGTGTACCATGAGATGCGCATTCTGTAGAATGTTGCTCCAGTGGAGTATGGCGTTGACGACTGCTTTCATTTCCAGCATGTTGATGTGCAGACTTTTCTCTTCCTTGGTCCATTTCCCGGCCGCCCCATCGTTGTCGAGGTGTGCTCCCCAACCTTGGAGTGATGCGTCCAAATACAAATCAGTCTTGCACTCCGGCTCTGCTAAATAGATGCCTTCGCAGACATTCGATCTCTGGGACCACCATAGTAGATGAGGTCTGAGGTAGTCTGGGAGACCGAAGGGGTCTGGGTCGTCGAGATGAGCATTGATGAGGACCTGTAACGGGCGTAGCTGTAATCTTCCTCTGGCTGTCATGTCTTGTGCGGATGTGAGGAGACCCAACAGACTCTGCCATTGTCGTAGTGGCCACGGAGAGAGTAGGGCTTGTGAGATTGTCTGTTGAATCTTGAGCCATCGGTCCTCTGGTACGACGATGCGGTTCTGCGTCGTGAGAAATCTGATGCCTAGGAACTGCAGGTCCTGTGTAGGTTCTAGGTCCGACTTGAGTAGATTCACTAACCACCCCAGCTGTGTAAGCAGTTTGATGGTGAAGTTCAACTGTAGTCTGAGACGCTTGGGATCATGATGTACTTGAATCCCGTCGTCGAGGTAGAAGGCACTGTGTAGACCTCGACGATGTAGATATGTGGCTATGGGTTTCGTCACCCTTGTAAACAACCAGGGGGCCGATGATATTCCAAATGGCAGGACCTTCCATTGGTAGTGTAGCCCGTCCAGTGTAAACCTGAGGTACTTCCTCGAGTCTGGATGTACAGGAATATGCAGGTAGGCATCCTGTAGATCTATGCTGGCCATGTAGTCCATCGGACGGACGAGGTGGATTAGTTGACGTTGTAGTATCATGCGGAACTTGGGAGGTCTGCTTAGATAGTCTCTGTTGAACGTGCTCATATTGTAGATGAGTCAGAACTTTTCTTTCGAGTTTTTCTTTGGCACTAGGAAAACTGGGGAGTAGAAAACTGGTGTGATGTTGGCTTGATCCACAACCTCTATGGCTCGCTTTACTAGTAGAGATGAGACCGCCTCTCGTAATTTCTCTATCTGATGGGTCTGGAAATCGAACTTGTGAGGGTCGACTCGAAGCGGCGGAGAGGCCTGTAGTTGTATGCAATATCCGTCTCTTAGGATGCTGGATACAAACGGATCTTGAAGTATTCCCCAGTTTTCCCAGTACAGCTGAAGACGTCCACCCACTTGTGAAGGTTGTACAGGAACGGCTGGGGGTGGAAGACTCCAGTCGTTCCGAACCCTTCTTTCATCGTCGATGATCCCTGGCGCCTCTGGGTGCCCTGCCTCGTCTGGACCTTGCTCTGTAATTGCCGGCTGGGCGACAAAAGGAATCTTTTCCGCCTCTGGAGGAACCCACTTTCTTGTCCCATGCTTTCTGTATCCCGGGAAACTTGGACCTGCCCGAGTAGCTCTGGGATGTCTGCCTGATGACGCTGGCCAGAGTATCTATGGATCTGATCATGAGGACCTCTCTAGAGTCTTTGGTAACTTCCTTGGCAACCTCGTCGATCTCTCCAGCGAAGATGGAAGGAGTTGACCACGGGGCTGTGTAGAGTTACTTGGTGAAGTGCTCACTCCAACTGCAGGAGGCGAGGAGACCTTGTCGACGTGCTAGTCTCAGCGCTGCGGAGATGGATGAGAGATGGTCTTTCATAAACTGTTGGTCCTTCTTCTGCATAAGGAGGGCCGAGTATATCATCCTGTCTTCTTCCGCAGTAGAGTCTCGGATCTTGATCTGATCTGTTGAGGCCGAAGAACTTCCGCCTGGTCATAGTTTCGACTTGTGCCAACTTCTTGTCTTCGATTTTGTAAGACTTGGCCTTGGCATCACTGATGACTTTAAAGTTCTCATCGATGTCCTGTGCCTTCAGGAACGGATCCATGTTGTGGGAAGAGAACTTTTTGGCGTTGAACTGTGGCAGATGCGGCGCCTGGGCTTTCGTGGCTTTCTTGAAGGCTGCGTCCAAGTTGTCTGGGACCGCTGCGATGGGATCCATCAGCGGGAGAGTGATCGTGTCAACATCATCATCTTGCATGAGATAGGTATGAGCCGTATTATCGTCCTTAGAGGGTGACGCCAAGTCTAGACCGTTGGCCATCCAGTAGCGTGATTTCAGAGTCCGAGAAGATGATCCCGCCGTCGTCCTCAGTGACAGGAGTGCTGAGTAAGGGACGTTGATCCTCCTCCGATGGTGATCTAGGTGGAGACCTTTATGCGACCGCGGGATCTGTGTGAGACTCCTGCGCTGGAGACTTCGGGGCTTACCTTCGTGGAGACTCCAGCGGAGATCGGCCCGGCGATCTGCGCCTGTAGGATGACCCGCGTGGAGACCTGCGCCGGAGATGAGCTGAACGTAATGCCTCGGTGAATCCCTTTGACGATCTGCGCGATGCGGAAGATCTCTTGGATACTGTATCTGTACCCCTTCGCGAAAGTGCCTTCGCTAATACTGATCATCTGAGTCCGCATCTGGGGATAGGCTTACTGGTCCTTCGCGGAGCCGCTTCTTCGCGAATGCTGGTCGTCCGATTCCGTATCCGGGATGGGCAAGTCTTCCTTCGCGAGTGCCTTTGCGAATGCTGATCGTCTGAATCCGTAGCAGGGGATGACCGAGTCGTCCTTTGTGAGGGCCTTCGCGGATGCTGATCGTCCGAGTCCGCCGCAGGGGATGGTTGAATCGACCTTCACGCAGGCTGGTCCTGAAGAGTAGATCTGTTGCCAGACGTCACGTTGATGGATGGCCCCTCAGAAGAGTCGACTGCGTTGGAGCCTTCACCAAGGCTCGGGTCATCTCTGTGGGCTGGCTGTGATCTCTTCTCCAGGCCGTAGCGCTGCTCCATCATTTCCATAATCTGTTGGGAAAACTGCTGCATGAAGTCCCCCGGGTTGAATGTCTGCGGTGGTAGTAGCGCTGCCCTTTCTGCGGTGGTAGCGATGTGGCCCACAGATCGCTCATCTGTCATCAGCGTAGATACCTCGGGTTGCGTGGAGATCTGCGCTGAAGTCACCGTAGCTGAGACTGGTCTCTTCTTGTGATGAATCTCTGGGATGACAATCGGCTGGTCATCGTAGAGTCACAGTTCCGTCAACCGGACAATCTCGGCTGAGAAGGTCCGTGTCGTCTGCACTGACTTCCCCGTGGAGGTGGTCGACGCCCTGGGGGTGCGGAGCCGGCGCTGGGTAGAAGACGACTTCCTAGTCTTAGGCTGTGACGAAGGGACGTCCGGAGTAGCAGGTCTCTTCTTGGAGGTGGCGGACACCATCCCACGCCCCTCCGCCGAGGGAAACTCCAGCGTAACACCAGACGGAAGGGGGTCGTCAGACATCAGTTGACTGGTGAGGGACTCAGCTGGTTTATCTGTCATGACCTGATCAACCCGTCTCAACCTATCTGCAGCACTCCTAAGGACACAAAAAAGGTATTTATTAAATGCAGATTTAGTTAAATGCTGGCAATAAATGCAGCGCGAGCTGGAAGAACATGGTACCGTGCAGCTAGGGCACAGTTGATGAGGGTCAGCAGCAGAGAAACGATATCTACAATTGAAACAGGTTTTCATGAAAATGTAAACAACTGAACAAACACAGACTAAACCGTGAATAAACAGTGCTAAATAAGATTAAATATCAAACCATATTGTTGAAAGATACTAGCTAAACCTCTATGAAGTATAATAGAGGGGGACTAACTAAATAATAAAAGGATATAGTGCCGTATAGGAGACACAGGCGCTCTCACAACCTGCTCACAGGGCGAAGAAGGAGAGAGTGAAGCGTGGGAGAACAGTGGCGCCACTTTTCCCGCCAAAACGGAAACAGGGATAACTCTGGTGAGTAGTGATTTTATGTATGTTTTATTGAAGGGAGCTTCAATAAGGAGATACAAGTGTTCCACTAGGTTCGCAAGAGGAAGAAGACAAGCAAAAAGCATGAGTCAGGATAAGGAAAAATTATATATATCGATCACAATACTCGGTCATGCTTCTTTATTGTTGACATGGATTTCTATTCAAAGGATAATAGTAAGCAGTAGTGTTTTTGATAGCTCCAATTTTCTTTAATGCTAATCCATATCCTTTTCTTGGAACAATGCTTTAAGAGTATCTGTTTATGTATTTCATCAATTTTATGCTTATATGATAAAGAATGAACTTCAGGAAATCAAATGATAAACCTGTGTACTACTGGTTTCCGGTATTAACTTACTCTTCTAGCGACCTTGATTGCATAACGAGTTGTAATTGAGAAAATACTTCATCGAAATGATCAGCTGGTTCCATCATGTCCTCCATGCTTGCACCAACAAGCTGTGAACACAAACACAACTTATTCCTGCAGTCTCAGTTGGAAATATCACAGCTGACAAAGAAATCTAGCAAAAACAAATGTTTGCGACTAACATGGCAATGTCCACCCTCCCCCCAGACAATCCAGTGATCAACAGCATGAGCATACGATGACATTGTTTGCTGAGAAGAAAAAGTATTTTCTTATGCACAGGCACTGATAAGGTAGCGAATATCCTTCAGCGACATGCTAACAACGAAATGATAACAAAATGTAAGAAACTAGGCTCAGATAATAAGTGTGTCCATTGTTACTAAGTTCCCACAAGCAGACTTCCATTTGTTTGAAGTAAACATTATTTATCTGTCTGTCGATTTATTACTGTGTGTGACTTCAGCCTCTAGTCCTAAATCAGAGGCCGTCTAATTGGTCTAGTAAATTTGGGTAGTAATTTTCCCTATAACACCATGAAAATCCACATGGTGCTAAGAGCCAGATTTGGCTCGTAAACTGAAAAGTTTCCATGTCAGTTACCTTGAGCAATTGACAGGAACACTTGACTGTCTCTTTGCCAGGTTGGGATAACAATGTGAGAACCAGATCTTTCAAAATATTTGGAAGGATTTTCATCTTCGTTGTTCTTCCATCTGTTGATGGAACCTGTGCACAAAGCAAGACAGGGAATGAGCAAGTGAGTATGGTTATATGTGTTCAGTGTCCTCACACACAGGAAAAGTGAGGTAGCCTTGTGGTTAAAGAGTTCCCTTGTCACACTGAAGACCCAAGTTAGATTCCCCACATGGGTACAATGTGTGAAGCCCATTTCTGGTGTCTAGACTTCTGATACTGCTGAAATTCTCCCAACAATGGTATAGAATGCAAGACACACAATATCTTCAGAAGCACTTATACACATCTTATACACATCTGGGCCTCCTTTCACAAAGCACTAAGGTGAACGTAAGTCACTAAGTTAACCTTAGTGCAATGTTAAAGAATGGGAGTTAAGGTTAATCTTAGTAAAGGTTGCTTCGTGAAAAGCCCCAGAACACTAGGCTACCCCATCGGCCCTTTTACATTAAGTTTTCGGGTATACAATTACATCACTAACTACGTAGGTACCCATTCATTGTTGGGTAAGCCGGGCCATATTTCAAGCAAAGTCAAAGGACGAAGACTACACTACGTGCTGGGGATGGCTGTCAATGGATCATAGAGATCGATCGTCAGTAAATGAAAATCGACCGATTATTGATAAATATGAGAGAATTAACTTTGAGCAAAAATGACTAAAAAATCTGAAAGAAGTCAACATATTTCACATCAGTGGTGAGTGGTGACATGTAGGCTTGGAATACTAACAAAATACCATCCTAAACATACTTTAGGAGCAGCCCATGAATAAAGAATATTTTCTGAATAAATTTAACAATTACTTTATCCCAATAGATCATGTACAATATTATCTATTACACAATTTTCATACCAATTTTCATTAATAATGATTCCCATGTACGATATTTCCAATTATTAGTCTTTTAGCCAGCCCTTCTTCATGCAACTTGTGTTTCAGTGAGGAGTTTGCCTGAAGCCCCCAAAACTCTCAGGAGGTGAGTTTGTGCATCCAGCGCATAGGACAGAAGGCAAACAAGTCTTGATCAAACAACACAACAGAATCTAAAATGCAGCTGAGCTTAAAAGATAGAGACCAGACACAACATTTATCTCATATCACAAAGTATGCAATAATTCAGCTTATACAATGCAAAGATGATATATTATCATTCCAAACACAAACACATAAAAGTGTTATTACCTCCAAGTTTAGGAATAATTCCCCCATAAATAACGTGAAACCAGTCAGTTCATCAAGTTTGTCTGGAAGCGTGACCAGCAGCTCTCGTTTTTCATATTGTTTCTGACATCTGAAATGAACATTGTAACATCTGTTAGAAAGAATTAGATTGATGAACAGATCTCAGGATGAACAGATTATTCAACAAGTGTTCACTTATTGTAGTTTATTCAGACATCATATTTCATGTGAATCCCGTAATAAAATGGCATATGCTGAGTGGCCATGCTCGTTAATAATAAAGAAACCCATCACATCAGGAAATCACTTCAAAGTTATGATAATTAAGAAATAGTTTTCAGCACCGCAAATAGCTTCGTAAAAGAACTTCTTTCATTTTTACATTCATCACACAATAATACCACTTTATTGAATAGGTCACATACTTCAACATATCTTAAGTATGAAAAGAGTAAAATTTTCTGAGTAAAATTGATATTTTATACTTATCCTGACTCATGTATTATTGCTTGTCTCCTTCCTTTCCTGAACGTTAGTGGAACACTTGTATCTCCTTTTTGAAGCTCCCTTTCAAAATAACAGACGTAAAATCACTACTCACCATGAGTTATGTCCCTCTGGTTTTGGCGGGAAAACAGCGCCACCTGTCTTCCCACAATTCACTCTCTCCGAATAGCTAGCCCGACACTTCGATTTACAGGGAAATCCAAAGTGCATAGCCGGGAGGTTGGGAGGGCTTACCTCATGAGTCAGGATAAGTATAAAATATCAATTTTACTCAGAAAATTACATATTTTTCCTTATCCTGACTCATGTATTATTGCTTGTAGAATCCGTCGGATCTGGTGGTGGGACAAGCCACTTCTGGATTCCAATAAGTGATTTACGTCTTGCATACCCCCCTATGGGAACTTCCTGGTAGCACTTCTAATTTACTGCTAGGCTCTGCTGCTGCTGTAACCCTTTACTTCCAGCTTTCTCTGATGGGGGGACCACAATTGTAAACTTTTGGTTCTTGCTTCTGTTTACATTTTATGTGGATTTTGCAACTCCATCTCTTGATGCGAGCATCAAGTGGAGAAGCGACCCTTTCCTGTACGAGTATGTCCTTACAAGTACTGGGTCTTATGACTTATGCTAGTCTGTCTTAGACTTGCATATGGACTCTAAAGCTGTAACTCTCCTGAGTGTAGGCTTTTGCAAGTCATGTGATAAAAGGGCGAGACTCTGTCTCAGCGCCTCTGTGGAACTGTCAATTGTTGTGCTACAACAAGTGGGCCGAAATGGTGAATGCCTGAGACGTCCTCGGTGGCGATGTCTCTCAGGTAGTGGTTGGCAAACACCATGTCCGATTTCCAGAAGCAGCCCTCCATTATCGTCCTGATAGAGCAATTCCCATGTAGAGTGAGTGTTGACGCCAGAGCTCTAACTTCATGTGGGTTGGAGGCTCTTGGAGGATCAAGTCCTGCTGCTTTGTAGGCCCGTAGTATGACAGTTCTGATCCAGATTGATATCGTCAGTCGGGGAGACCTCCGCCTGTGTCGCTGTCGATATCGGGACGAAAAGACGCTTGAATTTCCGTCTCCTGGTCTGGATCTTTGTAGGTAGACTTTCAATGCTCGTACTGGGCACAAGGATAGGTCCTGCGTATCCTGTGATCCAAGGACTGACGATAGTGCGGGGACGTGGAATTGTCTGTCCGGTTGACCTGGCAGTTGATTCTTTGCTATAAAGTCCCATCTCAGTCCCATATGCACGATGTTTCGATTTTCATCAAATCGTGTCCTCTCAAAGTCCAGAGCATGGATTTCCGACATCCTTGCTGCTGTTGCTAAGACGATCAGGAATAGAGTTTTCTGCGTCAAGAACTCAAAAGATGTCCTATCTAATGGTTCATAAGCGTCACTGGTGAGATGCCATAGAACTATGTTGAGGTCCCACGTCGGAGCTCTAAATCTCTGTTGTTGGTCCTCCAGTTTAAAAGAGCGTAGTAAGGCAAGTAACTCTGGTACCTTCGTCAGTTTTACAATCGTCCTCATAGTGATAACTGAGCTCAATGCCGCTAGGTATGTTGAAAGTGTTGACCCTTTTAACCGCTTCGTTTGTCTTAGGTGACAAAGATAGTCCGCCACTTGAGGGTGTGTCGCTTTTATGGCTGTGAAGTCTGTCTTCAAAGCGTAGGTCTCGAAGCTTCGCCACTTGTCGTCGTACTAGCTGCGTGTTGACATGCGTAAAGCTAGTGTGACCGCTGCTCTGGCGGAATATCCTCTCTTATTCAAGCACGCCTTGATATGGTCCACGCGTGTAGTCGGAACACCTCTGGGCTGCCGTGTGCTTGCTTTGTGTGTGGATGTACTAGCAAGTTCGTCAACTCTGGTAGTTGCAGTTGAGGCGGTCCTAGTTCTTGTATGAGAATGGGGAACCATATTCTCGCTGGCCAGTAAGGCGCGACCAAAATCAGTTGCAGGTCCTTCGTCTGACTGATTTTCTGCAACACTTTCGGTATTAGAGCTGGTGGTGAAAACGCGTAAGCGTTTAGTCCTTCCCAAGAGATGCTTAGAGCATCTGTTGCCCATGCTCGTGGATCTGGTATTGGCGAGACGAATGTTACCAGTTGATTGTTGAATCTTGTGGCAAAATCTATTAGTGGCTCTCCCATCTCTTGTATGATCTGTTTGAAGATCTCTGGATGTAGCATCCATTCTGTTGGGGATGGCTGCGTTGGACGAGATAGTGCGTCTGCTATCACATTCTTGGCTCCTGGAATGTGGCATGCTCTTATGTGGATGTTCAGATTGTCTATTATGCTGAACAGTTGAAAGCAGAGGTCCAGAAGGTTCGCCGACCTTGTTGATCCTTGTCTGTTTATGTAGAACACCACTGTGGAGTTGTCCGTATGTACCGTCAGATGAGCATTCTTCAAAATGCTGGTCCAGTGGAGTATGGTGTTTATCACTGCTTTCATTTCCAGCATGTTGATGTGCAGATCTTTCTCCTCTATGGTCCATTTCCCAGCTGACACTTCGTTGTCGAGGTGTGCTCCCCAACCTTGGAGAGATGCGTCCACATAGAGATGCGTCTTGCACTCCGGCTCTGCTAATTAGGTGCCTCCGCAAATATTCGATCTCTGAGTCCACCATATTAGATATGGTTTTAGTCTGTCCGGGAGTCCGAAGGGGTCCAGTTCGTCCAGATGTACATTCACGAAGACCTGTGTGGGCTCCAGTTCCGACTTGAGGACTGAGTAGGCTCTGCCAGCTTCGTAGTAATAACGGAGAGAGTAGCGCTTGAGATACAATGGCTTGTATCTAGATCCAATGATCGTGAACCCTTGCCGTGTCCGTAAGGGAAATGAAGCAATGTCCGACTCTGTGACTGCCATCGTTATGAAGTCTATATAAAGTTGACTGGCTGCCAATCACCAAAAGTCCGTCCAACGTATGTTGCTGCAATTCGCCTGATGAATCGTCTTCAATGCTGACAGGGAAGGTCTCTAACCCCGTGAAGGCAGCCAAATCACGTAGGTCCCGTCTAACTGGACTGTAATTGAGGCCTTCCTCCCTCGTTGAAAGGTTGTTGTCACTTGTAACCCATTTCCTGATATGTGAACTACGTCCGCCTTCTGCGCAGGGCATTGCCTCTCATGGTCCAATCAAAATGAAGCATTTTGATTCCTTTAGCTTCCTGCGATGTGACGTCACCGGTGTAGCAGCAAAAAGGTCCTTGTAGAATCAAGTGCCGCCGTTGATATCTTATCAACACCCGGTCTTGTCCAAAGCCTTCCGGAGTTACACGAGTAACCATGTGTATAGAGGGTTGACTGGTAAACGCGCGATAATTTTCGCCGCGTAATACCGATGTAGGTAGGCTGTTTTCCTGGCTGCTGTGACTGTTACTTCAGTCCTGAAGATACTGCAGTCGTCCTTTTATACAGATGATCAGCTGAAGTCTACACCTTCTCAGTGCTGCTACTTGTAGACTGCATTCATCGATCTCAATGAAGCGTCGTAAATTACCCTCTTTGTGTTGAAACACACAGGTCCTTGTAGAGTTGATGCTCAACTTTGTTGTAAATTCTACACAGGGAGTCGTTGATGATTTTGTAGTTTCATAGCCTTAGCAAGGCTGCTGCTGAACCACGCCACTGTGAATACCTGCAGATCTGTACAGAAGTGAAGATCTCTATGTGGCCATGAGTCCCGTTATTATCCTCTGATGTAGATATATCTATCCAAATTTCTCAACGATGTGAATCCCGTCCTGGATTCAGTCTGAAGGTCCGCGCTGGTGATGAATTTCGGATAAGAGTACCCCTCTTAAACTTCAACACGTGTCCCTCAGTCTTTGCGGCGGCGAAGATCTTTTCCTTCGAGGGTGATGCTAGGTCCAGTCCATTAGCCATCCCTCTGTATCATGTCCACTGGTATATGATGGTTGAATATCCTTGGAGATCTGCGTGGTGATCTGCGTGGCGCTCTACGTGGTAATCTATGTGGCGATCTAAGTGGCGATCTGCATCTGTATGGCGACCTGCGTGTAGGTGAGCGTCTTCTAGGCCGGGATTGCCTTCCTGGCAATGTATCCCTAAGTGGTGAATCCCGCGACGATCTGCGAGGTGTTGTTGACGCCCTTGAAGATAATTCAGATGACCTTCGCGCAGGTGAGAGATTTTGTTGAGGGTCTGATTCCCGAGACATCTCTCTAGACCTTCTGGGTGGTGTAGGTTTCTTTCTCTGTGAAGTGGGTAGCCTGCGTGAAGGTTCTTCATTAGCCTCATCATCTGATGACTATCTCATTGGTTCTGAAGAGTGTGCCGTCCCGCGCGCAGGTTTGCTGACGTCACGTAGCGTAGATCTGCTCTTAGTCCTAGAGCTAGATTCTCTGGTAGGCCTCTAAGATGTATCATCAGTGTGGGGTCCTTCGTGCAGCTCTGGATCCTCTCTGAGGTTGATGACTTGGGCATGAGAGCCGTCTGGCTATCCGTCATGCGAGGCTCTTTCTTGGTCGGATGAATGTCCCTTCCTTCGCGCAGGTTCGTTGACGTCATGCAGGGTAGGTCTGCTCTTAGTCCTAGAGCTAGAACCTCTTGTAGATATCTCAGAGGCACCACCGGTGTGGGGTCCTTCGTGCAGCACTGGTTCCTCTTGTCGGTTGATGACTTGAGCATGAGAGGCGGCTGCCTGATCATCATGCAAGGTCTTTCCCTGCGCGAAGCGCTTCTCCATCAGGTCCATCATCTGTTGGGAGAATTGCTGCATGAAGGTCCCGGGGGTTGAATGTCTGCGATGATTGTAGAGATGACGCATCTGATAGGGTAGCGATATGGTCCAGGGATCGCTGTACCTCATTGGTACCTGCTGCCAGTGTAGAAGGTAACTCAGACTGCGTTGATAATGTTGCTGACGTTACCGTTGCTGAGGCCTGCGTCTTCTTCTTATGCAGTATCTCTGGGATGAGGATAGGCGGTTCTTCGTACAAGCCTATTTCTTCCATCGGGACGACGATCTCGGCCGAAAGTCCTTTGTAGTCTGCGATGAACCCCCAGTAGATCTCGTTGAAGCCTTAGTAGTATAAGGCTTTTCTGCGACAAAGATGACCTCTTCTTCTTCGTATGGGTTGAGGAGTTGTCCGGACGTAGATGATCTTTCTTCGACGTAATGGCGGACTTCATCCCACCCATCTTCTGAAGACGCCTCGCAGGTCACTGGATGGTAGTATGTCGTGTGACAACGACAAACAGCTCTTTAGGGACTCAGCCGGTTAGCCATGACTTGTAACAGCCGTCTGGATTTATCCCTAGCCGTCTAAGCACAGAAAAAATAATAATTATTAAATTCCAAATTTGTTAAATGCTGACACAATTTACAGCGAGAGCTGGAAGTACATGTTGCTGTGCAACTAGGGCACAATAAATGCGGGTCTGCAGCAGAGAACCTAACCTGCAACGAAAACAGGTTTTCATGAAATGTAAACAAACTGAACAATCACGTAAAAGCCATGAATAAACAGTCAAATTACGAATAAATTTCAAACCATATTGTAGAAGGATACTCCCTAAAACCTTATAAGGTAACTTATAGGGAAAATAACTAATTAATCAAAGGATACAGTGCCGTATTGGAGACACAGGTGCTCTCCCAACCGTCCACTAGGGCGAAGAAGGAGAGAGTAAAGCGTGGGAAGACAGGTGGCGCTGTTTTCCCGCCAAAACCAGAGGGACATAACTCATGGTGAGTAGTGATTTTACGTCTGCTATTTTGAAAGGGAGCTTCAAAAAGGAGATACAAGTGTTCCACTAACATTCGGGAAAGGAAGGAGACAAGCAATAATACATGAGTCAGGATAAGGAAAAATAAATATATATACACATGAAAAGATCTTAAGTATGACAAGATATACTTCATAGTCATGTAAAAATCTTGACAACTCAGGTTTAGTGGAAATGCCATGATATTACAGTTTCTAATCAATACTGGACTTATGAAACCATTTGCTATGCTAAAACATACCTTTTCAAAAAGGCATTCCTGAATGTATTGAACAAAGCGTGATCTTTGAGTCTGCTGCATATCTGTTGACATATTCTGGCCCCTGTGTATCGAAAATTGGCCTCAGCAACACTCTGAAAAATGCCAAAAATACATACAAGACACCCTAACCTAATTTGTAAATAAACAGGAATCCAACACACAATTCCAATTTAAGTTTGTAATAAGTGATATGAATGTACCATGTTCGATGTGCTTCAAGCCACCATTTAAGGAAAACACATGCTTTCTGTTATTGGAGTAGACCTCTTCTTCATTATGTATATACTTTGAAGCAGAATAAAGTGAGTGAGTGAGTATGATTTTAAGCAATATTCCAGCAATATCATGGCTGGGAACACTAGAAATGGGCTTCACCCATTGTACCCATGTGGGGTATTGAACCCAGGTCTTCGGCATGATGAGCAAACGCTTTAACCGAAAGGCTACCCCACTGCCCCAGCAGAATATGGATATGCTACAGTTTGTAATGACATGTGAGGACCTTGTTACACCTTTGTTCTGCTGAATGCACTAACAGGAGTGAAATTACAGCAGTATTATGGATGACTATGAAGACGAATGTGCCATGAGGGCTGCAACGAATCCAATGTGAAGTGACCATGATACCCATCACAAACATAAGGCATTGAATATGAATATTGAAAAGCGAATACAAAAAGTCAGAATTATTCAATATATTCAGTGAAATACAAGAAAAAATTGTGTCCAAGGACACGGATGCCCCCGCTGCTGTAGGAAGAGTTCCCTACACTGAGTACACATCTTTCGAGTCCCAATGGAACACATGTATAAGCTTAATCAATTCTGCTTAGTACTTTTTGTGGAGAAGTGGATAGACTTAATCCCCTATTTCACTATCATTAGAGAGAAATTCAACCAAATTTATCTAAGTTCAAATGTCTCTAAACATACAAAAAAAACCTATAAAATACAAAAACAAAATATGAGATGCACACACCTTTAGAGTCTCTATAAAAGACATATGTAAGCTAAATGAGTTTTGTGCAGTGGTTTTTGAGGAGAACTGGATAAAGTACACCCCCTGTTGTATGGGACGAACAGGATGAATAGAACCAAATTCAACTAAGTTCAAACATCTGTAGAAGTGACAAAATTAAGAAATTGGATGAACAAGGTATGGGATGCACACCTTTAGAGTCCCAATGAAACACACATAGAAGCTCAATCAATTCTGCTGAGCAGCTTTTGTGGAGAAGTGGATAGACTTCATTCCCTATAACACTATATCCAGAGAGAAATTCAACAAAATTTATCTAAGTTCAAACGGCATTAAAATTGGAAAAATAAATAAAATACAAAATCAAAATATGAGATGCACGCCTTTAGAGTCCCTATAAAGCACATGTTTAATCTAAATGTATTCCATAAAGTAGTTTTTGAGGAGAAGTGGATAATGTACACCCCCTGTTGGATGGAACGAACACTGGCTGAATAGAACAAAATTCAACTAAGTTCAAACATCTGTAAAAGTGACCAAATTCAGAAATTGCATAAAAAATTATGAAATGCACACCTTTAGAGTCCCTACAAAAGACATGTAGAAGTTCATTCAATTCTGTTGAGCAGTTTTAGTGGAGAAGTGGATAGACTTCATCCCCTATTACACTATCATCATAGAGAAATTCAGCAAAATGTACCTAAGTTCAAATGTCTCTAAACTTACAAAAAAAACCAATAAAATACAAAAACAAAATATGAGATGCAAACCATTAGAGTCCCAAGAAAGCCCATGTATAATAAGTTCATTGAATTCCACAGAGCGGTTATGGTGGAGAAGTGGATAGAATACATTCCCTGTTTCGTACGGACGGATGGACGGACACCGAGGGTAACCCTATATGCCCCAGCCATATATGGCGGGGGCATAAAAAACGAAATAATTATTTCATGTTTTGACCATGCTGACAGTGTTAATTTATCACAACATTGACCCATGACCACATTACTATAAAATTCAAAATACAGGAATGCTGCATATCTTGTTTTGATAAATAAACCCAAATTCAAGTAAAATCACTACTTTTCCAAACTTCATGAATATTAGATTGCAAATAATGAATTGATTCATGATAAGGTTTGATTAACTAAAACTGTGAGTGAATCGTAGCAGACACTGGTGTAACCATGCTTAATTTTCATTAGAAACAGTACTGTCCAGATTATAAGTGTCACTGCGTTTTGTTTGTCCATGAATAATGAAGAAACTCACCTGGAGAAATAATACGTCAATTATCTCTGCGAGGTGTTCAGAAGTGGTGACCCCATGTCTGAACTTCTCGCACAAGGGTCGCATGTACTCTTCCACATTGCCGGGACTGGTGTTCAGTATCCTCAATGTCTGTTTGAATTCCTCCAGGACGGGATCATAGTCAATCTGAGAGAAGATCAAATGTCATCAGTGTACATCTCACTAAAATCAAATCGCTTGTTGCAAAATATTGTATATCTCCATTCGATCCCAAACACACTCCATCACATGTTATGTCAGGTGATCTATATACTGAGCATTTTGGGTAGTACATCTGGAAAGTTTCTGAATTTCAACTACAAAAAAGTAAACGAGCTGTTGAAAATGGAAAAAATAATAGGCTAGCTATGTTGTGGATACTTTGCATACTAGGTTAACCTGACATGACCTTACATCAACATCTTTCAAGGGTTGTCAGATACTGAGAGACAGACATTGAATCTATGTAGATGATGTGAAGTGAAGTCTACTGAAGGAACAGAAATAATTTTAAAACCTAACTTGGATTTATAGACACTTGCACCATAAAACCTTTTCACCATACAAATACTAACATTTACTTTCCTAACACTGTTTCACATTATCTACTTGTAAGCTTCTTAATGGGCAATTCTGCACAGAACATAGCCTACTTCAGAGAGAGAAATGTTCCTTATAGAAAATGTATACGAGTCTCGAGTTCAGTTAACACTAGTTAGGAAACAGGTCATTGTGTCTTCTTGACCTGAAATCAGTGAATGTTTCTTAATAGGCCAGACAAACCAGTGACCAAAAACTTAAGTAAAAAAGGTGATGACCCCATCCACACACCATCCTCACCCAGCACAATCTCCCACCAATGACTTGGCCTGGGCATCCTATCCATGCACCATCCTCATCCTGCACAATCCCCCACCCCAAAATCACTTGGCCTGAACACCTCATCCATACACCACCATCATCATGCACAATCCCCCCCATCCCTCCAATCACTTGGCCTGGGCACTCTATCCATACACCATCCTCATCCTGCACAATCCCACCCAATCACTTGGCCTGAGCACCCCATCCATACACCACCTTCATCATGCACAATCCCCCCACCCCTCCATGACTTGGCCCGGGCACTCTATCCATACATCACATTCATCATGCACAATCCCCAATCACCTTAATCCCTCCAATCACCTTGGCCTGGGCACTCTATCCATACACCACATTCATCATGCACAATCCCCCTAATCCCACCCAATCACTTGGCCTGGGCACCACATCCATACACCACCTTCATCATGCACAATCCCCACCCCTCCATGACTTGGCCTGGGCACTCTATCCATGCACCACCATCCTCATCATGCACAATCCCCATCCCTCCAATCACCTTGGCCTGGGCACTCTATCCATACACCACATTCATCATGCACAATCCCCCATCCCACCCAATCACCTTGGCCTGAGCACCACATCCATACACCATCCTTCATCATGCACAATCCCCCACCCTCCATGACTTGGCCTGGGCACCCTATCCATACACCACCTTCATCATGCACAATCCCCCCCATCCCTCCATCACACTTGGCCTGGGCACTCTATCCATACACCATCCTCATCCTGCACAATCCCCCCATCCCTCCATGACTTGGCCTGGGCACTCTATCCATACACCACCTTCATCATGCACAATCCCCCCACCCCTCCATGACTTGGCCTGGGCACTCTATCCATACACCACCTTCATCATGCACAATCCCCCCATCCCTCCAATCACCTTGGCCTGGGCACTCTATCCATACACCATCCTCATCCTGCACAATCCCCCACCCAATCACTTGGCCTGAGCACCCTATCCATACACCATCCTCATCATGCACAATCCCCCACCCCTCCATGACTTGGCATGGGCACTCTATCCATACACCACCTTCATCATGCACAATCCCTCTCCATCCTCCAATGACTTGGCTTGGCCTGGGCACTCTATCCATACACCATCCTCATCATGCACAATCCCCCCATCCCTCCAATCACCTTGGCCTGGGCACTCTATCCATACACCATCCTCATCCTGCACAATCCCCCACCCTCCATGACTTGGCCTGGGCACTCTATCCATACACCATCCTCATCCTGCACAATCCCCCACCCCTCCATGATTTGGCCTGGGCACTCTATCCATGCACCATCCTCATCCTGCACAATCCCCCAATCACTTGGCCTGAGCACTAGGGGTGGGCTATAATACCGGTTAACCGGTATATTGCAATTCGAACTTCACAATACAATATATTGCGGTACACTTTTCGCTAACCGGTTCACCCGATGACGATCGGTAATTTTCATGATGTTGTCAAAACTACTAATACCATTTGTATTTCCTTTATATTATTACACAGTAATAGTTTTGAGAATGTTTATTGGTCATATAATTGCATTTGTGTGACTTTTAAACTATATAGATAAAAAAATAGTTTGGTAACGGCACTCGTTGTAAGGATAAACAAACCAAAATGGCGGACGAAGCTGCAGACACTTTTTCTCGAGTTCCAAACTTAAAAGCGAAGTCTTCAATTTGGAAACATTTTGAATTGATCTCTTGTAATTACATTTGAGTGGCCAGTGGCATTGTTTCAAAAGAAAGGAAACAATAGTTTAATTACCTTAAATCATGTGCTACACTTTCACAATATATTGCAATACATATTGCAATACGCCAACACATATCACAATATATCGCAATACGAAAATTTTGGCAATACCCAACCCTACTGAGCACCCCATCCATACATCATCCTCATCCATACAACATGCACAGTTCGAAAGGGACAATTTCTAACAGAATTGTTGCAGGACAGACCTAGTTAATCTTACCTCAATAGCAGACATCCAAATGCATGATCATAAATATTGCACTGGCAAAGAAAACAATCTTACAAAAGTTCTTTCAATAAGTACGGTTTGAGCAATTTTGAATGTAATGAAAATAGTGGCAAGGCAATGAAAGCACTCAAATAAGCATAAGCTCAGATAGTCGTCATCTGTGATGGCAAAATAAATACATCACCCAAACCATTAACTTTATTAAAGTTGGGATATATGTCTCCATTTATGCATTTCGAAATAGGTAACTATTTTAGTCCAGAGAATCACCATGTATCCATAGCATACATCTACTACCTGACCTTTTCAGATACAATGGCTTGTTAATGACCACCGCTTGAATTTTATCTGTTGTACGAAAACTTCATGCCGTTTTTCACACAGAGTCTTGTACGAGTCCTTTGGAGTTATCACTGAACAGTATTTCACCTACAGCTGCTATCAGTTGCAATTGTTACATGCACACAATGAACCAAGTCACTCATCTACACTATCAGATCCACTTGGTGACATCTTACAAAAAGCACAGGTTGCTGGGAACAAGCTTTAATTCTGAATCCCACAAGTTTTTTGTGTTGCACAACATTCCTCCATCATCCTGTATCCATGGACTTACGAACTATTGCAACAATAGCATTAACATTTGGAAGACAACTTCTTTACTCTATTATGATGTGAAGTTGTGGGACAGATCACTGCACCATTGTCAAGCAAGACAAATGTACAAGTTCTATACCAGCATGTAGCATCATAATAGAAAACAGAAGTATTCCTCCATGAACTATCTTGCATCTACTGTCACTTACCAACTTGAAAAATGCAATCAAACAGTTTGCACAGTACTTGACCAAAGATCAAAGTAAACAAATTGACTATACCCTTCATCAACACTAAAATAAATTGATTATTATACATTACCAATATGACAAAGTAAATCCATTTGTGTATGTGCAATAACTCTACCTCGAATAATCTACAGACCACGAGTTTGGCCTGCATTCTGATTGTACTTGTGCATGCATGTGGAGAAGGAATGAGTACTACCTGCTGAGGTTGTGAGTACACATCAGCACTCATCTGCTGTCTGGGCACAAACACAGGGGCGGAAGCGGACAGTGTGGGGGGCTTATAGCCAGATCGACCCTACAACAAAGTCAGCAGTGCTGTCACTTGATATTCACACAAGGGCAACAAATGAAAACCAAAAAAGATTATATTCTGGAATTGCAGTTAGGTTGAAGGTTATTTTTTTGTTTTAAAAGTAGTCCCCCCCCCCTAAAATGATTAAAACTTACATCACGTGTATACAAAAAATGATTTGCTTACAAGACTAGTACAACAATTGTCTATGCTTAAGTGATGTTGTTCATGGCTAGTAAAAAATGACAGAAACAAAACTGCAATATTATTAGAAGATAGTGTTTCAGAAAATATTATCTCCCTTGGAACAAGTAAATATCAAGTGTCTAACAAATGAAGCATTAGGCCCAAAGTCCAGTACTTTTAAAGCAGAAAATGAATGCTACTGCAGTATTACTATCTTCACTTAACAAATTAATGATCACATATGCAACTGGCATCTTTCTTATAAGTTCTTAAACTATATGTACAGCCAAGTACAATAGCCAAGTTAACAGTAACAGGGCGGTGGGGTAGCCTAGTGGTTAAAGCGTTGGCTCGTCACGCCGAAGACCCGGGTTCGAATCCCCACATGGGTACAATATGTGAAGCCCATTTCTGGTGTCCCCCCGTGATGTTGCTGGAATATTGCTAAAAGCGGCGTAAAACCAAACTCAGTCAGTCAGTCAGTCAGTTAACAGTAACACGCAACCCCTTCATTTCATACTCATTTGTCAATTTAGTGCTTAATTTCTTTCCTTCCAAAGCTGAAATTATTACTTGAATTTTCTTAAAAATGTTTCCTAAAGTTACAGTTTGGGTGGAAACTTACACTATTGCAGAAAATCAACAGTGAGTGTTTGGGGCATTTGAATTTTTAGGAATATCTTGAGTAAAAACATCTATGTAAAATGTGGATCTGCTCTGAAATTAAGAAAAATGTTTGGTATATTCAGGGACCAAAGAGCTCCTGTGTTTGTATTTAATAAATACAGAAAGTCTCACCGGGCATCAGTAACCATGGTAACCAAACTGAAAGTTAGTTTGCCTTGAAGAATAAGTCCATATCAGCTTGAAAAATAAGCCAAACAACTACTTTATCATACCAAAACAGCTTCTCCTTAATTCAATAATCACATGCTAGATAAAAATATATTGACACTTATACAGAAGAGAAAATGCTAGTTTGGGATGATTATTTTTTTCTTGTGATTTTTATCTGCACAACTGATACATTGTAAACAAAAGGTGGCTGACAGCTATTGTTTTCAAAACAGCTAAAAACAGTTTCTGAAATGAAGCCAGCATTACCAATCTGAAGTGATAGAGGAGAAGGAAAACAGGTTGCGTAGCTTACCTAATATTATTTTATGTGAATTAAATAGATAGTATAGGGTTCAGAAACAAGGAAAAACTGGCAACATGTGATTTTAACAACAGATGTACTTGATGAATGTTATGTTACACACTTAAAGATTGATTTCTCTCTTCAGCATGTTGAGTAATGGGACAAAAGAAAAGGAGATGACCAAGGGAGATAATTCACAAAAGGTTTTCTTAACTTTGATCTATGCCCATCTTACATGTATTTCTGTTGTCAGTAGTTTTCTGGGATGTATTGATTGGAGTCAACCACAGGCAAATTGTAGCTCAAATAGGGTTGCGCAACAAAGAGAAAATGACCAGTCTTCCCATATGCGAGCGAAGCGAGCAAAGGTTGAACTGGAATCTGGCAGGGGTAATGGAGGCGAAGAACGATTTGACATGCCATAATGGCTCTTAAAATGTTGAATTAAATATATTGTATGTGAGTAATTATTAAATATGAGGTTGGAAATCTGAGAGCACAACTCTGTGAGGAAATGAGTGTCTACCTTTGATGATGGCGATATTTTATTTTGACATTAAAAATATTTTTCGAACCGAAGTGAGGGAAGCACGTTGCAAACCTGTGCTCGCTTCGCTCACATATGGGAAGACTGGTCATTTTCTCTTTGTTGCACAACCCTATTTGCTCTATAATTTGACTGTGAGTCAACAAAATTTTTAGTTCTGCAATAGTGTAATAAATAGGTCATGAGAATGTAGTGGAGCGTGTCATAATGTTTCCACCTGATGCCAGTCATATTTTAAACATTAACAGTTAATAAGTCTATGTATTTTAGGGTCAACATGGTCATGTCTATTTAGAATCAGGAATTGCACAAAAGCTTTTGGCAAAAAAGTGCACAGACAAACATAAAAACATAGAAGAGAATCAGAAAGAGGCATGAAAACTAAATAATTGAATTTCTTGTGCAGTTTGACTTTAGCCACTAGTCTCAAGCCTCAGTCTAGAACAATTTTGTTTAGTCTAGTAAGCTCACCTAGTAATAGTCCAAATAATCATGATAATACATGTATCACTAAAATCTATTGAAAACAATGCAAACAATGAACAATATGGCATAAACGTTTTAGGGTACATACTGCTTCAGAATTAATAATGAATTGATTGTTGTACAAAACACATATAACAGCTGTTACAAAATATCAATCTTCTAATGCCTATTTTCAATAAGAAAGTTCTAGTCGGCCTTCCAGTGACAAATACAACCAATATTCTTCAGAATCATCAGATAAATATTGACTTACTGATGATCCACCAAATCTGGGAACAAATTCAGGAGCACTTGCAGACAAGTTGGAGGCTTTCGTCTGACCTCCCCCTATAAAAAACAAACACTTAAGTTATAGGAATATTACATATTCTTGGTATGATGCTGTTCATGTTTACACTATTTAAAAAAACAACTGTATGAACAATACAAACAAACATCTTAATCTATCCAACATACATCATCAGACTATTTTGGTGAGGGTTTTATGTGTCAACTGAAGTTACACCTTGACTGTAGCATGTTTCACATGGTCTTTGCTCAATCAGATAACATAAATACGAACTGAAGTGATATTTCATTTGGAAAAATGTCCTCACTAAAGTGAACAATATAGTCATGCTCTTTCTGGTAAATAATATTTCACAAATGATTCAATAATAATGTCCCACACAGTAATTTACAAAATATAAATGTAATTTCGATACAATTTTTGCACTACAAAAAAGCATGCTGAAAAGTATTCCAATATTCACTGTTTCATAAACTGATCACACTGACATATCATAACCAAATCTCTGGTTATGACATAGGACTTGGCAGTATGTCACTAACTTATTACAAACATCTTTATCTTAAACATAAGCAATCATCAGAGTATTAACAATGTCTGTGTGACACAAGCCCCTTGTAATAGTGAGCGTGAACACCGTTGTTAAAGAATGTAGTCCACAAACATATAACCTGAAGACATACAAATCTTATCAACTGCTAACATATAAAATAGTACTTTCATATCTGTCAGATGAATAGAAAACAATAATATGGCTCAAACAATACCAAATGATACTTAACAGTGGTACTTAACACGATATTACATGAATTTTGGTTAATCTTTTCAGATTCAAATGGAGCACATTTGGATGACACTGAATAATTAGCATTTTCATTCTTCCATGAAATAATAACCGTTATTATGGTTTGGCAATATTCATGAAAAGGGCATTACGTCGGTTACTGAATATTTATACTGTGCTCATGTACAACAAAAATGATCCATATGGTTTGCAAAACATCACACCATGGTTATTTAGCAGACGAGATATTGTCTCTTCCTTTGGCTGCCGCAATCCTGAATTCGTATTTTCTCCTGCTGGCATGTCGTCTTTGCTTTGTTGACCTCCACAAGAAGCCATTGCTTCAAATAAGCAACAACCAAAATTTTGATCGACTTCTTCAGGAGTTTGCTAAGAATGTAAAGTCTGCGAAAATTCAGCCTGCCCGTCTTCCTTCCCAGATTTCTCTTCGCTCCGTAACATTTGATATCAAGAAATGATGTTCTTACGATATATTTAGTTGAAAAGCAAAACATTATTCACCCTTTCGAAAAACTAAAATTCGTAACCATATTCATAACTTTGTATTTCTTAAAATTGGTTGGATATTTGGCATATAATAATGGTTTATATAATTACTGAAGTTTGAATATTAATATCTTTGGAGGACATTATGTAGATAAAATTCGCGATTTTTTGTTTAGAATAAATTCATGTAGCTTCAAAACATTTTTATATACTAAGTAACATATTAAAATGCCAGCATAAAAATTGAAACTATTTTTTGACAGTTATTAAATCTCAATAAGCGCAAAACATTGTCCGCAGTGAATATTTATTGTCAAGATGGCGAAACGTAAGGTAGAAGACGGGAAAAATGCCAAAGAGACGGTCAAGAAACCCAAAGTTGAAGATATTATTCTGCCCGCTGTTGTTTCCTCGAGCGTCAAACCAAAAATACAAGTGTGTAGCACAGAGTACATTGACATGAATACACATATAAGTAGGCAGCCAAGTTTCAACGATGTAAACAAACCATTTCACGAGCCGATTTACTACAAGCACGTGTTCGTCTGAAACATGCCTTCGGTTTTCGCGCACCAACTGTGGCGAAGGAGTGATGTATTTTGTCCCTTGCAGAGTTTTGGTTTTTAATGTGCTTTGTATCTAAATAAAAAAATGACCTAAACGGGTAGTAAAATGAACAAAAAACAATATTAAAATATTGTGGAGAACGTGACGATGAAAATTTAAACAGGACAAAAAATGATGCCAGGGCACCAGCAAGTTAATGCATTCTTTGTGTTGTTTGAATTGTTCTCTGTTTATCACTGCTTGGGGTGGGGGAGGTGGGTGTGTGTAGAGGTAGCCTAGTGGTTAATGTATTCGCTTGTCATCCCAGTTGGAGGGCTAACATGCATACTTTTCACCACTGAAAGTGAACAGTGTTGTTAAGCGCATTAATAATAAAAATTTAAACTCATTTAGTCAGTAATACTAACATTGACATTGAAAAATACCTTTAGCTTTGAAGCATCATTCTTGAATAAATGGGCAGCTATACACCCTGATTGCCTGGTGCTCCTTATTTGCTGAAGTTTTGACATAGTTCCACAAAGCATCAAGAAGGCGATAGTGAAACCATTACTCAAGAAATCCACTCTGGACAAGGATGAGTGACAGCTACAGGCCAGTCTCAAACCTGTCGTTTATCTCCAAGGTGATTGAGAGAGCTGTCGGAAAGCGATTGGCAGAACGAACATCTTGAGCATCACAAGCTTTTCCAATCGGCATACCGTCCTAAACAAAGTGTGGAGACAGCCCTATCGAAAGTCCTCAACGACCTCAGACGTGGTATTGACAGTGGTAATGTGGGCCTCCTGGTGCTGTTAGATTTGAGCGCAGCCTTTGATACCATAGACCACCAGATGCTACTCGGTCGCCTCAAGGATGACTTCTTCCTCAATGGTACTGTATGGTCCTGGTTCAAATCCTATCTGTCGAATCGGTATCAATCGGTGTATATCGATGGTGTCTATTCAGCTCCAGTGAATCTCTCAAGCGGTGTGCCACAGGGGTCGGTTTTGGGTCCAGTTCTATTCACACTGTACACCAAGGCACTTGGTTCAATCATTAAGGTACATGAGATCAACAGTCATCTATACACAGATGACACTCAGCTGGCATCACTCTTCATGCCTAATCAATCTGAAGCACGGTGGGCAGCTCAAGCTATGACAAACTGCTGTCGTGACATACAGAAATGGATGTCGACCAACAAGCTCAAGTTGAATGCTGAAGAAATTGAGTGTGTTGTGGTTGGACCAAAGTCAAGGCATTTAGAGTCCAGACTCACTACCTTGGTTATTGGAGATACTGAGGTACCAGTGTCAGAGAGTGTCAAAGACCTGGGTGTAATCTTGGACTTGGACCTCTCCATAGACAGTCACATCAGCCAAATAACCAAGATGTGTTTTCTTCAGCAACATCTGGAAATATTTTACCAAAGAATCAGCCATCATTCTCATACTGTTCCTAGTCATGACAAGGATCGACTACTGTAACAGTCTCCTTGTTGGAGCCTCTGCTGTGCAGATAAATCGTCTCCAGCGTGTACAGAATACGGCTGCCAGGATTGTGTCACTCGCCCGTAAACAAGATCATATCACTCCAATCCTGAAGGATCTACACTGGCCTCCACTGCAGCACAGGATTACTTTCAAGATCCTCTGCTTAGCCCACCGGTGTCTGTCCGGCGACGCTCCAGGCTACCTACAGGACCTCCAGCCTATCTACTCTCCGACTCGATCCCTACGCTCTGAGTCCAAGCTTCTGTGTAGCATTCCCAGCATCAAGACTGTGAGATATGGTCAGCGTTCCTTCTCATATGCAGCGACATCCGCGTGGAACAGCCTCCCAGAATCAATCAGAAGATTTCTAAATCTAATGTCTTTCAGACATCAACTCAAGACCTATCTCTTTCAACAGCTCTGAAATCTTTTTATTTGACTGTGCTCTTCGAGCATGCATCAAACATGGAGTAATGCGCAATGCAAGTGGCCTATTATTATTAAATGAGAATGGGATACAGGTTGCAATTGTTTCCTTGTGCATTTTTTCAGTGGAGTCATGTTACTGGCTCTGACATCCAATGATTTGTGTGTATATGAATCCCTAAGAAACTGCTGGGCAACAATATGGGCAACAATATGGGCTACATATGAACCTGTATATGATCGCATTCAAAAGAAGTAAAAACATACAAATTGATATGAAAATGTTATGCATTGCTGAATCATTCTGGTTGCGGATACATTTCAATAATTCTTACTGTTGAGATCCTGCTATCCTTCTGAAGAAGGTGAAATTCATATTGGAAAATGATTATGATAATTATGGCTGCTTTTTGTGTATTACAGGGATGGCAATTTTCCGCGGATTTCCGCTGATTTCATTTCAAATTGTTCAATTGTGAATCATCTAAATCCATCGAGAAACCCTCACCTCGATGACACAATATTAAGTTTTCCGCTGAAAATAGATTTTCCTGTTGCCATCCCTGTTATTACCTGGATACTTAATGCATTGTAGTTTTCTGGGCGCCAGGTGCCAACCCTGGAAGAGAGTTACCGTTGAGGGAATACTTGTTTAGTGGAAGTTTTTTTCTTATTCAGACAAAAATTCGGAACAGAAATAGATCAAGTAGAAAATCCAATTCACAGCAGATTATGTTGATTAAAATTTTACTGGATACTGAAAGTGTATTCAGAGATGATCCAATCGGTAGATCTCTTTTGGTTGGAGAGTGGTATTTAAATAAGAGCAAAAGATCTGATTTTGATTAAATTGAGTTAAACTGTACCCGGTAGCTTTCACCGTAACTTTACAAGCAGTAAATTATTAAAATGCTGAGCAACTTCCTTGGGAAGGAATCCCAAATTTATCTTGCAAGATACTTTTCTCCAATGTGTGTTTCTCGTGAAGTAGCCAAGGTACAAATGTACAATTTGTATAAGTTGCTGAATTTGTTCTGTATATGTATTGTGTGTTTATATGTTTTCCTTTTTAATCAGAAAAAATGGACAAACAAACAGCGTGTGTTGGTCTTTTCGTCCCGAGGCATTTCTTTCCGAGGAAGACATTTAATGAACGACCTCCGAACTACGATGCCTCACGCCAAACCAGGTATTTGTCTGATGATTGTTATTTTATCCACAAGAGTAACTTGAACATCTATATTGTCAAATCATTTTCCGGTATTATGACCCAGGGACTTAATTGAGTAAGTTACATAACACTTCACACCTACCATGGATCCTGTTTTTTTACATCTTCTGTGTCTCTGTTTTGGTACACCTAGACAAACCACTGGATCCATTCCCTTTGTTCTTGTGATTCGGGGGCGGTGGGGTAGCCTAGTGGTTAAATCGTATGCTCGTTATGTTGAAGATCCGGGTTTCGATTCCCCACATGGGTACCATGGGTACATGGATATTGCTGGAATATTGCTAAAAGCGGCATAAAACCAAACTCACTCACTCTTGTGATTCCAAATAATCTGTATTGGATTTTCATTATTTTACTGACCAAATCAAATGTCCAAATGGTAAGGGAGGTAACTTACATTACCTTGAAATCAAATCCACTGCCAGTTTTAATTTTAGGTATGAAAATGTCCTTTCCAGCAAGAAAATATTTAGGGGTTTCATTTTCACGTCAATCAGTTTTTCTCTCAATCTCAATCATAATCAGTGAACTGGCCACCATCATGTTGATGTCGCCAACTCGACATTGAGGCTTGTTTGTAACTTACATTAGATTGGTGAATGGAAATCAAGGGAGTGTTACTTGAAATTATGAGAACCACGTTTAGTGGATCCAGGGGTTAATCTAGGTTTACTGAAATGCAAAGCCTGAAGATAAAGATGATGATGGTTCTTTTGTAGTGTCAGAATTTAATTTTTTGTCACCTTAGAAATATGTCATAAAAGTGGTATAAATTTACCTAAAATGTTTTCTAGCCCAGGTAAACATTGTAACAGGTATGAACCATTAATACCCTACACTTTGTTCTGGCCCTCTGGTAATATCACTTCAACATTATTGGAACTGACTTAGGTTCGTGCCAATTTCTGTCTCTGTCAATAGAAACCAGGACACTTTTTTCTGTTATACATAATTATGCATCCAGTCTTCAGTTATTGTCCAAGTTTACTTTTAGCGCACAGTATAAGAAAGGTCCAAGTCAGGTTTGGTGACCTTGACCTTCATTTCAAGGTCACAAGGGGACTTTAACGTTTTACCTGCATGTTAAGCTATCTGAAGAACCGTTCACTGGATTTTCTTCATATTCAATACCAAGCTTTATCTAGGGAAGGCGCAGGGCCCAGTCGATTTTGGTGACCTTCACATAATTTTCACGGTCATGGGGACACTTTGAAGATTTCAGCATGTTAACCTGCATTGCCAGCAAGATATTTTAAGAACGGTTCACTGGATTTTCTTCATAGACTTTCAAGACTTCCCTTGAATGTTTTTCAATAAGCAATTTCTTTAGTACTAGTTTTGCATATTTCATACACTATGACATTCATGTCAAGGTCAAAGTCAGTCTTGAAAATACGTGTGTGTTTAAACAACTAAAGAACAAGAAATCAAGATGTTGACTGGTCGTGATTTTGTTGACATTTAACTTCATCTTAAACTTCCATTACTTTATATGTTTGATTTGATAATTTGCAGCGGGGGATTATGTCACCTTAGTGACAATGCTTGTATATTTATCCTTTTAAGCTGATGAGTCTATTGTTCCTGACAGTGTGTCCCAAGAATATCGACTTCATATACTAGGATAAAGAATTAAGAGATCTCCCTGAATTCTTAGATCTCCTATTTTAGTGCTGACTGAAAGGATTTCTAACCGGTGAAGTTAGTTTATAGTGCTGTTGTCTGCCCAGTGTTGTGCGGGTGTTAAACATGAATTGGTTGATTTTCCTTTCAGAAACAAAAATGGACCGAAAAGACAAGCTGCATGTAATCAATGAGGTAAGTGTGTGTGTATCCAAAGGAGGATTCCTGGCAGAGCATGTCTACCTAGTAAGACATAGTCATACCCCTGATCCAGGGGTAGGATGGATGCCCAGATGGTTACAGTGTGTTATCTATCTATTGTGTGCCACCAGGCAGTCACACACAGATGTTGCTTATATACACTGCTGGGTTTCACAAACTCAATTGTTTACACATCTCCATATTATGTTCAACTGAAAACGTTGTTATAGCCATAAATAATGGCAATAATGCTGATGCTGCTTAAAGCAACATTTATTCACTCAATCAAATCAAGTTGATTTGATATGCAAATTGCAACATGTTATACAAGTATAAAATAGTAAGCTTACTCTGCACTGATTTGACTGTTATTATGAAGGATTTTTAATTCTGAACAAAATAGTGAGAGCATGACACATATATTAAGCCTGGTGATTAATTTGTCATTTCTATTTTGTCCAGATTTGTGAGATGAAGAATTGCAACAAGTGCATCTACTTTGAAGGCAAGAAGAGTCAGGATCTATATGTGTGGTAGGTTGTTTTAGGATCTCTGTGTGTGGTAGGTTGTTTTAGGATCCCTATGTGTGGTAGGTTTTGGGATCTCTATGTGTGGTAGGTTGTTTTAGGATCTCTATGTGTGGTAGGTTTTGGGATCTCTATGTGTGGTATGTTGTTTTAGGATCTCTATGTGTGGTAGGTTTTGGGATCTCTATGTGTGGTAGGTTGTTTTAGGATCCCTATGTGTGGTAGGTTTTGGGATCTCTATGTGTGGTATGTTGTTTTAGGATCTCTATGTGTGGTATGTTGTTTTAGGATCTCTATGTGTTGTATGTTGTTTTAGGATCTCTATGTGTGGTATTGTTTTGGGATCTCTATGTGTGGTAGGTTGTTTTAGGATCCCTATGTGTGGTAGGTTTTGGGATCTCTGTGTGTGATATGTTGTTTTAGGATCTCTATGTGTGGTAGGTTGTTTTAGTATCTCTATGTGTGGTAGGTTGTTTTAGGATCCCTATGTGTGGTATGTTTTAGGATCTCTATGTGTGGTATGTTGTTTTAGGATCCCTCTGTGTGGTAGGTTGTTTTAGGATCTCTATGTGTGGTATGTTGTTTTAGGATCTCTATGTTTGGTAGGTTGTTATAGGATCTCTATGCGTGGTATGTTGTTTTAGGATCTCTATGTGTGATAGGTTTTGGGATCTCTATGTGTGGTATGTTGTTTTAGGATCTCTATGTGTGGTATGTTGTTTTAGGATCTCTGTGTTGTAGGTTGTTTTAGGATCTCTATGTTTGGTAGGTTGTTTTAGGATCTCTATGTGTGGTTTGTTGTTTTAGGATCCCTATGTGTAGTAGGTTTTGGGATTTCTATGTTTGGTATGTTTTAGGATCTCTATGTGTGGTATGTTGTTTTAGGATCTCTATGTGTGGTATGTTGTTTTAGGATCCCTATGTGTGGTAGGTTGTTTTAGGATCTCTATGTGTGGTATGTTGTTTTAGGATCTCTGTGTGGTATGTTGTTTTAGGATCTCTATGTGTGGTAGGTTTGGGGATCTCTATGTGTGGTAGGTTGTTTTAGGATCTCTATGTGTGGTAGGTTTTGGGATCTCTATGTGTGGTATGTTGCTTTAGGATCTCTATGTATGGTAGGTTGTTTTAGGATCTCTATGTGTGGTAGGTTGTTTTAGGATCTCTATGTGTGGTTTGTTGTTTTAGGATCCCTATGTGTGGTAGGTTTTAGGATCTCTATATGTGGTATGTTGTTTTAGGATCTCTATGTTTGGTATGTTGTTTTAGGATCTCTATGTGTGGTAGGTTGTTTTAGGATCTCTATGTGTGGTAGGTTGTTTTAGGATCTCTATGTGTGGTAGGTTGTTTTAGGATCTCTATGTGTGGTATGTTGTTTTAGGATCTCTATGTGTGGTAGGAGGTTTTAGGATCTCTATGTGTGGTATGTTGTTTTAGGATCTCTATGTGTGGTAGGTTGTTTTAGGATCTCTATGTGTGGTATGTTGTTTTAGGATCTCTATGTGTGGTTTGTTGTTTTAGGATCCCTATGTGTGGTAGGTTTTGGGATCTCTATGTGTGGTAGGTTGTTTTAGGATCTCTATGTGTGGTAGGTTGTTTTAGGATCTCTATGTGTGGTATGTTGTTTTAGGATCTCTGTGTGGTATGTTGTTTTAGGATCTCTATGTGTTGTATGTTGTTTTAGGATCTCTATGTGTGGTAGGTTGTTTTAGGATCTGTATGTGTGGTAGGTTGTTTTAGGATCCCTATGTGTGGTAGGTTTTGGGATCTCTGTGTGTGATATGTTGTTTTAGGATCTCTATGTGTGGTAGGTTGTTTTAGTATCTCTATGTGTGGTAGGTTGTTTTAGGATCCCTATGTGTGGTATGTTTTAGGATCTCTATGTGTGGTATGTTGTTTTAGGATCTCTATGTGTGGTTTGTTGTTTTAGGATCTCTATGTGTGGTATGTTGTTTTAAGATCCCTCTGTGTGGTAGGTTGTTTTAGGATCTCTATGTGTGGTATGTTGTTTTAGGATCTCTATGTTTGGTAGGTTGTTATAGGATCTCTATGCGTGGTATGTTGTTTTAGGATCTCTATGTGTGATAGGTTTTAGGATCTCTATGTTTGGTATGTTGTTTTAGGATCTCTATGTGTGGTATGTTGTTTTAGGATCTCTGTGGTATGTTGTTTTAGGGTATCTATGTGTGGTAGGTTGTTTTAGGATCTCTATGTTTGGTATGTTGTTTTAGGATCCCTATGTGTGGTATGTTGTTTTAGGATCTCTATGTGTGGAAGTTTGCTTTAGGATCTCTATGTGTGGTATGTTGTTTTAGGGTCTCTATGTGTGGTAGGTTTTGGGATCTCTATGTGTGGTATGTTGTTTTAGGATCTCTATGTGTGGTAGGTTGTTTTAGGATCTCTATGTGTGGTATGTTGTTTTAGGATCTCTGTGTGGTATGTTGTTTTAGGATCTCTATGTGTGGTATGTTGTTTTAGGATCTCTATGTGTGGTATGTTGTTTTAGGTCTCTCTGTGTGGTATGTGTTTTAGGGTATATGTTGTAGGTTGTTTAGGATCTCTATATGTGGTATGTTGTTTTAGGATCTCTATGTGTGGTATGTTGTTTTAGGATCTCTATGTGTGGTATGTTGTTTTAGGGTCTCTATGTGTGGTATGTTGTTTTAGGGTCTCTATGTGTGGTAGGTTGTTTTAGGATCTCTATGTGTGGTAGGTTGTTTTAGGATCTCTATGTGTGGTATGTTGTTTTAGGATCCCTATGTGTGGTAGGTTAGGGTTTTTGTGATAGTTATCTGTAGCACATATTTTTAGGTGCTGCTGTCTGTTTGAAGGGTTAATTGATCAGCAGAGTGTTGTTTCAAATCCCCTGATCATGGGACGTTTTAATCAGCTTCAGCTCATCCTCAGAGGCCTCACCAAAGTGGTAAACATGTACAGCCTGCTTCAGCTCGGGGTTTGCTCTCACATTAAGCTGGGATGTAACTGAATTGATGTTAAAAACAATGTTTCACTTGCAAGTGACATTAGCATGGGGTAGTCTAAGTTGTGGAGATCCTCACGAACTTGTCCTGTGATTACTGGATCCACACTTAATTATTTACTGACTGCAGTCATATCCTGGAATAAGATGCTGAGAGACAGATACACACTCCTTCGGTAATCTGTTTGCATCTATGTACCAGAATAGAGATGAGAGTAGTTGTCACTGTTTTGTCCATGGCTATTTCTTAGTCATCTCACATGTGATGTTTACTTTTAGAGGCTTGATGTTTGAATTTATGTTTTATTTCAGGCTGTCAAACTGTCCTGATGGGCCATCAGCAAAGTTTTTAGTAGAAAATTGTAAGTATAATATGGAAGAGTCAACAATTATGAATTTAGTACATTCTCTGTCTTGGTGTTCTCAGTTTGCACTGCAGAGTTGCCTCCCATGGTCACTCCACAAATCTCTGACTGGTAGAATACTGGTTCAGCCTGATCATGTTTCTAAATTTGTCATCACTGTACCTGTCTGTGGGTTTCACCGAAGTGGTTCCACCTGATCCACTTTGAGCTTTTTCTCACACACAGGGCTCGATTTAAGAGATCTTAACCATGTTAACCTACTTGCACCAGGTGCAACCTAAGATAAAAACCTAGTTGCACCAGTTAAATTCCATTTGCACTGTTTTTATTGCAATATGTAATGAAAGATATTTGCTATTGAATTATTTAGATGTTTTATTCAGAAGTTTACCAAGTAAAAAATTGACTTGCACCTGGTGCAAGTTAGGTTAATAACTAGGGTGCACTTTGTACTATTGGGTTGCACCAGTGCAAGTAACAAAGCACTAAATCGAGCCCTGCCACATCAAGCTCACTTACTTCTGATTCTGAGATAGTATGATTCTTTGGTGAAGTATTCGTTGAGACTTCACTGAATCACCTCTCCAGGTGAGTACAGAATTTATGATAGATTGTTGCTAGTACAGTAGAATGTTTAGTGTTTAGACTGTCGCAATCCCCTCTTCCCTTGAGTACATTGTGTATGTGGATAATAGTGTTATTGGAACTAATAGAATGTATTATAAGACATTTAGGTGAGTGATGACAATACCTCTTCTTGCAGTGCACACAATGATGGAGCTCAAGATGACAGGGAATTGTCTGAAAGGGTCACGGCCTCTACTGTCTTTTGACACAGTGAGTTGAAGTTTCATTGATAGCAACTTTTATCTCAATGATGAATGTTCACAACCTTTCAGTGGATTTGGTGTTTCTTACTTGTACATGATTATTTAGAGACTACTGATTTTTGTCTGTATTGTTTATGCAGTATTGACTTTTATGTCTGTGTATTTAGCTGGTAAAATGTTTTGACCTGAGCTTTCTTTACCTCAGTAAACTTTCCTCGACAACAATTTCTTTTTGTAGCAGGACCAAATAAATACTCAAAAAACCGTAATAGTAAAACCGTAGGAATATGAAAAAATCAGGCGGTCTATAATGATTTTGAGTTGTGTTTCTCTATTTATTTCCAGAAGATTGTGATCAAAGTATTTTTGACCAAGCTTTGTAAATGAATTCTTCATGTTTCAGACGTTTGATGAAGAGCCACAATGGAGGATATTGAAGGAGTTGTTCATACAGGTAGGATGCCTCTTGAGTATTGGCCTTGGTGACCCTGTCACTGCAGTGCACTGTGCAGAGTGGTGTCCCTTAGATGTGTCAGAAACATTGGTTGGTGTGAATCCTGGTATGTCAGCATGATACCGGTACTTGTGGGCTTTACTTATGTGGTAAACATCTACAACCTGCAGGGGGCGGTGGGGTAGCCTAGTGGGTAAAGCGTTGGCTCGTCACGCCGAAGACCCGGGTTCGATTGCCCACATCGGTACAATGTGTGAAGCCCATTTCTGGTGTCCACCAGCTGTGATGTTGCTGGAATATTGCTAAAAGCGGCATAAAACCAAACTCACTGACTACAACCTGCATCACGTGGGCTAACAGCCATTTTCTTAGTAAAATGATGTTCAAAGCAGGGGTGATCTGTGAAAATCTGGGTTAGAATTGGTCTTCAGTAACCCATGCTTGTCATAAGAAGTAATTAACTCGATTGTTTTCCAACCACCACCAAATATTTGGAATATTGATAAGTGCATGGTTAGACAACAAATAAACATCAAAGCAGCATTATACCCAGCTCATTCATTCATTGACTCTTTCACTGGAGGTTATGTCAAGCTTATACCTGATTGTTTGGTACAGAATGCTTGGAATGTTGATGTTGACACTACATGATGATGAGGTATATTGCCTGGTTATGCTGTATTGCTTCTTTCAGTAGTGTTGTTGCCTTGCAGATATTTGGGACTCCAAACTGCCACCCCAAGAGTCAGCCATTTTTTGACCATGTGTTGTCCTTCTCCATCATGGACAACAGGATCTGGTTCCGGAACTACCAGATCCTGGAGGAGGATGGGGCGCTCACAGAAATAGGTCAGTTCCTGCACAGTGTTTTCCAAGTTGCCACGGTGATTGTGCTTACGTTCATGCACTCTCATCCTTGTAGTTGCCACAGTCAGAGGGTCCTCAAAATGAAGATTCTAACTTCAGAAAAGTGTATGTTCTAGAGCAACCATTCACAATTAGATTACCAGCAACTTCAGCACAGCTTCTTTGAATGGCATTTAAAACTGGTATGATGCATCTACACTGAAACATCGTACCTATTGCAATAAACACGTGGTCTATCCCCAAAAAATTTTCCTCTTCCACTACCACACAGCTGATGCTATTTACCCTGTATGTAACTGTTTCGCCAGGTCCCAGATTCGTCATGAACCCCATCCGAATATTTGAAGGCAGCTTCCAGGGTAGGACTCTGTACCAGAATCCACACTACGTCTCTCCTAACGAGGTCAGTCTCAGTTTCATGTATCTGTGTGTAGTGACGTCTGCTCTTTATCATGTATGACCATTGTATTTTGTCCTGGCTGAATGACGTCAATTTTGTGAATTATTTTGTTTAACACTTTGTTGTGCCAGGATTCTCTGGTTACAATCCCACTTTTCTCATGGGTTCAAATCGCAGTCACGTCATGTTTCTGTGTTTGTTAGTACTAGTGTTGGGAATTGGTTAAAATCTCATAATTGATGATTGGTTCATTACAACCGATCAATCATCGAAAATAATTGGTTAGCGTCATTTATGAAATGTGTTAATGCACACAATAATAAGGAAAAAACCATGTAGTTCTTTGGGTTTTTTTTTGGGCAAAATTTCACATCTTTAAAGGATGACTAGTATGGAGGAACATAAATTTCTTAGAGTCTTTAAGATAAATTCAATCATGACTTGGAACGAGCTTGTAGTGCTTATGAAATGTAACAGACAAAACCAACCTAGTGAAAAATACTGTTAATGAAAACAAGTGTTCTAGAATTGTTTGTGTTCGATAATGACAAAACATGATCGATTGCTTGGTCATTTAGTCACTGCGACCAATCTTTGATTATTTCAATTAATCGGGCCACCACTAGTTAGCAATCTACCTGTGCTCATGGCTTACCAAAGTGGTATATGTGATACACCTTCATCGCTTACGGTTTCTGCCCACATGAAGTGATATGACTGAAATACTGTTCAAAGCAACATTAAACCTAATTCACTCACTCCTGCAATGTTGTCTAAGCTTACAGATGCTAACATCTTTCTGTGTTCTTCACATTACCAGCATCGGCGAAGGCTGAAGCAAATTGTAGCCAGCAAATACATCAACCGGGTAGATGCAAAGAAGTCACTGGAGGTGCGACGACCTAAAGAATCCTACCGTCTCGATCCCACAGACGATGTGTTCACTACCATCAGACCAGAGGATGTCCGGCCGGCAGAGGAGAAGTCCGATACATTGAGAAACTCATGAGGAGAAGCGAACATGAAGACCTTGGAAGAGTCTGGTACATGCTAGGAATGTATGGACCATGTTGATGTGATGACATTGTACTGGTGACATTTGGGTGTACGAGTATCCAGTCGCATATTCATTTAATATACCGGTTCTGGTATTTTCTCTATGAGGAGCACACCAAGTTCAGTGTAAGTGGCTGGTGTATATTGTATGTCAGAGCATTTAAGGCAAAACTGTTGGTTTTTCGGTAAAGGAATTCATCGGCAAAAAAAAAAAAACGTGAGCAGTTTTGTTAATAATGTCCAGTTTATGGTCAGTTATTATGAAAAAACCATCTCACTAACAGCATGAAAGGACTAACTGGTACAATTTTCAAGGTTGTCAATAAATTCTATCCTTGTATGTATAACATGTAAATAAAACTAGTGTACAGTGCTTAGCTGGATTCTCTTCTGTGTTGAATGACTGAATAAGGGGTGAGCTTCTTCCCAAACACACCTTTAGGTGTGTGCCTGAATCAGATAGCTGTCACTGCTATGTTTTGTTTTCCTTCCACAAGCTTGCTTGCCATATTAACAACTGATCTTTTGGCATCTGGTTAATTTATGGGAACTGATATTCCTTGTATATAGTGAATGTGTTACAAGAAGTAATGTCATTAGAGTGTCAGCTTCTTCAGGTTTCACGTAATATTTTCTTATAACAGTAATATATAACATTATAAATAATTGCATCTGGACCAGGGCAATGTGACTGAAAGCATGAGTGACTGTCACTCCATAAGGTTACTACAACATTGACCAAAAACCCACATCTCCAGTGTTCAGAACAAGGATGAGGTACTGACAGAATCCTCCAGTTTTGTGCTTTTAAGGGTGTCATTATATATAGATGAATTAATAACCTAGATGCAAGAACAGGAAGGAGGGTTGAAACAGTCCGGGTATCGTAGACTGAAACTTGATTCCTCATGGTACTACCATTGCATGTTATGTCAAAGATTTTTTAAGAAGCCCTTTTCTGGTGTATAGTCTGTGAGACTTCATCCATCCAAAAACCCTTCTTTCTGGACAATCTTGGTGGGAGATTAGGACATATGTGGTTACTGGTTGAATCTAGCACAAATTTATACTGTTGCTCCTGCTTTCAACCACTAGTTGGTTAGTGTTCAAACCCCCAAAACACAAACCGCCTCCGTGGTGTAGTGGTTAGAGCGTCCGCCCGGAGAGTGGAAGGTCGCGGGTTCGATCCCCGACCGCGTCATACCAAAAGATCGTTAAAATATGGTACTTGTTGGTCCCTGCCTGGCGCTCGGCATTAATGGGTACAACAAGGACTTGTTGGCTCAGAGTCAGTATAATGTGTCTGAGTGGGGTATTCATGCTTCACTGCGGCATGGTATCTCAGTGGGCTAGCACTATAAAACCAGCTTCAGTCTGGGCTAGTACAAGCAGCCGCACATACACATACACACGCATGCATGCACGTCGTCATGTGAGTGAAATATTCTCCAGCGCGACGTTAAACCCAATTTCACCTCACCCCAAAACACAACATGTGGCATTATGTGTATTGTGCACAACCGCTGGTTTGTCTGGTGGTGTATTCAAGCAAAAAACCTCAGCATAAGCTTACATTACATTTCCAGTGTCAATAAAAAAAAGTCGCACATGTTCAGTCTATGCACATTTCATGATATTTTCTTCATATGCAAAATCAAAGAAAAACAATCCCGAAGTTTACATACATCATGTTTATTTTTTAAGTGATGATTTTTGCTCGCTACATGAAAATGGAAAAAAGCACATTAAATATCTGATCAATGCTTTCAGTATTCTGATTCAATTCATGGCTGATTTCATGTAATAATCCATGTGAGGGTGAATGAAACCAAGCCTTGATAACAACTGGTGACTGAATTGTGTATAAACTAGGTGACCGAATGAAAGTGGAAGGAAACATAGAACACTAAAATCATTGGATGTTCACTACATTCAAAGATACAGGAACTTTAAGCCATACTATGAAATAACCCCAAAGTATACTTGTGCTAATTTCTACAACAAGGAAACAAGTCAATACAGAAGCACACCTTTATCAGGACGATGAAAAAGAATAATAAAATCATTCCAGATGAATTATCTCTTTTGTACATTTAATAATAGTAATTGGGTTCATTTAAAGCAAGGTAGCCTTCCTTGGGTTACTATTTTCGTACATATTACCAATATGGCGGCGATAATGATTCCAGTGGAGATGACAATGCTCTCCATCCCCCACCGAGATACAATACAAGACACTTATGTTATGTTACAGTAAGACAGAGAGAAGCTACGAGAGTGTTTCTATTCACGTCGTTTCCGATGTCCTGGACTTGGGGATGATGTCCGTGTTGAGCTGCGTGATGGCATCACCTCATCATCATCAGAATCCTGAAAACAACAAGGCAATGACTCAGAACATGTTCCTTTCCACCCAGAGAAAATATGTTAGTACCTTAGGGCTAAATACCATGCAAGAGATATGTAGGGACAACAACTAAATACACTTGAAAGCTGTAGTGACTATTGGTGACCTGCCTTTAATTCGCAGGGGTGTGTCAAAATACACAAATACAATAAACTTGACTGAATAATAAACTTTATTCCAAAGGAAAGGTATCGCTGCCTTCAGACAGTGTATGAAGTAAGCAAAAACCCCAGCCAGACATCAGGGCTGGATTTAACCAGACCAGACACCAAGATATGACTCAGATGTATATAACATCTCAATTTTTTACCAGACCATCGGGCTGGCTAGCTGTAAATCTAGACCGTCCGTCTGAAATCTAACCTGTCTCGGGTGGTCGGATGGGCCTTATTTCATACACTGCTTCAGAGGTAAATGGTTAGAACAAGAAGAAAGAATACAGATTTCCACAACATTCTATAATTTGCACTTTGAGGCTGGGGCACAATTGTGATGATGAGTGAGTGAGTTAAGTTTTACGCCTCACTCAGCAATATTCCAGCTGTGTGGTGGCGGACTGTAAATAATCGAGTCTGGACCAGACAATCCAGCGATCAACACCATGAACATCGATCTGCGCAATTGGCAACCAACAACATGTGTATACCAAGTCAGCGAGCCTGACCACCTGATCCCGTGTGGTAGAGAAATGACAAAGGCAATAACAGTAGATGCTTAACATTGAGCAGTTAATGTTTGTGTCAAGAGCTGAGCTGAACAGTAAAAGTTACAATTTCATGATTTTAAACGGCACAATAAGCAGGACTACATCTGTACTCAGCATTGTCTAAGCCATTGGCTAAATGTTCCAGGCATTGTCATCATGTGAAATAATGCAAAGAAGTATAACGGTTCAAATATTCGAGAAAATATGCCACTACTATTACAACATCGTTTTTAACTATCTCCTTGTGACTGACAACAGTCAGGTCAAACAGTGGATAACCAGGGGTAAACTATACATCATGCCCCATGTCACCACAGAGTATGGTCTTCTTTCTAAGTCTCCATACTTACAGATATTTCATTCCAACTTCAACAAAAACATAACGTTTGAAACAGTGTTGCTTCTTGTGAATGTTTTACACAGAATGTAAAGAAAGGTACATACACTCTCTTCTGATTCATCATCACTGATGATGGGCTTTGCCTTTGCCTTCCTAGGTTTGGGCCCTCGCTGCTTGCCGCTTGGAGTCTGTAAAAATTACTCACTTTTACAATATTGTACTGCTTTCTATGTTGTACAGGTCACAACAATGTATACAAATCCATTCCACCAAAATGTAAATTTATTGTTGAAATGACTAATCATAGATTGATATATCAAACTAACCTTTTTGCTGTCTTTAGACAATTTGTGTTTCTTCACATGCTGGCCTGAAAAAAACCCAAGAAGACATTTGGAGTAAATATGTCAAGGAAGTGAGTGAGCAATATCATGGCTGGGGGCACTAGAAATGGACGTCGCACAATGTACCCATGTGAGGAACTGAACCTGGGTATTTGGCATGATGAGCAAACGCTTTATCCACTAGGCTACCCCACTGCCCATATCTCAAGGAAGTTCTCATGAATTCATACAACACTTGCTCTCAAGAACAATGCCAATAATCAAAAGATCTTTGCATTGATAACTTTAACCTAAGTCTCAGTGCGAGTGGATAGTTCACTATGACCAATACTGCAGGCAGTAATGAACGCACAATTCTAAAACAATTAGTGCATATATGATTTGTGTGCATGCATTGAGATAACATCAAATCATGTGACTTGTCTCCATGACTACAGAAGCAGTTCGTCTACTCACTGTCGTCATCATCAGCATCATCATCTTGTTCATCCTTGTCATCCATATCCTCCTCATCTTCACTTCCAGCGCTCTCATCTGACGACACCATGCCTTCCTTCTCCAACCTCTCTCTAGCACTTGTAAATACTGACTGTAGCACGATGGAATCTTCATAGATCTGGAATTAACCAATGTGGTTAGCAACAGTAGGGCTTGTTTTCAATCTATAGATGGTTTAGTGAGTTGGGTTTAACACTGAAAAGCATTTCAGTCATCACAGTGTCAAGAAGAAGATTCTGGGATTCAAAACCACGACCTTAGGTGTATGACTTGCCTGGATGTTGAAACACTGAACAACCAATTATGGTACTTTAGGCAACTGGGACACCAATGCCCACCCTGACTTAACCAAATGTATGGATGTTTTCCAAGATTCTTAAAAACACTATAAACCTCTACTTTACATGTTGAATTACACATAGTGAGAAAGTGAGTTGGGTTTTACGCAGCTTTTAGCAACATTCCAGCAATATTACGGCAGGGGTCACCAGAAATGAGCTTCACACATTGTACCCTTGTGGAAAATAGAACCCGGGCCTTTGGCATGATGAGCGAATGCATTAACCACCGGGCTACCTCACCTTCCCAAATCACAAAAGACAAGAGGAGAATTTGATGCTACCTGAACAGAATTTTCAGTTGTATCATGGCAGTATAGCTAACATTGGAATAAACCCAGAAGTGACTGTTCACAACTTCCACAAATGAATAGACATGTTGATAGAATAGTATTGTGGCTAATCTGGGACACAAACCCATGTCCTGCATATCCTGGCATGGTCAGGGGACTCAACTCTGTACTGAGTTACAGCTCCCTCACCCAAAGAGCCACCATATTCGATGACATAACCTCTGGTTTTCTCGCTACCTACCACTGATCCCTCCACATTGTAAGCTTGGGCGTTTTTACACAGCAACATCACATCATTCTCCAGGTCATCTATACTGCGGTACTTGTGGTCCACAATGCGTTGCTGCAACAAGCCATGGAAACAACTGAACAATACATGTTAATACAGCATTGTACGCATCATTTAAAATATGCTCAAGGCACCACATAATTTTTACCCTGTCAATGACATTCTTAACTACTTGGTGATAATACATTCATATCATATAATTTTTAGCATTCATATCAACATTACATTGATAAAGCCAATTCATGGTTGACAGTTGATATTGTCAATTAAGTCTAATAATCAGCAACTTCACTTGCTTTTTGTGGTCTTCAGTGTAACCTCAGACTTATTCCACATACCTTTATCTTTCTGAAGTCTACAGCTTTCCTGATAATTTCGTAGTATTCAGGGAGTTCTTTCTTTGACGGCAGCTGCATAAACATACTGCTCAACACTCGGCCATCACTGAAACATGTGCAAAATAATCAACATCAACGAAGTGGATATTTCACACATTATCATTTGAACCATGTATCGAAGAAAACATATCAGTGCAATCAGTGAACATAAATGTATAAAAAAGCAAAACAGTAAAAGAATGTTTCTGGAACAATTTAAACATTTTATGACTGACCATTTTTGGAATAAGTGAGTGAGTGAGTATGGTTTTATGCCACTTTTAACAATACTCCAGCAATATCACAGCAGGGGACACCAGAAATGGGCTTCACACATTGTACCCATGTGGGGAATCGAACCCAGGTCTACGGTGTGACAAGCAAACACTTTAACCACGAGGCTATCCCACCCACCTCTTTTGAATAAATATGGCAAAGAAATGCTTTCACAACTCATTACAATCTCATTAAAACATGATGTGATCACATCTCATTAAAACACGTTGTGATATCCCTGTGCACACCATCTGGCATTATCTAGTGGAAGTAACATCAGATTACATGGCCTCCAGTGGAGAGTTTCTCACATCTCCACAAACAGTGGAGTGATATCACAATATGAGTGATATCACAGAAACTTCCTTTGAAGCATAAATCTGCCAGATCACGATCAAGTTGGTCCAAATGCCACACCTTACACAGTAGACATTTGTCAGCCTTATACCCAGTTTCCTTTCAAGACAAGCCTAACTAATGAAACGACTTCACATAATTGCATCGATCGACCCCATCAATCAACAAACTCCATCCACCATGCCACTCACCTGTCCTTGTAGTTTATCACAACATCAAGTATCTTCTTCATCCTCTTTGTCAGCTTCGGTGGGTTCGGGGTCATTTTCTCTACTGGAGGTCGACCTCGCCTCTTCTTAACTTTTGGCGTCTGGTCCATATCATCATCTACCGGCTTCCTCTTACGACCTTTCTTTGTGACTCGCTTCTTGTCTTCCACTTCATCAAGGTTGCCGTCTTCAATAGCCTGAATCAGTAATCAGATTATTTCCAAATGGATTATCTTCACGATAAACATGAAAAGAGATTGCTCTCAAATTGACTGCACAAGTTCATTGGGTGATGAGTACTGTGGTTTTAGAGGGTTCTGGATGGAGTATTTGAATACAAAACACACAATTCTTACTTTCAACATAAAGATTATTATAAGAACCCCTACACAGATTGTATGTGTAACACTGTTCACAAGAATTTTAGTGAAAGTGAAATTTACATCACAACAGAGATCTTCTAGATATCTCAAACATCCTCATCCCAAAATTTACAGAGTCTTACCCGAAGCCACTGCTTCTCTGTAAGTTGATCCGAGTAATCAACCTCCTTCCTTTGTCGAGATCCACGGCCGAACAGCTTGTCTTCCTCCTCCTCACATGTCAGTCTGTCAACCTGGAGGCAACAGCAATCATAACAGTCAGCTTCAACAGCTATGGAACATAGACACAATTGCTCTTCCCCCTTTGGATACCGATTCAAGTACAATTCAATGAATCACTAAGTATGGATATGTTTGTTGTTTAACACGAATTCAGCAACATTGGGGCTGTAAGATGGCAGTCTGTAAATAACTAAGACTGGTCCAGATGATTCAGTGATTAACATAATGAGCATCGACCTTTGCACTTGGGTTACAATGACATGTATCAACCAAGTCAGCGAGCCTAGCACCTGATCCCGTTATTCGCTTCTTATAACAAGCTGAGTTGCTGTAGATCAATTCTACCCCAGGTCTTCAAGGGTTTTGACAGTCACTGAGTATAAAGAAATATCTGTGGGAACCTTCCAGTGGTCATGCAACAAAAACATCAGAACTCACCTCTTCCTCATCCTTGGTAATCCAAGATGGCAGTTCATCAATTTCCATCAGTCGTGGTTTCCTCTTGCCTCCCTCTCTGGCTTCATTACGACGCTGCGCTCAATGTCCATTTTCTGTGAAGGTAAAGAAAGCAATATACTCATGTGACAATTACTTGTTGAGGATAATAGAAGTTGTGTAGATAATATGAGGACTCTTAATGATCAGCTTCTGTACCCACCTGATAGACCTCGAACTCATCCTCTGTTCTGGCCAACATCTGGTTGATGGTTTCATCATCAGGAACCTCATCTTCTTCCTGAACACAACAAAACAGTTGGAGAGTGAATGATTATTTATACACATCCTATTCCAGTATTCCAGAATTTCACATCACTTTCACTTAAATCTTCATCTCATAAAACAGTCTTAAACATACCTCAAATGTCCATATCAAATCAATCCCAAATAGCGTTACATAAGATTCAAATCAGGTTAAGTAATCTGAAGTATAATTGGGATTATATTCTTCATGAAATTCATACCTCTTCTCCGTTTTGTTCATTCATGAGAATTTCGTGAAGGAACTGTTTCCTCTCGAAGCCAGTGGACTTCTGGTCGAACATGCCAGCCTGGATGACCTTCTCGTCCACGTTCAGCTTGTAGCGGGCAGCAGCCAGGATACGCTCCTCCACACTGTTGACTGACATTAGACGTAGGACACGCACTTCTGCCTTCTGACCGATACGATGAGCTCTGTCCTGGGCTTGTAAGTCCTGACAGGAATGAACACATATTTAGATACTTGACGTTGAACATGAAGACAAACTTAAATATGCTGGTTATTCTTATTCACAAATGTATACCTATTACCTGTAAATAAGGAATGAATGAATAACAGGAAAGTCTAGTTGACCCATGCAAAACTAACCAAGCCTACTAACCATCTGTGCAACATACTAACCTAACCCAGTAACCATCAGTTAAACACTAACCCAGCCCACTAACCCCTACAATGTACCACAAACTCATCCCACCTGATGAGGGTTCCAGTCAGAGTCGAAGATGATGACTGTGTCGGCAGCCTGCAGGTTCAGACCGAGACCTCCAGCCCTGGTACTCAGCAGAAACACAAAGTAGGGGGAGTCCGGTTGGTTGAACAGGTGCAGGAGATGACCTCGATCCTCAGACTTGGTTGTTCCATCAAGACGCAGGTACCGGAAACCTGGAAATATTACAGTCAAATTAAGACTGAGAGAATACTAAAGACAAAGAAGCAATATCTCCCTGTAGTATCTTAACTTTGTTCACAAAACAGTGCTTACCCCTGAACTGATGATACTGCTATGCTCTGAATATTTAACATGGCCAACTTAAACAAAACAATACTGACTGTTATATACAATGTGGATGCGTAGCTCTGAATGCACACAACAGTGCTTACCTTTGTATACAAAGCAATGCTTAGATCTGAATGCATACAACAACGCTTACCTCTGTACACAAAGTAGTCCTCCATAATACTCATCAGAGACGTCATCTGACAGAACAACAAGACTCGATGGTTACGCATCTTCAGTTTTGGCAACATTCTGTCCAGCAACTCAAACTTTCCTGAGGATCTGTACAGGTCAGGGCTAAAACAGATACACACATCAAGCATGAAGCTCAGGATGGAGATAGTATCACATCAAAGACAGAAAGAAACCCGCAACAAAATAGGACACATTATCTGGCATTAGTGACTCACCCAGTGACGATTCCTCCCTGTGATCCTGCTGTTTCTGCGAAGGCCTCCTCGATGTGAGGAAACATGAAGGGATGGTTACAGATCTTCCTAAGCTGCATGATGGTGTTCATCAGAAGCTTCGCTCCTCCCTTGCCCTGGAGACACAAAACCTTTAGTTATCACTTGCTCTAGCAGGAGTTCTATCCATGTGGGCCTTCCATTTACAGAGGCTGGTTGAGATAATGCTCCTTAGAGGCCTTGGTAGCCTGATGAATGCGGCTCAGGGACTTCAATGCTCACAGGCAAAGGGTCTTATCAGGGTAATTCTATGATGTGAACCCTTGATCAGCTGTTCATGTTTGTACAGTGAGTTGAAAATCACTCCAGGGTGCCGTTGTACAAAGCGATCTTAGGGTTAATGTGACCGTAACTCCCATACATAGACTTCGGTAGTTAACGCTAAGGTTTTTCTGTACAACGGTACCCTGATCAACGCTTCTGAACACAGCTTGTTGATTTGATACTTCTATATCACACCACTTACATGACTTCTACCCAACAATTTAATCTGCAATTCCTGTTAGTTTTATTGTATTTCCATTACATATTAGATGAAACATTCACTGAAATTGCTACATTATTTCTCTCACATAGAACACAATCAGCGAAATGTTTGCATTACAAGCTGACGGGAATGCATTGTTCCCAACTGTTCTCAACTCCTTGCCCTGTAGTCTTACTTTCTTGTCCTTCTCAGATCCATCAGTGAGCAGGACGCCCTTGTGTTGCATGTGTCGATACAGGAAGCGCTGTAGAGCCGACATCTCACACTTGATCACATACTCAACCTGAAACAGTCAGTCCAGGTTACTGAGTGTTGTATACTGCTCACAGCCGTGCTACATGGCTAGGGCACCAGGGATGTAGGGTAACAAACACAGAACCATCAGGTATTACAAGTCGAAGAAACATGGGATTACTTTTTACAATGAACTTATATTTCTTCCAACAATGACAGTCATTTATTCCTGTGGTTATCTGAAGACAAATGCAAATATTACACATCACAAGATATTCAGGCATGTCACTACACTGTTTTCATCTATGAATAGAAGAAACAAGGGTGTACGTACTGACTGAAAAATAGTTTAGGGACCGTTCATAATTTATGGCTTGGGCGAGAGAGAGACCCATTTTGTTCTGGGGAGCTGGGGGTGGGGGTGTCATTGATTTTGTACATGACATGCAAGGGGGTCACTTATTATGTACATGAATTGGGGGAGTCCATTCACATTGTACATGCTTCTCCATAAAAATCATCACCACCACCCCTAGCCATAAATAGTGAACGGTCCCTTAACCAGCCCAGAAGGAACAACTTTGATGAGTGACTTGAAAGAGTACAACCGTGCCCCACCTCTCAGGTGGGTTTTAGTGGTCAGTATGAGAACAATGTTTACCTTCTCAGGTAGCTGAGACTCCACCTCCTTCTTCAGCCGTCTCAAGAGGAAGGGTCGAAGCACCTTGTGGAGACGTCGGATAATCAGCAGGGTCTCTTCCTGGTTCAACTCAACCTGACCACACAAAGCCACACACATGTAAAAGAAGCTTGCCCAGGAAATGGGTATTGCAAGTATTAAGTGTTATTTTCAACTTAATCCCTTAAACAACCTGAATCAAAATTTTGAACAACAAGGTGATGTCCTTTGAACAGTAAATGAGTGAGATAGGCTTCAAGCCTCATTTAGCATTGAACTGAAAAGGAAATCCAAGGTCACATATACACTATAATTATTGGTGATGGGTCACTGAAAGCAAAATAAAAACAGCTCAATTAAAAATTCATACTGAAAAATGCCATGTAAACAATCATTACTGAGCTTATTCAATTCATATCACGGTTGGTCAGCTTAATGTGTGAAAGCCCAAAGTGAGGCCCAAGATGTTTACCACTTTGGAGAAACTCCACACCAGGTATAGTTTTTGAAATCAAAGATAATGATAAGTCCAGAATACAGCATCCTGACATGAATGAGGCAAGCAGGTCTGCCCAGCAGCTTCCAGAGTTGTTACAGATGTTATCTAGATTTTAATACACACCTTCTCTCCCGTCATGGCGAAAGGAGCATTGAACCACTGCTCGAATGTGGCACAGGACTTGAAGATGGATGGCAAGAGGAAGTTCAGGAGGGCCCACAACTCTGGCAATTTGTTCTGTGGAGACGAACACAATCAAAATTACAAGTACAACACAATATCAACTGCAATAGTTTATTAGAATGCACTGATCCAAGTTCTGTCCAAAATGTTGTTGAGTATTACAAGCATATGACAAAGAAAACCTCATACCATTGTGTTTGGTTTCAAGTGACATTTACAGTCATCAAACCTATGTTTGGAATGTACAAATGGAAACAGATTTATCCCAACGACAATCTTTGATGTTATTTGCTGTCCTCCTCCTGCAAGGGGTTATGGCTGACCTGGAGTGGGGTTCCGGTGAGCAGCAGTCTGTGGGGGGCAATGTAGTGGGTGTTGAGGACCTGGGTCAGCTTGCAGTGGTGGTTCTTCATACGATGACCTTCATCGATGATCATGTACCGCCAGCGTAACTACAACCAGGAGAGAGTCAGGCAATGCTGTTAAACATCGGAGTATATAAGATACCGAAGCCTTAGCTTCGATCACTATAATTGATAAATGACCACTGATTAATGTGGTGTACAAATATACAGCTACGTCGCCTGTTGTAACAACTGCAGGTTTTTAAGCTTACATTATAAATGCATTGAGATAAACAGGACCATAACATGAAATCCTCTTCTTGTTCATAAGCATTTTAGTGAAATACTGCCAATTCATAACTCAGACCCTGAGCACGCAATGCTTGTTTTATGAAACTGGAATGTGATACTCTCTGATCAGTCACAATGTCTGATTCCACAACATGGTCTTGTTTCTGCAGTGATTATCTCCCTTACCTTGGACAGAATGGCCTTGTCTTTGATGATGTACTCGTATGTTGTCAGGAGCACATTAAACTTGCCTCCCTTCAACTGTGGGGCGATGTTTCTCCTAACCAGTGGTGAACCCTTGTATGGGATCTTAATAACAGAGGGGGCCCACTTCTCAAACTCTATGATCCAGTTGGACAATGTTCTGCAGAAAAGATAAAAAGATACAGTACAATTTCCATTACAGATTCTATCAAATCCTGCACACCTTTGATAACCTTCAAAGTACAAAACATATGACTTCTTTGGAAACAAGATAGGTTATAAATGTCATCAAATTAATTACTGAATCACAAAGACCAAGGATTCAAGAAGTGGTATTTTCTTAGTTTTTGTTTGTTGTTTCGCCACCCTCAGCAATATTCCAGCTATATGGCGGCAGCGGTATTTTCACATCACTAGATCAAGGATGAATCAGTCAAACACAGTGGCATACTTACGACAATGGCACAATGATAAGGAATGGCCCGTTTACTCTCTTTTTCTCCATGAGGTATGTAATCAGACCAATGGTCTGAATGGTCTTTCCTAGACCCATCTCATCAGCAAGGATACCATTCAGGTGATTGTTGTATAGGGAGACAAGCCATTCTAGACCCTTCACCTGTGAAAGGAAAAGTATAATATACATTACAACATGTCACTAGAAAGGAGAGACTTCAGCTGAGATGATGACCTTCTACAGGGACAGGTATTTTAGTGCAAATCTTGAATGACTCCAAACATACAGAACTTATCCAATGTATGTCTACATTCATCAAGAGTGAGTGAGTTAGGTTTAATGCTGCTTTTAGCTATGTTCCAGCAATATCATAGCAGGGGATCTTCAAATGATCTTCACACATTGTACCCAATTGAACACAGGTCTTTGGCATGAAGAATGAATGCTTTAACCATGAGTGAGTGAGTATGGTTTTATGCCGCTTTTAGCAATATTCCAGCAATATCACAGCGGGGGACACCAGAAATGGGTTTCATACATTGTACCCACGTGGGGAATTGAACCTGGGTCTTTGGCGTAACGAGCGAACGCTTCAACCACTAGGCTACCCCACCGGCCGCTTTAACAGTGAGGCTACCCTGCCTCCTTCATCAAGAGATTTATGCCATGACCCAATCTTTTAGTAATGATTATCACATGCTTATATCAATTTCCTGTTGATATGTTAACATGGCTTGAAACTGATTTTACTTAAATTATTACTACATTAACACTTCTATCACAGGGTACAAAGGAAATAAACACTGAACATATGGAAGTAGGTTAATCCTAAAAGTTTCATCTAGTCATTTTCATCTGTGAACATTTTTCCACAATTGATCATAGAAAATCAAGCCAACACAGGTCAGTAATAACGCGACTAGATAGAGTCAACCAACCTGGTACTCCTTCAGGGTTCCGTTGACCAAGATGGACGCCTGTTCGAACACCTTTTCTCTGACAGTGTGAGCAACGCCATAGTAGTTTTCTAGATTCTTGTACTCATCATCCTCATCCTTAGTAGACGCTTGTCTGAAAGAACATGTCAATGTAAGAAGTAAGTTCCCATTGTATTTGTGGACTTTTTAACCTACAAAAGTTGTGACTACAAATGCACCATGCAGTGTGTTTCAAAGATTTATCAGTGTACAAGTTCTGCACATTAGCAGCAGTGCGACTGACAACTCCACATTCTTGACTACAGAAACACTGCTGTAAACCCACTGTATAATCTTGTTGGCAGTCTCCTCGTCTAGATTTTCTGGGCTTGTCGCTATAGTACCAGGTCTATTCTCAGTCAATATGGAAGGCTGTGGAAGTGGCTCATCGGCTTCAGAGTCCTGAAACATAACACAAACGTACAATAAACAACAAAAATAACAAGTGTTTGCCACTGATATGGCAATGTCCCCAGCCGCTAAAGAATGTAATATCAATATTTACTACTTTATATTTTAAAAGGTCACCCAAATAACCAAACCTGAAGAGGTTTTCAATTCTTCGAAGAGAGTCGTCCTTGGGGTACATATTATGCATTTTCCACGCTGAAAATGTCCTGTGACAGTTGTATCAATGTTTTTGAATAAAAGATTGTACAATAAATAAACTTTTATTTTATTATCACCCCCCCACCTCGTGGAGTTACCTCCCGTTAGCATGCGCACCAACTGGAGTAATCACCTAGGCCGTATCATCATTCCTTCTGCTGAATAAATCAGTGAACAGAATTGCGGGAGGCGGGAGGCCCTACCCCAGGGCGACTCTCTTGAAGAATTGAAAACCTCTTCAGGTTTGGTTAATTCTTCTTCATAGAGATCGTCCTTGGGGTACATATTATGCATAAACACAGACTCCCAAAGACCCGAGAGGCCAGGGAGGAGGAATTCTGTCCAAGCACATACAAATAGCTATCGTCAATTGAATAATGTAACAGGCGCCATAACACTCACCTGTCACATGTCCCAGTTTTAAGCTTCCTTGAGAGGCATTGTGGGAGGAGAACTGACAGGGAGGATTGCACTCAAAGAGCGACCTCAGAGGTTCGCATAGTAATTCGCACATGGTGCGAAATGTAAACAAAGCCCCACCCACCTTGTGTCGATTAGTGAGCACCGTAGGGGGGAATGTCAAAACGCTCACAACCGACCTAAATACTCCGTAGAGGATCGAAATGAGGTTATTTAGCTCCCAGAAGCGGACATGTCAATAAAACTCAGTATTGACCAGCAGCGTCAACAAAAAACCAATGAACCAAGACTCACTCGGTCAGGGTGGCAGGACACTGTCCACTGGAGAGAACAGAGCGGCCAAAGCTTCGCCGCGATTACGGGAATGTGTATCGAGCTGATAATGCCGAATAAACGTGCTAGGCCGGCTCCAAATAGCGGCAGAGCAGATCTCTTCAATGGGGAGTGCCGATGCAAAAGCTTTTGATGCGGCTACTGCCCTGACCGAGTGAGCCTTCAACCCCTCAGGGGGAGGCTTGCCCTTAGCCTGATAAGCGGCACAAATACCACGAAACTAGCCAGCGAGACAAAGTCTGCTTGCTTTCGCCCGGCACACCAGCCTTCCCGCCACCGTAACAACAGAACAGCTGGGTACCCGTCACGGATTCCCTGCGTTAGTTTGATATAGACCTTTGAGTGTCTTCGGGACATCCAGCGGGTGAGTGCTTTCGTTGCAGAGGTCCCGATGTGGAAGGCTGGGTAAGAGTGGGAAGTTCGATAGGAGCTGTCACATGGAAGCGTGATCGACCTTCGGGTGATGCGTATCCGGGAGGCGAATACTGACCACGATCAGTGTGAAACACAGTCAGCGCCCGGGTCGGGACGACATAGCATGTAAATCGCCGACCCTACGCCCAGATGTTACCGCCACCAGAAAAACAGCCTTCCAAGTTAACAACTGAATGGAAATAGCCGATAGGTGTGAGAAAGTGGGACGGACAGCCAATCGAGCACAATTGACAAATCCCAAGGTGGACTGGTTAAGCCTGACAGCAGGTCGAACCCGATCAGCGCCAGCTAAAAGCGCTGTGCGAGAGGTGCTGCCCCAGAAGAGCACCATCGACAGGGGTGTGAAAAGTGGAAATAGCGGTGGAGTAGCCACGAATGGTCGAAGCCGCCAGGCCTTCTTCAAAAGCGGGCTTGCAAAAACTCAATACTGGGACTAAATCCGCCCAGAAAAGGGATCTGCAATCCCCTATCTGAACACCAGCGGCATAGCGGGACCACCTATCCTCATACTGAGCGTTTGTCGAATCCGCCTCGAAGCCAGAATTGTGTCTGCAACTGCTGCAGGAATTCCGGCGTGCCTCGAGGCTAGACCTGACAGAGGCCAAGCCACCCACTGAATCCTTGGATTGGGGTGGGGCTCCGTTCTGAGTGAGAATGTCCGTCGTAAAGGGTAATAGAACAGGAGGCTGAGCCAGAAACCTGAGAATTACGGAAACCAGCTCTGTGACGGCCAAAGCGGTGCCAGTAGCACAAGCAGCCGAGCTGGCTGGGTGGACAGCTGTGAAAGGACCGCGGGGAATGAGTGGTAGTAGCGGCGGGAGCGCCAGAGCACTTTGCCCGTCAATCCAGCAGGAAGGCGTGGCGGCCAGCGCCCTCAGGTCCGGTATTTCGAGAGCAGAACACGGGTGTCTGATTCGTCCCGCCCGGGCGCAAACAGATCCACCTGGAGCGACCCGGTACAACTGGGAGATAACTCTGAATATCTGCCTGTCGAGCATCCACTCGTGCGGGGCCAGGATCCGGCGAGAGAGAGCGTCTGCTCGCACGTTCTCCAGCCCCGGGAGATAAACAGGGAGTACCTGACAATCGCACTGGTCGCACCAGAGGAGAAAGTCCCATGTCTCCCGGAGGAGCGCTCGGGACACCGTGCCGCCTTGCTTCAGGATGTACGACATGGCCGTCTGGTTGTCCAACTGAAGACGAACCACCTGGCCCTGGACATGCTCTCGGAAGCGCTCGAAAACCAACCGCACAGCTCTCAGTTCCAACACGTTGATGTGAAGGTGGGCTTCGGCTTCGGACCAGAGTCCGGACACCGACAGACTGCCCAGAACACCCCCCCAGCCCGTGAGGGACGCATCGGTCTGAACTGTAAGAGCTGGCGTCGGGATTTCCAAGGGGATCCCCCTGGTGAGATTCCCGACATTGGTCCACCACTGAAGGTGAGGTGTCAACCACCCGGGGACTGTGAGACTCCGCTCCAGGTCCTCCGAGTGAGCCCACAGACTCGCCAAAGCTTGCTGTATAGGGCGCATCCTCAACCGCGCCCGCCACACTACAGAGATCGTCGCCGCCATATGGCCCAGTAGACGGAGCCAAGTCCGTGCTGGTGCCTGGGGCTGGGAGAGGAACGAAGACACCATCTCCCGTACTCTGGTGACCCGGTCGGGCGACAAGGAAACGAGATCCTTGTGTGTTTGGAACCTCGCCCCGAGAAAAACCAAGTCCTGGGTGGGTACCAGGTCGGATTTCTTGAGGTTGATGATCCACCCCAGTCGAACTAGAATGTCTATCACCGTCTATCACCGTGTGAGTAGCATCTAGGCTCGCTGGCTGTGTTAGTGCGCCGAGCAACCAGTCGTCGAGGTAAGGGTAACAACGCCTTCCTTGCGGCGGCGGCGAGGAGTAGCGGGACTAACATGAGCTTGGTGAACACCCTTGGGGCAGTGGATATGCGAAGGGAGCACCGTGAATTGGTAACACATCCCGTCGTAAAGAGAACCGAAGGTACTGCTTGAGCGATGGATGTATGGGCACATGCTGAATCACATCATCCTTGAGGTCGATTGGCGTGAGCCAATCGCCGGGCTGAACAGAGGAGATCACCGGCGCAGTGTCTCCATCTTGAAGGATGGAACTTCGAGCATCGCGATTCAACCCCTTGAGGTTGAGAATGGGGCCGGAACCGCCGTCTTTCTTGGGGACGAGGAAGTGCGTGGAGTAAAATCCGCCTGTTCCTCTCCCGGTGGTATCGCTTCGATTGCGGACTTGTCCAGCAAAGCCTGAACCGTCGGCGCAAATATGTCCGCCCTTGCCTGACATGGCGGCACGGAGTGCGGCGTATGCGGTGAAGTCGGGCGGACCTCGCTTCCACAGTGGTAAATGGCCTACACTGGCGGTGGACAGCACCCAAGTGTTGTTTGTAGCCTTCTCCCACTCCGGCAGGAATAGAGAGAGCGGCCTCCCACTGGGGCGTTGGGTAAGAAGCGGCGTCGCGTGGTCCCGAGTAGCGGAGCTGACTGGGAATGACACCGGCTGGGTCTACAGCCTGATGGGTTAGCGGGAGGTCGGGGCAGACCTCCAGCGCCCTTGAAAGGCTGGGAGCTAGTCGAAGAGGACTGCTCTTTGCCCTTACCCTTGGCGGACCCGGTTCCTCCGCCTACCCCTGCCAGCGGCGAAGCCAGCCAGCGGACTTCGGGTGTAGGCTGCACCCGCGGAGGAAGGTGGAAGCGGGGCCAGCTGGGCGAAGCCCCGCGGGTGCTCCAACAAGGCCTTAGAGTCCTTGAAGGAGGTAGCTGCAGCGGCAGCCTCCCGTATGACCTGCTGGGCCCCAGGAAACAACGTCGCTCCCAGACGGTAGGGAAGGGCCAGCAAGGTCTGCTGTGTAGCTGCCGAGTACCGAGACGTCGACAGCCACAGCTTGCGCATCCCCATGACTGCGCACATCACCGTCGACGCAGCTGACCGCAAGGAGTCGCGCGCGAGGTGTGCCTGAACTTCGGATAACTGACGGAGTAGCACGACATGCGGAGAAACGTCTCCAGCATGCCCCTCCGCCTCCAGGGCCGACCTCTGTATCGAGGAGAGGTAGGCCTCATGGACCACGACCCGCACCTGCTGCATGGCGTTCCGGTAGACCTCCTCGTAGGTCCGATATGCATGCTGCAGAAGCGCCAGCGAGAGCAAGCGGTGGTGTTAACGCCCTTGCCGAGCAGCGGGCTGCTCGGAGGAAGCGAGCCTCCCCAAAGGCGACCCGAAGTAAACACGCACTCATCCACCACTGGAACAGCGAACAGGGAATCCTCCCCAGCTGGTACCTCGGACAAGCTCAGGCAAGTCGAAGCGGGCCGAGACCCAGACAGGAGGGATCAACCACGTCCTGGACCAGCGATGGTAGAATCACGGGCAGCGTCTGTGTAGGCTGCCGAGGGCAAGCGCCTCGCCTGGCAGGCGGAACTCAGAGCGAGTCTGTGCGGCTGGCAGGCACAGCGGCCTGGGGTAGGAACTTCGGCAATGCGTTGCGGACCTCCCGCAAAGCCGGCCAAAAGCGGAAGGCACCCTCCTGCTCCTCTACCTCCCCAGTATCCATGGACTCGGCGCCCGAGCCCGAGTCGAGGCTGGAGTCTCCTCTCGCGAAGGGACCCGAACCCGACCGGTGGGCGGCCTAGCACCAGGCACAGAAGAGAGGGAGGAGCAGACAGAAGCCCCAGCGTCAGCACCTGCCATCTCGCACACGGACCCGGTCCCGAGGCGCTGGAGGCAGACCAGGCAGAACTGGTGCCTCCCCGCTCTCATGGGGGCGGGGCGGCGCAGGGACGGAACCCCAGGAATCCTCAGCGGACCCTGCGCCAACTCCGAGAGGGGGGACTGGGAGCGAAGCCTCCCCTCCCGGGGCAGCCGAGGCGTCGGACCCGAAGCCAGAGGCAGCGGATCTACAGGCGCCTCAAGGCCGAGGGGATCGAGCGGGCTCGGCGATCCCACCCCAGACTCTCCGCCCCCGCACGCTCAGAGTGGGCGAGGAACTCCTGCGGGAGCCCTCAACCGACTCATGAGCGAGGGACCTCGCCGAGTCCGCGTGCTGCTGGAACATCTGCGTAATTAGCGACATGTCAAAACCGCTACTAGGAGCGTGAGAAGGCGACTGGCTGCGTGACTTTTTGCCTTGCCTACGAGGCTTTTTGGCTTTGGACGGGGGGACCTGGGTCAGTTCCCCTCCCGCCTCCCGCATTTCTCTATAAAAGAGAAAATCCGCCGCCCTTCTCTTCTGGGCCCGGGGGGAAAACCCCATACATATCTCACATGTTTCTGAGATATGGTCCGTTTTTTCCAGACACACAATGCATTTGTCATGGCGGTCAGCCCTGGGAATGCTCTGCCCACAGACCGAACAGGAGGAAAACGCCTGAAAGCAAACACGCAAGCATGTAGCTAACAGCGGACCAGCAGCTAATAGACACGTATAAAACATTGAAAAATACGTGAAGGCTACCACGGGAAGAAATAGTTGGTTCAATACGCAATATTACAACCATGTGGCACGCTAAACTTCCCGCCATGGCAGAGCAACATGTGCGTAAACCACGGGAAAGTTAAGCGTAAAATAATAATACAAAGTCACAATTATGAAACAACCGACCCGCGAAAGCTTTACTGCTTCCTTAGCAAGGACAAGATAAAGACCATACATACAGGTGGTGTCTCAGACATAATTCTCTTGAGTTCTCTTGGAGAGTACAGCTGCTCTACACATCGTCCTCACACGTGTAGTGACAGCAGAAGGAATGATGATCACGGGCCTAGGTGATTACCCAGTTGGTGCGCATGCGCGCCACGCGGAGGTAACTCCAAAAACGAGGTGGGGGCATAATATGTATAATAAATAAAAATGTTTATTTATTGTACAATCTTTTTTATTCAAAAACATTGATACAACTGTCACAGGACATTTTCAGCAGTGGAAAATGCATAATATGTACCCCAAGGAAAAGGTATATGAGGGATCGATCTCTATGAAGTCCCCTGGACTCTACACAGAAGAATGCTTTGAAAAGTATTCAACGACACAACATTATATGGGAGGACACAGTAACAGGGGTCGTTGACACTGAGCACTGAGTGGAATCATCAAGCATGGTCCTCATACGTTAAGGATTCTTAGCCATATTCAATTCCTGGCAGCAGAAAGATGCCTCTGTGTAAAGTTAATCAAGATGGTGCTTCAAACCCTTAGTCCCTTGTACATGTGGGCCTGTCAGGGATAAACTTTTCAAGTTGCTGCTACAAGTGAAGTTCTACCAGTGGCAAAACAATAAATGGTGGTAAAGAGCTGAGAAAAAGGCAACTTATTCTTTGACTATCAGTTTTATTAGTTTGAGCAATATTCTAGCAATATCATGGCATATGTTACATTTGACCACTTTCTAAATGGCATTGTGTATTTCATCACGGCAGGGGACACCGCAGATAGGCTTCACACAATTGTACCCATGTAGGGATTCGAACCGGGGTCTTCGGGGTAACGGACAAATGCCTTAACCACTAGGCAACCCCACCATCCCACATGGCAGAAGTTGAGAGATGAAGTCCACTTACCCAGGGTGCAGTTCTAGCCAAGAATCAAGCTGTCCAGCAGTAGGAGCATCCTCCCCACTCAACACCTTCCCAGTAGCCGTCTCCTTCACAGTTGCATGGATCTCGCTCATGTTAGAGCTCTCGTCCAGGCCCTGCAATGCGGAGAACCATTACATACTGCATTTCAAATATGCTCATCACTATGGGTTTCTCCATTTTACAACTGAATGCATTCCAGATTTTATCGCAAAATTTGAAACTGATACACTTTCAAGAATCACTTCCGCAGATATGCCATGAAAATTCAGACTAAAAATGAGTTACTGCAATTTTTAAAATCTTGTACAACTGTTAAACCTCGAAATGCTGTAATTATTTAACAACACACGAAGAAACTTCATGCATCACACGTTGCATCTGACTATATCTAAGAAAGTCACATCTCAAAAGTCAAATGATCTACATGATAAAATGCAGTAGAATCAAGCATAACAGCTTCATTGTGACTTGCTGAGGCAAGAATGTGAAACAAGCTATAATATGGCTTTCATATCCTCTACCTGTGATGTTTCAACTTCTACGTCTAATTCTACTTCAATGTAAATCTTAGTTTATTAACTACTACCATAGCAAATGATAACTGAAGCAAAAAAATGTACAAGTAGTAAAATATACTTGTTCAGTAGTAAGAGGCTGATGTAAAAAGCACCAACTCTAGGCTGTACTCCTGTGCCTAAAGTCATTATAGGGTTAGATTCCAGCAACAGAAATATTAGACTGATAACTTAGAAACAGTTCTGTACAAGCTATGCAGCTGGTATTGGAGATACTGATATTGAATTTAACAAAGATACATTCCCCCAAAACTCATCCTCTTCACAAAGCCAGCTAATATAATCATGAACATCATTAAGCACCATTACTTCTTTAGGGGCCATGCAGCTCCAGTTTCTGATACTGATGTAGAAATTAATTTAAATATATTCCCGAAAAAATCTTTCACAAAGCCGGGCAATATCAACATGAACTTTACAAAGTACAATTTGTCTCGTTCAGGAAACCCCAACCAAAGTATCACCTATTTTGAAATGTACATTTTTCACAGAAAAACAAGAGATACCAGAACTATGAAAAAGTATAGAAAGAAGACTAAGGACTCGATATTGTTCTAAGGTTTAGCTAAAGTCGTAAGATCAGATTAAACAAATGATAAAGCAGTGGCATTATCCACACCAAATTTGACTTTAACCAGAGAGATAGCTGGTAGGGTGAACTAGACGAGAGTTGTTAAGTTTTAGCAGAGTCAGAATGAGTGAAACAGATTCTCCCTGGCATCAAGGTTACTTGTGAGAAACTATATTGATCAATGGCTTCATACAATTCAAATCATTAAAGACAAGTAAGTATGATTTCCATGTGTGCCCTGCAGGCAATGTGAACTGACCATGCTATTACAAAATACGGTTGATCTACATCCCATTGAAGTAACTGTTGTCAGAATATTGTCCCATCACAGGAGATTAAGTATAATACCAGTCAGCTCTTGATTACAGATTCTATTCAGCTACATGTCTTCGCTATACATATTTAATCCACCTTATCAGACTTTTTTTCAATCTCAAAAAGGTAAGAGAACGAATGAACATATAAGAGAATGTATGAACATACAACAGAACGCATGAACATACAAACACGGGTAGCCACTACTGGCCATATCCATCTCATTTCAGACAAGCTGTTCATTCAGAATACTAGATTTGGAAATGAAATAACTAGTGCATTTCAATTTTCACTTGTCTTGGACTTCCATTATGTTCAACATTGTAATGAGATTCAAATCACCATTGTCTGGTGTCCTAGCCCAGTGAAGTGTTCCTTAAAAAGTATAAACACTGTTTAAAGATTTCTTAATGTTCACATCTTTGTCAGTTAAAGAAACGCAATACAATGTACATACCGCAACTAGATTATCATTTGGGTTTCAGACTTATTTTATGGCGCGTTCAGAAACATCTATCAAACAAAAAGACAAACACTCACAGATGTCATTAGCCATCTACAAATTCTTATCTGGCTTTTTAACCCCATAATATCCTATTTCCTTCGACATCTGTACAGTAACACCTACAGCCATACAATCAGCTATTTCATACCTGCACAATACAACGTATAATAATGCTTGAGGAGCTTGTATCACTGAACAGTGAAAATGTTCTTGACTAAATTCTAGACAGCTGTTAATTATGTAACATGTCTCATTCATAAGTGTTATTAGAAATAGACCCATTAAGTTCAGTTTTTCATTCGCAGAAAGCTTGTTCATATTACATTGTCACCAGACTGTGATATTAATGTAGCAATGACATGCAGTCCCAGTTTGAGTAAATGCCGATGGGTCACCATGCTGATAGCATGTCCCATTGAGGTGGCAAACATTTCATGATAGATGACAAATGATTGATGATCATATGAACATTAAAGATCAGATTTCTGGAGTTACAACCATGCCAGATAAAGCATAATATTCATCCACAGAATTCCTGGCATTCAAAGACATTTCCCAACAACGCTGAATTAGGACAATGAAGGATAAATCTGTCCTCTCAATGCACAACAGTTGCAGTGAAGCGTACCACAACTCCAATGGATCACAAAAAGTACACACACAAAATGGACTCGATACACAAAATGACATACTGCCACAAACATTTTAGCAGGAAGATCAAATCTATCACTTCCTACACCGGAATATAGATGGCAATTCAAATTACTTTCTGTAATAAGCAACAGAAAAGGGTTGAGCATAATACTGGTACAATATACAAAATTCTGGATTAATGAATAAACTGAGCATGACATAGGTGGAATTAACATTGCAGCTGCTATTCTGGAGCTAAGGATTAGTAAAGCATGTAGATACACATCCTCGAATCCTGTGGCATTTCATCTCCTTCAAGTTCTGATTTCAACTGTACTTCCACTGAAATTAATCCACTGATGTTTTGGATGAAAAAAAACAAAAAAGAAAGCCAGAAGCAGGGCTAAAGATGCTCCGAACTTACTGCATGACTTTTATACTTTCAATCTGATAAATCGTTCACAAGACAAGGCACTGCCCAAACCCTGTAGACAACCATATTAGCCTTGAGTACTTGCTTGTTGGTAAGTGGATTTACAGAGCCAAAATAATGTATTTTCTTTATTAGGAATTTCACATTACAAATTTTAGGACAAATGTCTTTTTAACATCCATATATTTGGGATGTGTCAAACCTTGCAGACTGTTAAATTCAGATAATTTGAGCACATGGAATTTATAAAACCTACCAAAGTGTCCAGAATTCAAATTTTCTTAAAGAACAGAAAGAATTTCGACCTAACTGGTTTGACCACAAACAATCAGTTTCCAAATATTCAAACGGTTTCATGACATTTATTTGGAATCCACAGAGCAGTAAATGTTTGAATAAGGACAGCATGGTCCTAACAGTAATAACTGATACTGTGTCAGTGGAGACAGTTCTACGTCAGAGAATGGATATAAAATAGCCGCGGTAGTTCGAGGATGCTCGATACAATGCTACACTTACCCCCTTCCTTAAGGGCATCGCCACTCTGCCCTTCCTGGAAAGTTTTAACCATAAGTCAATAATCAACCAAGGTGCCTCAACGGCACTTACTTTATCTTAGTTTTAACATACATCGGGTGCTTCTTAGTCTGTTATAATACTGGTTGTATTTTTCTTGTATCTGAGTGTTTGTTCGCATAGTTTTGTTTCCATGGTACTGCCCATGTTAATGGAACACCACATGAATAAAATGGTGTTGAAATGAATTAATCTGGATATCATTTCCAGTACAAAATACTGCACAAGATATTCCCTAAATCCTGAATTGCTATCCATTACTTCGTCATCCATTACCACACTCATTGCACCCGTGATATTAACGTCAGTAATATTTCTATGGAACTGAACTCAATTTAGATTCATGATCAGCTGAGGAGTAAGGTTGAACACCACTGCTGGGTTCATGTGGTTGTCCTTGCTGACTTCTTTACCTTGGGAACCTTGGGCCTCTTCTTCTTCTTCTTCCTGTGCCTCTTCTTCTTGCGGATATCTTCCTTGTGTTCATGGACCAGTTTCATGAGATTGTCAATGTACTCGTCAGTCTGGTGGAGCAGGTAGGCCAAGCGCCTGTCTTTCTTTTGATCAATCAGCTTACGGTAACCCTCTTCATCTTCAGCCTAGGAGGAAGACAGGAAGAATGAAATATGGTTCACTGTCAAACAATCATCAAAGGCAAACTAGTGGTCGATGGTATGAACATAATCTGGATTGGTTGTATTGTTTGGTGTCACTGCTTTCATTCCAATGATAACACATCAACTGAAGAAGGGGTAACACAAATTGTATTGTACAAGTGTTGGAAAACAAATCCAACCCAGTTTAAAGCCAACCCATTATCCTTCATGGGGTATACCACACTTTTAAGCCTTAGAAATTCATTTCTACAACCTTTAAGAAGTATTAGCCTCTATACTCATTCTCATAGAAAGTTTTGACTATATAATTATAAGCAATGCTCATCATCAACTGACCATGAGACGTCTCATACGCTCTTTCTCTATTCTCTCCTGCTCCTTCTTCTGTTCCCTCTCAGTGTTGGCATGGTACGTCATCACTGCTTTGTTCAGCTTGCTGATCTTGGCTGTTACATTCCTGTGGAACTCCTTGAAGTCCTTGGCATGCTGGAGCACTGCGTTCAGATATTCCTGAAAACAACAGAACTAGGGAGTCAGTATAAGCCCTGGGACGATTGCACAGACTCACAGAGCAAGTGAGTGAGTTTAGTTTTACGCCGCTTTTAGCAATATTCCACCAATATCACAGCGGTGGACAAAAGAAATGGGCCTCACACATGGTACCCATGTGGGGAATCGAACCTGGGTCTTCGGCATGACGTGCAAACGCTTTAACCACTAGGCTACCCCACTGTCCCAGATTCACAGACATCCTTCTTGTGTATATGCCTAAATACCTACACGAACCCATTTTGAAGAAACCTTTACTTAAAATCAGTTTAGGAAAACTGTTACACCTGAATAAAGCAGGGTTCAAACTGTCAGAAATACTAACATGTATTTATCAAGTGGGTAAAACAGAATCATTGTGGTTTGTAGTCTGTAAAAAGGTAAGAAACTGCAAAACATTCTTAAAACTTTCATCTTCAAAACAGACCCAAAACAATTGGCAATTCACAATTATTGCCTTTCATATCTCAAACACAGAAGAAAAAGCATTTCATCTACACAGTTGATCATCATGAGGTCATCAGAACGTGTTCTTCTCCTACCTGATGTTTCTGCCTCTTCTTCCTCTCCTGTTCCACCTTCTGTTGTTTCTCCAGCTTCTCGGTGATACGTGCTTCTCTGAGTGACTGTCGCTTGCTGCGCTTGTATGCCTTGGTGTTGAGGGCTGTCTCTAGAGTGGTGTCTCGTCTCATGCAGGACACTACATCAGTTCTCAGCTGTGAGGTATTCAAATACATATGTACAGATTGTAAAAAGCAATTGACTACAAGAAAATTGCAAGCAGAAAAGTCATTAGGAAAATATTCTCGAAACTAGTAAGAGCCAGATGCCTAATCATACACCTAGTGGTAAGACTGTGGAATAATGGAGTGACTAAACGACTATTTTACCTCTGCTCAAAAGACAGAACAGACTATGACATGGGCTTTGGACAAGTGGGTAATTCGAGACAAAAGCCAGATCGACATTTTGGTTGTATTGAACAATATTTCAGTTATGTCAACGCATGTCAGACCAATGTGAGTGTGATGCTGGATGTGACTGTTTATTATGTTGGAAACTTACTGTCAAATCAAAGAGCATATTTGTGGAGACTTTGGAATTAGATCCTGTCACCTGTAGACCCCTGCAGCTAAGGGACACAACTCTGAACATCAGGCAGTTTCAACTCATCTGTCAATAGCACTCACCCCTCAAAGGGTGCTGACTGATCTTGACAAGCATAACAAATTCTGTAAATATTTAATCCCTTTAGCTTCAACAAAGTTAATCTCTAACTAGTTTTTTACACAGCACAAAAGCATGTGCTGAAAATAACACAATGTAACCTACAATTTATTTATTAGAAAATTCGACTAGTACCTGTCTTTGGAAGTTGAGAAGTCTGAGCGCCCGGAGCTCTATCATAGCCTTGCATCTCATGTCTTCAGGCATGGTGGCCGGCATCTTGCTGAGTTCCTGGATCCGAGATCCAATCCGAGCAGCAAGTCTGAAGTGAGATGAAAGACAAATTTTCACCATCACTTACCTGCAATGCTTCTACACATTTCCTGATACTGCTTTACAATATTCCAGCAATATCACGACAGGGGACTCCAGAAATGGGCTTTAGAAACTATACTCGAGTAGAATCGAACCCAGCTTTCAGTGTGACAAGTAAATGCTTAACGATTAGACAACCTCACCGCCCCAAACACAGCATAAAACCGAGTTCATTTCAGAGCACAGTAAGCTGTAACTAGAATGATAACCTGCTACAGTTGGATGAAATGTTTCAAAACAAATTTATTTAATATTGTAAACACTACACATACTTAAAACAACCATTTCTCATCATGCAAGCATGTTGCTTTGTTTACAATGGACAGAAGCAATGTGAATCAGTGTCTATAACAAGTGGTCGAAATTAAGGTTGCCCAGGAGTTCATGAGGATTGTTCCCATGGCACCAGAAATGGCATTTGATCTGAGAACCATGGCATGTGAATCTTATCTCTGCAAATGCAAGGTTTATGTTAATGACCCCTTTAAAGCTTAACATCATATTTGGCAATTGGCTCTGACCTGTTTTCTCTCTCATTCAGCATCTCAATAGGATCCAATCCCTGTGGTTTAGCCACCGGTGCAATACGGTTCTGCTTCTGCTGAAGGGCCATCATAGCTTGCACTGAAGGTGGAGGGGGCTGACTAGGCTGGGTGGGTCTGGGTGTTGGAGCTCCACTGTCAGGTGTTGATGCTGGGACCTGGGCTCCATTAGACATTATCGCTGAGGGCGGGGCAGTACTTGACATTGTCCTCATCTGCATCTGCGGCGGCTGCTGTGATGGGTCAGATGACTGTTGAGACTGCTGTTGCTGCTGCTGTTGTTGTTGCTGCTGCTGATGTTGCATCCTCATCTGCTGCATCTGGTGAGGATCTGCTGTTATAGGAAAAGCTTAATAAATATCTACATCCTAGCTTAGTTATTTCTGATGCAAATATTTTTTCAGTTTGAGCAACAGCTTCAATATGGTTACAAGAGTTAAACATTTTCATGAAACTCTTCCAACAACTCATGCCAACAACAGGAAAACACATCCCACCTAGCCCACTCCCTAGAGCAAGTTTCAATCTTCCAAAAGCCAGCACACCCACCCGTTTACAAAGCGAGGATTTTGCTGTCCAGGACAGTTTACAATATTCTCAGACTGGCTCAGGTTTTTTACCTGGTCTAGGAAATGGTCCCAGTGGCCTCTTACCCTCCACAGCTAACCGGAGTGTGTCCGGGATGATCTGGTTGCGAGCTAGTAACTTGTAGGCCATGATCTGTGCTCGCAACTGATGGAGCTGTGCGGAGCTGAAGGCGGTGGGGCGGGGTCCTCCAGGGGGCATCTGTCCCGGGGGCATTCCTTGTGGGGCACTGCCTGGAAAAGAATATCAAATTGACATTTTTTATACAACATTGTAAATGCTAATCATGCAATTTTCTGATTAAAATTGATACTTTATACTTATCCGACTCATGCTAATAATGCTTGTCTCCTAGCTCTTGCAAATGATAGTGGAACACCTTAAAGTTCCCTTTTAACAGTTTTTAAAGTTCTGCTCCAGAAAGGGAGCACGAGCACTTATTTCAGTCTATGTCAAACTTGTTGCCATGGAAATGCCAAAAATATTTTATTCAGAAATCCAAAACTACCAAAAGGCACAAGTACACCACCAGATCTATGTATGTGCCAAGTTTGGTGAAGAAACATTCAACGGTTTTAGAGTTCTGCTAGGGAAAAGTGCACTACCACTAATTTCTGTTTTAGTCAAACTTGTTGCCATGGAAAAGCCAAAAATATTTTATTCAGAATTCCAAAAGGAACAAAACTGTGTCCAAAAGGAACCAGTACACCACCAGACCAATCTATGTCAAGTTTGGTGAAGAAATAGTGACCACGGTTTGAACGGTTTTGGGAGTTCTGCCTCGGAAAAGAGCACTACCACCAATTTCAGGCTAAGTCAAACTTGTTGCCATGGAAATGCCAAAAATATTTTATTCAGAAATCCAAAACTACCAAAAGGCACCAGTACACCACCAGATCTATGTATGTGCCAAGTTTGGTGAAGAAATAGTGAACGGTTTTAGAGTTCTGCTCCGGAAAAGACAAATGTGCACGCACGGACGGACGGAGTCCATTTTAATACACCAATAAATAAAAAACACCAATGCCTGAAGTAAAGATCAAGTCAACTTTGAATAAAGAAGGAAATCAGTTCTTACCTTGGATCTTACCTTGACCTTGATTCCCCTCCATGTTGTGGGGTGGCATGTTTGGTCCCATCCCCATGTTCCCTGAAACAGGTCCCATAGGCCCAGGGCCAGAGTTCATACCAGGGCCAGCCATTGTTGTGTTCATGGCACCACCACTACCGCTAGTATTGGGTACTGTGGGGCCGCCCATGTTGGATGATGGTTGCGACATCGATGTACTACTTGTTGGCACATTGGGATTGTTCATGTTCGGGAGGCATGTTCATACCAGGTGCCCCCATTGGCCCGTCATTGGGACCTCCCATGTTCTGTGAGGCCATATTGCCCTGCATGTTGGGACCTGGACCACCCATTCCTCCATGGGGCATGCCTCCAGGTCCTTGCATACCTGGAGGACCTCCGGGCATACCTTGCTGAGGGCCACCATTCATGCCCTGTTGAGATCCTCCATTCATGTTCTGCCCTCCACCCATTCCTTGCTGTGGGCCACCAGGCATTCCCTGTTGAGGCCCACCCATCCCGGGACTGAGATCCACCCATCCCTTGTTGGGAAGCACCCATTCCTGGTTGTGGCCCACCCATACCTGGCATTGGACCACCCATTCCCTGAGGACCTTGGTGCATTCCTGGCATTGGCCCTTGCATTCCCTGTGACTGTGGCCCCATGGTCATTCCATGCGGAGGGGTGCCAGCCATTCCCGGCCCACCTGGTCCCCCTTGCATGCCATGTGGTCCAGGCCCTCCTGGCATGTTTTTGGCTCTGTTTGCCATGACCATCAGTTGATCATATCTTGGGTCTCCTTGCATCCCTTTCTCTTCCATCTGGCTAATAGCCTATGAACAACAAGGCATCAACTTTCCATCATCTGGTATACATTTAAGCCAGAGATACAATGTTCCATTCCATACTTCACATACTTAATTGACCTCTGGAAATATTACCTATCATATTATATTACCTATAGGAACTATGTAGGAACAATGACTTTCCTGAAAAGTTGGCAGCTGAAAATATGACCTCAAGCTTCCATTTGTGAATCTAAAAACAACTCACGCAATTCTCCAACAATATTACTTTTCAAAATCATATAAATAACAAACATGCATCTCTCCTTGAGGAAAAGTGCCTGGCGATGTATGAACCTGTTAAAACAATCATATTTTTGGCTTGCCCAAGAGGCGTAATTCTTCATAGGAGAGGACTCCATAATATATAATTTATTATCATTATTATCATATCTTAATGTATGCAATAACAATAAAAATGCAAATTTGACGCAAAAGGTAACAAAAGCATTAGGTTACCATGGTTACCTTCTGCAACATCTGCACATTGTCTTGAGGGTAAGATGGGGTAGGCCCTGGGGGTGGTGTATTCATCATGTTGCTGTCGTCCCCAGATGCCATACTGGCTGCCACTCACGTGTGTGAGTTACTTCCCTTCCCCTTCCCCAAAGCCTGAAATACAAATACACTTAACATTATAAAACCTCTTAATTTGGTTAGATTTTTAACCATGACAATATGGTGTTGTAGCCATTGAGTAACTATTCATCGTGTTTGTGTTTAAATTGACAAAAGTCATTATGCATGATACAAGAACGGTACATAGAAGCACTACCCTTCACTTTCAAACATCTTTAACTTTCTTCTTGTGTAATACCTTTAATCCTTTATATTAATCAAATGACAATAAATGTTTATAATACATAGAATACCACACAAGTTCTTGTTAAATACCAATATTACGAGCAAAAGCTAGGTCAGACACAATGGCAAGTTTACGAGTTTTGTGAAATTAGTTTATAACGAAAATGAGTGTTGCATGACAAGGCTTATTTGATTTAAGAACTCAAACTGCGGAACATCTGTGTATGACACACGCCAACTATGTGTGTTGTATGAATTATGTGCCTTACCATCTGTTCGTTTAGCACATGGGCAACAAATGTCAGACTGTAAATTCAATTCAATGTGGGTTTTAGGCTGAATATCAGCCTCTAAGCAGATCTACAAGGCATGGGTCAGTACTTCTGCTGGATTAGAGGCATTTTCATGATTCAATCAGCTTTTGATCGGACAATCTTGTATATAACATAATCAACAGCAGTTAAGCCACAATATGAATCTCATTAATCAATCGATGTTCCACAAAATGAAGATATCTGTGGGTATGGGCACTGTACTGAATCACCATGAGCAAATCCATACTTCTTGGCTAAATGGTTGAATGATAACAGAAACATGACAAAGCAATGTACTGACTGACTGAGTTTGGTTTTACGCCGCTTTTAGCAATATTCCAGCAACATCACGGCGGTCAAAGCAATGTACACTAAAGCTGCAGGGAGTGACCAGGCTGTTTGTCACTGAGCTGTGCAGGCTGTCAGGTAGTGGTAAAGCTTCTAGAAGTAGAACATGGAAATGCTGAACTTCAAAGGTGCTTAAATATTCACTTGTCCAAGACCATATAAACTCTTTGTCTTAAATCGGCCTATATGGAGGCAATGATTTCTAATCGTAAAAATATGTTTTCAGAATATTTTCCAGCATGTGTACTGAGTTTTATGGTATTCTCACTTTAACTAATTTCAACAAGAGGAACGAAACTTTCCTATCACAAATAACCATGTTTTGAAAAAATGTTGAAAGACGTAGCAGTCCACTGGCCTGAATTTGCATCTTACCTTAATTCTAATCATATTTAAACATATTTTTGGGGTTAATATTACATGGAGGTTTATTAGCTAATCTTACAAGGCCAAACAGAAACAACAGACTCAGGCTTCAGACAAGGAGCTAAAGCCACAGACTGAGTATATGATTATTATTATCAATGAACAAAAAGAAATCATGAAAGTGCTCTTAATCACTGACAAGAGGAATATCTAGGCAACACACAAACATTGGAGATGGCTTGTTTTCTGGATAAATTAGGTTGAAAGTTAGGGATATTCATAACATCATCTAATACAATAAATTTAAACAAACCTGTAGAGGTTTTCAATTCTTTGAAGAGAGTCGTCCTTGGGGTACATATATGCATTTTCTGAGGCTGAAAATGTCCTGTGACAGTTGCATCAATGTTTTAATAAAAATATTGTACAATAAATAAAATCTTTTTTTTTTTCTATTATACGGCCCCCATCACGTGGAGTTACCTCCCTGCTACGCATGCGCAGCCAACCAGGTAAGCACCCAGGCCAGTATCATTCCTTCTGCTGAATAAATCAGTGAACAGAATTGCGGGGAGGTGGGCGGCCCTACCCCAAGGATGACTCTCTTCAAAGAATTGAAAACCTCTACAGGTTTAGCTAATTCTTTTTCATAGAGATCGTCCTTGGGGTACATATATGCATTAACTCAGATTCCCAAAGACCGGAGGCTAGGGAGGAGGGAATTCTGTCAAAGTACACATGAATAGCGATCGTTAGGGAAGAATGAAACAGACACCACAACACTCACCTGTCATGTGTCCCGAAGCTTCCGCGAGAGGCATGATGGGAGGGCAACCGACAGGGAGGAAAGTACTGATACCCACCCAACCTCACAGGTTAAGCAAAGCAATTCGCACATAGTGCAAAGTGAAAAAACCCCGACCACATCGTGAATCTATTATAAGAGCACCGTTAGGGGGAAACCTAACTCACAACCGACCATAATCTCCTGAGAGAATCGAAAGGAGTTAAATATGATAACAGCGAATATATCAATGATACACAATTGAAAGCAGTGTCAACTGTCCAGATAACCAAGACTCACTCGGTCAGGGTGGCAGGACACTGTCCACTGGAGAGAACAGAACGGCCAAAATGTGCACGATCATGTGAATGTGTATCGAGCTGATAGTGCCTGATAAAAGTGCTAGCCTTTCTTCAAATAGCGGCAGAGCATATCTCTTCAATGGGCAGTGCTGATGCAAAGGCCTTTGACGTGGCCACTGCCCTGACCGAGTGAGCCTTCATCCCCTCAGGGGGAGGCTTGCCTATAGCCTGATAAGCAGCACAAATGGCCGATACAAGCCAGTGTGATAGGGTCTGTTTGCTAGCCGGCATGCCAGCCTTCCCGCCACTGTAACAGCAGAACAGATGTGTACCCGTACGGATCCCTTGTGTCCGTTTGAAATGGACCTTGAGAGTCTTATGGACATCCAACGGGTGAGTGCTCGTTGCAGAGGTCCCCGATGTGGAAGGCTGGGTAAGAGTAGGAAGTTCGATAGGAGCTGTCACATGGAAAGCGTGATCGATCTTCGAACGGTAAGTATCCGGGAGGCAAATACTGACACGATCTGGATGAAATACAGTCAGCGCCGGATCTGCCAACATAGCATGTAATTCGCCGACCCTTTGCCCAGATGTTACTGCAACCAGAAATACAGCCTTCCATGTTAACAGCTAAATGGAAATAGCCGATACACGTGAGAACGTAGGACCGGACAGCCAATCTAGCACGATTGACAAATCCCAAGGTGGGCTGGTTCGCCTGACAGCAGGTCGAACCCGATCCACGCCAGCTAAAATGCACTGCATCAGAGGGTGCTGCCCCAGGAGCAGCATCGACAGGGGTGTGGAAAGTGGAAATAGGGGTGGAGTAGCCACGAATGGTCGAAGCCGCAAAGCCTTCTTCCAAACGAGCTTGCAAAAACTCCAATATTCGGACTAAATCCGCAGAAAAGGGATCTGCAACCCCCCTTTCTGAACACCAGCGCGCATAGCGGGACCACCTATCCTCATATTGAACGTTTGTCGAATCCCGCCTCGAAGCCAGAATTGTGTCTGCAACTGCTGCAGGAATTCCGCGTGCTTCGAGGCAGGACCTGACAGAGGCCAAGCCACCTACTGAATCCTTGGATTGGGGTATGGCGTGCCGTTCTGAGTGAGAATGTCCGGTCGCAAAGGTAATAGAACAGGAGGCTGAGCCAGAAACCTGAGATTTACCGGAAACCAGCTCTGTGATGGCCAAAGCGGTGCCAGTAGCACAAGTAGCCGAGCTGGCTGGGTGGACAGCTGGGAGAGGACCCGGGGAATGAGTGGTAGAGGCGGGAACGACCACAGCACCTTGCCCGTCCAATCCAGCAGGAAGGCGTCGAAAGCCAACGCCCTCTGGTCCGGTATTCGAGAGCAGAACACGGGTATCTGATTCGTCCCGCCGGACGCAAACAGATCCACCTGGAACGATCCGTACAACTGGGAGATAACTCTGAATATCTGCTGGTTGAGCATCCACTCGTGAGGGGCCAGGATCCGGCGAGAGAGAGCGTCTGCTCGCACGTTCCCCAGCCCCGGGAGATAAACAGGAAGCACCTGACAGTCGCACCAGAGTAGAAATTCCTACGTCTCCCGAAGGAGCTCTAGGTACACCGTGTCGCCTTGCTTCACGATGTATGTCATGGCTGTACGGTTGTCCAACTGAAGACAAACCACCTGGCCCTGAACATGCTCCCAGAAGCACTCGAAAACCAACCGCACAGCTCTCAGTTCAAACACGTTGATGTGAAGGCGGGCTTCGGCTTCGGACCAGAGTCCGGACACCGACAGACTGCCCAGAACACCCCCCCCCAGCCCGTGAGGGACGCATCAGTTTGAACTGTAAGAGCTGGCGTCAGGATTTCCAAAGGGATCCTCTTGGAGAGATTCCTGACATTGGTCCACCACTGAAGGTGAGGAGACAACCACGCAGGGACTGTGAGACACTGCTCCAGATCCTCCAAGTGAGCCCACAGACTCGCCAAAGCTTGCTGTATAGGGCGCATCCTCAAACACGCCAGCCACACGACAGAGATAGTTGCCGCCATATGACCCAGTAGATGGAGCCAAGTCCATGCTGGTGCCTGGGGCTGGGAGAGGAACGAAGATACCATCTCCCGTACTCTGGTGACCCAGTCGGGCGACAAAGAGACAAGACCCTTGTCAGTTGTGAACCTCGCACCGAGAAAATCCAAGTTTTGGGTGGGTACCAGGTCGGATTTCTTGAGGTTGATGATCCAGCCAAGTAGAACTAGAATGTCTATCACCATGTGGGTAGAATCTAGGCTCGCTGGCTGAGTTAGAGCACTGAGCAACCAGTCGTCTAGGTAAGGGTAACAACGCCTTCCTTGCGACCTTGAGAGGGTAGCCGGCACTAACATGAGCTTGGTGAACACCCTGGGGGCAGTGGATATGCCGAAGGTAACGCCATGAATTGGTAATACATCCCGTCTTAAGAGAACAGGAGGTACTGCTTGAACGGTGGATGAATTGGCACATGTAGACACGCATCCTCTAGGTCGATTGCCATAAGCCAATCGCCGGGCTGAACAGAGGAGATCACCGAGCAAAGTGTCTCCATCTTGAAGGATGGAACCTCTAGCATGGGATTCAACCCCTTGAGGTTGAGAATGGGACGGAACTAGCCGTTCTTCTTCGGAACGAGGAAGTACGTGGAATAAAACCCCGCCTGTTCCTCGCCAGATGGTATGCGCTCTATAGCGGACTTGTCCAGCAAAGCCTGAACTTCGCCTCGCAGTTTACCCGCCTTGACCGGACATGACGGCACCAGAATGCGACATATGCCAAAACTCTGGCGGGCCTTGCTTCCACAGTGGTAGATGGTCGACACTGACGGTGGATAGCACGCAAGTGTTGCTGGTAGCCTTCTTCCACCCCGGCAGGAATAGAGAGAGGCGGCCCTCCACTGGGACGTGTGGTTAGAGGGCATGAGTGGTCCCTTGCAGATGAATTGACTGGGACGGACCCACGGCGACAGCCTGCTAGTTTAACGGGAGGTCGGGGCAGACCCCCCCGCAACCGCGAAAAGGCTGCTGGGAGCCAGACGAAGAGGACTGCTCCTTGCCCTTACCACCTCCTCCTCCTACCCCTGCCCAGCAGCCGAAGCCAGACGGCAGACTCGGGCGTAGGCTATGTCCCAGAGGAGGAACCTGCTACAGGAGCAAGAAACCTGCGGTTGCTCCAACAAGGCCTCAGAGTCCTTGAAGGAGGTAGCTGCTGCAGCAGCCTGTGCCCCTGGAAACAACGTCGCTCCCAGCCGAAACGGAAGGGCCAGCAAGGTCTGCTGTGTCGCTGCCGAATAACGGGATGTAGACAGCCACAGATTGCGCATCCCCATGACTGCGCACATCACCATAGACGTGGCAGACCGCTAAGAGTCTCATGTCAGACGTGGCAGACCGCTAAGAGTCTCGTGTCAGGTGGGCCTGCACTTTGGATAATTGGCGAAGCAGAACAACATTCGGGGAAACGTCCCCAGTGCCTCCAGAGCCGACCTTTGGATAGAGGAAAGGTAGACCTCGTGGACCACCACCCGCACCTGCTGCATGGCATTCCAGTAGACTTCCTCGTAAGTCCGGTATGCTTGCTGTAGGGGGGCGCCCGCAACGGCAAACGGTGGAACTAACCGCCTTGCTTAGCAGCCGGGGCTGCACCTGAGGAAGCCGAGCCTCCCCCGAGGGCGACCGAAGTGAACACACACTCGTCAACCACCGGCACAAAAAACAGAATCATCCCCCAGCTGGTACCTCTTAACGAGTTCGGGTAAATCGAACCGGAGGCTTGACCCAACCAGGAGGGGATCCATCACGTCCTGCACCAGGGAAGGCAAGATACGGAGCTGTGTCTGCGAGGGTTGCCTAGTCCAAGCGACATGTTGGCACAGTGACTTATTCTGCAAGTAACCTCCAACTCCTCGACCTCCGCAACATCCATAGACTCGGCAGCCGAGCCCAAGTCAGAATTCGGTCTCCTCGTGAAGAGGAGCAGAACCCCGACCCGATGGGAGGCCGAGCCACAGACGCCGGCAACCGACACAACACTCGAACCCCCGTCCCGAGAGGAAGACCGGACAGAACCGGCTCCTCCGCTCTCATGGGACCGGAACCCCAGGAATTCTCAACGGACCCTGCGCCAGCACCGAGAGGGGGCCTGGGAGCGAATCCTCCCCCTCCGGGGTAGCCGAGGCGTCTGGACCCGAAGCCAAAGGATCAACAGTCGCCTCCAGGCTAAGGGATCGACGATCCCATCCCCGGACTCTCGGTCCCCTGTTCAGAGTTGGCGAGGAACTCCTGGCGGAGACCTCCAACGGACTCATGAACAAGGGACGTTACGGAGTCCATGTGCTGCTGAAACAATTGAGTGATTATTGACATATCAAAACCACTAGATTGAGATTGGGAATGTGACTTATGCGAAGACTTAGGTTTAGCTTGCTTAGCCTTTTTGGCTTTGGACGGGGGGACCTCCTGGGTCAGTTCCCCTCCCGCCTCTCGCAATTCCTTATAAAAAAGGAAATCAAGCACCCGTCTCTTCTGGGCCCGGGGGAAAAAGGCCAGACAGAGTTCGCAGATGTCAGGGTTATGCCCTGCTTTCTCTAAACAGCACAAGCATTTGGCATGCCTATCAGCTCTCGGGATATTCTGCCCGCAGACAGTACATCCAGTAAACGCCTGAAAGCAAACACACAAGCATGTAGCTAACGGCGGAACACAGCAGCATAAATATACACGTACAAAACATTGAAAATTATGTGAATGCGACCACGCGACATGAAATACTTGGTTAATAACGCAATATTTCAACCATGTGGCACGCTAAACTTCCCGCCATGGAATAGCAACACGTGCGTAAACCACGGAAAGCTAGCGGATAAATTTAATACAAAGTCACATAAATGAGAAATAACAGACTGCAAAGTCAATAAAACTGTTCCTTTTCTTTTTCAAGAACGAAGAAAGACCATACATTGAAGTCTCAGACATTCTTCACAAGAGAAGTAAATCAGCTTAGTAACTCGGAACACGTGTGAACGCTTGAGTGACAGCAGAAGGAATGAAGATACGGGCCTAGGTGCTTACCTGGTTGGCTGCGCATGCGTAGCAGGGAGGTAACTCCACGGTGTGGGGCCGTATAATAGATGAATAAGATTTTATTTATTGTACAATATTTTCATTAAATCATTGATACAACTGTCACATGACATTTCCAGCCTCAGAAAATGCATATATGTACCCCAAGGACGATCTCTATGAAAAAGAATTAAACTGTTTATCATTTGTTGATCACATTTTGTTATTATCCTGGCTGTAAAAGTTTTCCCAAGAAATTGAATCCTGGGTCTTTTGTTTTGGACTGTGACCTTAGACACTAGTCCATGTGATCCAGTGCTCACGAATGGTGTTTCAAGGTAAAAGGATGTTGAGTCCTGTAGCATGTGTAAGTTTCAGATGTCTGTCTGACCCACTGAAAATTCACAGTACCCACAGAAGAAAAAATAAACACACATTTCAGATTTAACATATCTTGTAATTTGCATTGAAATTATTAACGAGCGTAAAATTTATAAACAGCAAACAAGTGTCACATGTCACATATAACAACTTCAGTCAAAGTCATTGTGAAATATACAGTCAGACACTGGGGCTGGCGAGTTGTAGACCTCCATCAGACCGTCAGCGAATCTGATGGATTTGTCCGAGGGTCTGACGCTATTCGTGAACACTGGTGATCTATGTGACTTTTTTCAGAGGCACACTTAAAGAGAAAATTTTCGTGGATTTCTTACAGATGAGTTGAAAAATCCTAATTGCCAGCTAATTTGAATAGAAGCTAGTGTTTATCAAAGACCAGATTATGATATAAATATACTTTGGTTATATGAAGTCAGAGTTTGTTGTTGCTTGTCCGGTACCTATGACTTCATCACATCTCACACAATCATTTCATACATTTTTCATTTGTCTCATACTGGAGGTCAACACACTTTGAAAAACATGTCTTCAAATATTTCAGTTTCAATAATATAACTGGTGTAAAGATTTACTGGTCTTCACGGGTGCAGTGGTATTTCTAAATACTTGTGCAAAACAATATGTTAAACATATTGAAAGGCTTGCATTTGACTCATCAGTTCTTATTTCTGAGGGGCTTGTTTACAAACAAAAGTCAGGTCATGTGACAAGCCTACATCCATAATGTGGTCACAAGAACAAAATGTCCACTCGCAGAATAAGGCGATCTGAGCTGATTCTGCTCAATGATTATCAGGTATTATACTGTCCCTTTACTTTCAAATACATCTTGTGATGCTCGCATTTGCTTCTTTCACTCACACCATTTGAATATTCTAATTCTAAAAGTACATTATGGTCTTATTGTTAATTATTACATGCACTCCATAAGAGCATTGTACACCCAAAAATAGACAATTGGTCTTCAGCATCATTATCATGACCATGTATAACCCTGTAAAAGGCGAACAGTAGCACAACAACGAGCAATAAAATTCCTGAGCAATAACATTACCGTTACTAATTTAAAACTTGTTAAAGTGAGTGGGTGAATTTTAGGTTTACGTCGCTTCTAGCAATATCATGACGGGGGACACCAGAAATGGATGTCACTCATTGTACCCATGTGGGGAATCGAACCCAGGTCTTCAGCCTGACGAGTGGACGCTTTAACCATTAGGCTACCCCAAACATTGTTAAAGACTTATTAAGATCACATTTAAGCCATGACAGCTTTACATTGTAAAGACTTAATTAGGATGCAGAAGGATATGGATGATTTCACTATCCCTATTATTTTCAGGCTAGTCTGTTTATTTGACCTCCGTGATTATAATTAATCTAGTACATTGGCATGTAAGATCAAAATTAAGATAATATGTTCGATTTAACAATCCTTTAAAAAATTGTTTCAAACACAAGAATAGAAAAAGATACATATTTCATTTAGAAAATAATATTTTACTGCAAGCTAGCCTGTCTCGGAAAAATTGTACTCTCAAGACAACATATCTTTGCTACTGACAATTTAACATGTCAATATAGATTCAAAACATTTATGACACAACGAACCTCAGTTGTATACAAAACTCATTCATGACAAAGAAAATTAAATGGTTTAAATCTACCATAATAAAAGTGGAACTGAAATGATGTTCTACTGAACTAGACTGAACTGATTCCCACAGAACACAACTAGGCTATGACTGGGCATAAAAATAAAATCGATATGAAAGCAGATGAAATACTTACAATACATCAACAGAAGGTACTGAATATGCTGCTTGGAAACTTGTTGACTTCAAATGTATTAATTGGAATGTGAAAAATCGTCTCAGACATCGTTTAATCACAAATTTGGTGTTGGATTTTTCCACTCGAGACCTTGGCTAGAACAAAGGCCAAACGGATGAGGAAAATACCTCTACCAAGTCAAATAAACAGCCCCTGGATCATAATTTGGTTGGCTTCTTTGAAGAGATGAATTACTAAGGCACCGATATGCCGATACGCGAAACGCCAACGTGCACACTTACCGGTGTAATAAGTCAATAACACTGGCCTTGTGATAAAAGAAGTGTCCCAGATTGCTATTTCCGTAATCAGCTTCTCACCAGTGCGCACGGAGACTACGCATGCAAGCCCAGAACCGGTGTTGTGTCAATTTGACCCCACAGCATTAAAATCCCACAAACGACACTGACTTTTGCCAAGCAAACTCCAGTAATATACATTCAGAGCTTTACTGTTTCTGTATTATCATACACTTGATACTAATTATGAATACTGATCTATAATATTTTCGTAAAATATATTAGTTTCAAGACATATCCTTCCATGGAGTATCGAATTACATGGATGTATAATTGTTAACACACCCACGCGTAACAAGTTTGAAGATTTCGGAAGCGTATTTTCCTGATGTAGTTCAATTAAACGTAACCATTAAAGTGAAAGGTGTGCTATAGTACGATACTGGTAAGAATATCTCAATTTAGGCCACTGTACAACATGGCCATACAAACTGGCTATGATTATCAACCCGAATAAATGTTTGTCTTCGAACAAGTGCCGCCTTCTTGACGAAGGGAAGCAACCGCTCATAATATTAAAGTCTCAAATCAAGGATTATCTCCCTTTGAGCGAAAACCAATCACAAACATGGCGTCATTGACAGCGGGGTCTTTGAGTGACTAGAGCATAAACATGGAAATCTTCTGGTAGGCTTTTGTTTTACGGCTAGAAAGCAACGAATTATATTGCACATGTAATTCTTTACTTGCTGATTTGGCGAAGTTTACTACGTTCATGCTTGATCAATTGGAATTCATTTCTGTTATAGTTGGTTCATGTGCAAACTTGTACCGTTTCTAAAAATATTGAAATAGGCTTGAACCGAATTCCAACGTTTCACAGAGTAAGAGAAAGAACCCAAACACGACCAATGTTTCTCTTGAAGTGGTAGTGACTGACAGTTCTTATCGGAGCAATAGCTGACAGTTTTATATTTTACTATGTATTAATAATCCCATGCTGATCATTCACTGTTTCAAAACAATGTTTACAGTAAAACAGCGTTTGAATTATTTCCACGAGTACAATCTTGATTTGATTAGTCCCAGAGTATCTATCTAGTCTACCAAATAACGAGTTAACATCAGTGACATTGAGTTTTGGTAGTTAAATAAAATATGAAAAATACATTATTGAATCAATACAGCTTTGCTACAAATAATAAATGCTATTAGATCTATATGGTCTCTGATGACAAGGCCTTAAACATTAATATAGCCCAGCAGTATTTTGTCACACAGGAACTGCCTCTAATGAAATACTTAACAAGTGTTCAAATGTTGCTTGTCAAAAGTGTCTGTTAGTTAAAGCAAACTCAGTAAAATCAAATCTTAAGTTTGCAGAAATATCTGAGAACTCCTTGATAGAAAATCACATCGTTATCTTTGAGCAACTTGATCACCCACTCTAAATCAAGGCTTCAGTTTTACAAGTAAGTCAGATGACTAAATTTTCAAAATGTGCTTTCATCTGAATTTTTATCTCATTTAACATCTCATTCAAGATACATCAGATATAAATCTTGGGCTGTTGACATGTGCAGAAAGGGAAATCAATTGTGATGTTTTAGGTCTACAAAACTGTTAGTATGATTCACTGATTTAACCTATATATAGTACCAAATTGGAGATTGCATCCTTTGACCATATGTACTGTTGTTCACACATTTACAGTATTCACCTCTGAATTTGTCCAGTAAAGATTGACTGCTTCTAGACCATCTTGAGAAAGCTGTAGTTTTGTTGAGTCTAACATTGCCAGTTTCTCCTTCACACACTGTGCTTTGTGTGTTAAAGGACAAAGAACAAAATGGCAAAAATAATGGCACTTTTCTTGTGAATATCAGTTTGCATTGATACATTTCATCAATCTTTGAGAGAGTAAAAGTCATTATGTTATGTGGTGGTGTGTGGTCCCGTGCATAGAGTCCTTGGATGGGTGACCGTGTTTGGCAGCTTGACTCCTGAGAGTTTCTAGGCCTTCAGTCTTGATTGTTAGCGAGAGCATTTAGTGATTCCCACAACTTCGGCCCATTATACATCATGTACAGAATATACAATTATTAGAGCACCGTTCAACATCATGAGCAGCTGCACAAGAGCTTATACATTTGTGGGTACCTGAAAGAAATTTATTTCGTTTTTTCATGGCAAAAAATAGATATTTTGCAAGACAATTTATAATATAAGTATTCTTTGATGTAAACAACTGAGCTAATTTCACTTCAGATGGATATATGTGATAATATTTAGGGAGGATATCATTTCTTAATTTCCCATAAAAAGGGCATTCCAGGCAAAAGTGATATTCATTTTCTATGTTAGGTATGATACAAAGCGGGCACAGGCGATCCTCCCTTTTAAGACCTAAATGTCTACCGTACTCTATCATCAAATTGTGGTTTGAGCAACGAAATCTACTTAAGAAGATTCGAAACTGTTTTACACTAACACTATCGATATAGAACTCAAAAGCTACACCTTCTTTGAGCCTGCAATAAAAATCCAATTTCGAAACAAGTATAATACGAGATGACCACAACTGGTTATCTATATCAATACATCTTTGCTTAAATGATGATATGAAAGCAGAGATATTTCCAACACTTTGACTGGCCCACACATTGCCCAACGCATGACTGTACAAAAGAGATTTCACCTTAAAAGCCCAACAATCTATACCTTTTTCAGCAAGACAATACTGATACTCATATACCTTATTTAAGATTACATTCTCAATTTAATAAGGAGGCGAACCCGATATTTAACAATCTTAATGTACTGATTTACCTTTAATGAATAACGATCAATCTCAGCACGCGCTGCAATATTTGGCGTGTATCTTGAAAGACCTAAAACCTGTTTACAGAACCTATCGTGTACATTCAATACAAATGGCGACGGTGGAAACCCCAGACTTCACTTCCTCAGGCAAGACCTTGACAACAAATATATGGAGCAGAACATTAATTGGTAGATTATAAAAATTTTAACCGATGATTTGAAAATATTCAACACCTTCCGCGGCTTGGTCAGCCAAAGTTTTCTGTGTAACCTACCATGATCCAGAGGAAGAGAAGTGAACAGTATTTATATGATGCAACAATGTGTCCATTCAAATGGAACTTTTCGTAATGTCTTAGTCGACCAGCCTTCCTGGTATAACTGCTTTTATCACATTGATTTTCAATTTCCATTTGTTACAATATTTGAAACTAGCTACTCTTGTAAAGTCAAAAGCGCAATAAACAGATTGATACCCCTCTGACCATCAGCAATAAACAATTTTACTCAGGGATTGCAAACAATGCAGCTCATCCATACATGACAAGTGCTTGTAACAGTCGACTCCATCTTTCTCGATTCCATATTTGTATATACATTTTTAATCACAGGGATCGCAATCACACACGATACAACTCAAGTTACAGTGACCATCTTGAATGATACAAAAGTTGGATTTATTCAACAATCGAAACAACTCAACAATCACATGCTAGTCATGCGATTACACAAAACCCTCATTGTATTCTCAGTATGTTTTTATTCAAAACTATTATCCGTTATCAGTTGTGTTTAGTCGTAACAGTGAGTACTTCCTAATTAATTCCTTCTTAATTAATTCTAATTAAATAACAAACAAGCGACACCTTCAACTCAATTAGCCCTAATTAGTTTACACTGCTGCATCCCTTTGATTCATGCCGCACCGTGTGTAGTCGTATGGAAATAACCTCAGTTCAGAGGGATACTTGCCCATGAAAGGGAGGTGAATATTGAGTTAGAAGGGTCATTTTGCTTGTTTGGACCATGAAATTATATCGAGATATCCGAAATATCGAGACATCCGTATCTAGTTAAAAGAGCTTGAATAATGATAAATTATATAGGATTTTGCCGGGACCAAGATATCAAGTTATCAGAGTTCGACACAATGATGCTCGACTGTATTATTATTATCATTATGTTTGTAGAAAGTATTTCATTGTTCAAAATTGATATTAGTCATGCATTTAGATCATATATGACTTAAAGTGGTTGTATTAAAATGTGCAAAGTTGAATCATATATGAATGTAATTGCCCTTTAAGGTGTTTTCACAGAAAAAAAAAAAAGTTGGAGTATAGAAACATTGTATAAACATTTTGAAAACTTGTTTGTGAAGTATGACACCATGTTGACAAGAATCTCTCCCTTTTTTTGCCCAAATATTTGCCAGCAGTTACATGTTTTCAAGCTTGAGTTTGACATGTGAATGTTTGTCAGACATGTTGGTCACTTCTAATCAATCAGATAGTATGTAAATATCACTGTTCTTTTTTTTTTTTTTTTTAATTTTTTTTTTTTTTTCATACCATTTTTACAGTTGCACATGGGCTCCAACATGCAGGGAAGAGGGCTACCTCTGTATAGAGGTTATACAGAGCATGTAGCAATGGCAATACAAAATAAATCAGTCGTTGAACAGGTTGTGACATGCCGACCAGAATTTGTAAAAAGCATCAATTCTGGAGCATAACATAGCTGCATATTTGGTTAAATTTTAATAATGAGTAAGCCTTTTCAACATAAACTGAAATGTTGGCATATTTCCTGATGTTTTACGATTAAAAATAATACTTATGAAAAGGATGAGGATCACATTAATTGGGTCGTTATGTTTATGACGGAATCCAAGAAGAATTTGTTGTCTAGTGAAATTTAAATTTGAATCCAGTTTATCATTTAGCCAATCTTGGAGTTTCTGCCATATATGGGTAACCTTGCTACAATCATAAAAGAGGTGGGGTGTTGTTTCTATAGAATTTGAGCAATAGCTACATTGGTTATGGTCAATATATTTCATTCTAAAAGTCTACTATTGTTCACTGTTCTAGTTTGTGGGTTTGTTGTCTAACACCATACTTGTAACTGCTGATGCACTCAGCAATACTCATGTGTCCTTAAAAACAGCCCCCGTCTAAATATAAACCAAGCAATCCAAATCTTTGAATGTTGATTATGATGGGAAGTCATTCAATACTATACTGAACATATTTTATATGGTATTATCTGAGTTCATACCATTATCCAAAAGGTACCAAATGACAGATTGTTTTTCATTTTCTACAATATTTGAAGAAATATTATACCCCAATGTGTTGTGATGACTAATATCTCGTTAACCACATTTAAATACCCACATATGTGAAATTTTGGATATGGCTTTGCTAATGATTCCTTCAAAATAACTGGAAGCTTTACAGACACTGGACATCGAGAATATAGTTAGGCTGACAACTTTTTGATGCCCCTCGTAGTCTCTATTCCATATCTTCTCATTAAAGAGAAGTTGAAAAGTTTGATGTGGCATAACATGTCTGCAAGCTGTCTGTCTAACAAAATAGATTTTTGAGGTATTTGCAGTGCAAGTAAGTGAGTAACAGCTCCAGTAGAAAAACCCATTTAATATGAATAGTGTCTGAATTGTAAATAAAATAAGATGAAATACGAAAGAGATTCTGCCACTTCTGAAACCTTCCTGACTGCATTATTTTATCATTCATAAAATGGCAATTCGGTTTGTGTGTTTATCATTTTAAGTCACTTTGAGGTTATCAGCATTTTCACAATTAGATTCAGATTGAATGTGATACACTGTAATCATTATATTTGAAAATTGGAACACATTGTGGCTCTTACTTGTCTGTTATAGTGGGGAATCAGTGCCAGTTGTAAGCATGGTAAGAGGTGACATAATGGACTGGGTAGTCAAGTTCATGCACTGATGGCGTGTCCAACATAATGGTTTGGATTTTTTCTTCATATTATAAGTCATTGGATCAATTTTTACTTGCAGATTACAAGGTTCATCCCTCTAATCTTTTTAGAGCAAATGACATCGTTGCACAAGCTGTGATATAGAGACCTTATTATTTACAACTGGCAATAACCATAATGCTTTGGGGATTTTTACATAATGCGTTAGGGAGTTGGCTTGTTATGGTGATTGAATTACTGTAGAGTATACCCACCATGCATGCACGAGACTGTAGGATGGATTTAGAGATATATGCTGTTCAAACATGTATGCATTCAAATCACTACACCCAAGTCAGAGGCAAGAATGGACTAATTGGCCAAAAATTACCAAAATTTAAGTCAAAACTACTGTCGGTTTGATGTTTGTAATAACTTGTCCTCCCCCCTTTGATATAAAAGCAAGGGTGGGGAAGAAGTAGCCTAGCTAGGCCAGAATCTCCCCCTTTTGATATAAGAGCAAGGGTGGGGAAGAAGGGGCCTAGCTAGGCCAGAATCTCCCCCTTTTGATATAAGAGCAGGGGTGGGGAAGAAATAGCCTAGATAGGCCAGAAACTCCCCCTTTTGATATAAGAGCAAGGGTGGGGAAGAAATAGCCTAGATAGGCCAGAAACTCCCCCTTTTGAGATAAGAGCAAGGGTGGGGAAGAAGTGGCCTAGCTAGGCCAGAATCTCCCCCTTTTGATATAAGAGCAAGCCTAGCCCAAACTTTCCCCAGGGTAAGAATATCCTAGGACAAAACTTCCCCGGGGAAAGTTTGGCCTAGGCCAGATTCTCCCCGGGGAAAGTTTAGACCGGGGAAGAAATGGCCTGCTACGCCGGTACATGTTACATCTTTGACTGGTTGAGTAAGGTGTTTGACATGATAACAACAAACACTCACTCATTTCTTGCATTTTCTTACCTTTATCTTCTCTACTCATTTCAGCTGTGGTTAAGAAAGACACTGAAAATGTCTTTTGTGAGGCCAGGCCACAAAAAGAAGCGAGTCATTACTCGAAAAAAGCCAAATTGGGATGTGAGTATCAAGAACTTTTTTGACATACTATTGAGACAAATTGATGCGTAAGTATGAAGGAATAATCAAGTAATTGTGATTTGCAGTAATCTTTAGGTGATCGTAAATTATTTATTGGATTTTCATTCCATGTCAATTCCGTTACAATACAATACCTCACACATAATTTTATTGACCCTAAGTGTCTGATGTAGAAAACATCTATGTTCCCTGCTTCTTCAAATGATAAATTACAACAAATATGTATGAATAGCATTGAATACACAATGCCATTTAGAATGTGGTCAAATGTAACATGTTTGCGATTTACACTTTCATAGTAAAGTGCTGATTCTAGTACTTTTGTTATCTCTGAGTGTGTGGGTTCAAATCCTGAATGGGACTCAACACAAAAAAGGTACTTGTATCTGTACTTAACTGAGACTAATGTCATATTTCATGTGTAAATATCTGAGAACTTTGTTGTAAAGATGGGTTTTTTTCATAGGACTCGCTCAATGATCTATCGGTCTACAAGCCATCAACACAAGAGCTGGTAAGATTTTCCCATAGCATACTATTTGTATAAAGAAAACAATTCCTTCTTGACAGTTTTGTCTTATTTCGGTCATCATCCAGTCTAAGTAAACTTAGGCTCAGTATTATTTGTGACACTGCTATACTGAGTTTAAACAAAACCTTGTTGAAGGTCGCGTCAGCTGACCGTTTCAATGGACCAATCAGAACACAGCTTACCAAATCGCGAAAGTTGACATTCGCACATACCTTTTGAACTTTTACCTCGAAAAAGTTTTGTACCCGAACGATTCCGAATGCTATTTTCCGTACGATCGCTTCCAAGTGATGCACATGGAGCACGCCACAAGAGTGAGTAAACAGTCGCTGAGAATAGCGTTTTGTCAGTATTCAAGGATGTCAGCTTTCGGAAATATTAGCTTATGATAGCCATGTCAACAGAAACCCAAAAGCGTATATTCTGCAGGTCATATATCCATGTTCTATGCAGGTTTTCACTTGTTATGAGATCAGTGTTGGCAACCGGGGAAGAGAAAATCCATTTTGTAAGTCCCGCCAAACCCTAAATAGTAGCCGTTGTCTGATTGGTTAAATCTGTTCGTCCGTCTCGTGTTTGATTGGACGGTCATAGGTCGCTCAAAGGCTACCTGGCGACCTTCCACAAGGTTTTGTTAGACTCAGTATAGCAGTGTAACGAATAATACTGAGCCTAAGTTTACTTAGACTGGGTCATCATCATCATCATCATCATCATCATCATCATCATCATTTCTCCTGCATTACTTGATTTCCTCCAATATTAAGCTGATGCACTGTGATAAAACTGAAATCCTGTCATATTGATGTTAAACTAAAGTTACTCACAAACAGATGTGTCATGAAACATATTTGTGACTTTTTTGTTTATATGGATTGATTTGTTTGTATGTTTTACCCACCAGCTTATTCTAACTTTACCAGAATTTAAAATTTAAAATATTAATTAGAATTAAGAATGCTGTCTTTGGTTGTCATTTGCATTTTTTTTTACAAAACATCAATGTTTGTCAGAACTTTTACTTCATGATTTTATTTTGAAGAAATGAACCACACATAGGACCTCACAAAAGTTTATATTTGTTTGTGTTTTGCCCAGTGATAAGTGGGGAAGATTCACTCATAGGTGATAGGACACAAGCAATTAGTTCTGATCACTTCTACAGATTTCGTACTATGTATGAAGCCCATTTCTGGTGTCCCCAGCCGTGATATTGCTGGAATAATGCACACACTCACTCACTCTACAGATTGTCTCCAGACCAGTGTATGTTTGTTGACCCAGGTTCTACAGTCAGATTGTAAATATTTTCCATATGCATCTGACAACTCTAAAGAAGCCAAATACATGGTGGAATGCTTTCAATCCAATTTCTCAAACTGAAGCTATCTACTGTATTTTCTATTTCTAGATAGAGCGACATGTTGCCCATAAGTCAAAGAATCACATGACTGTCAAACTAGAGAAAATGAGAAAAGGTGAGTGCTATTCTCTTAACGTTACAGGAATACACTTCCCAGATACTTTGATGATGTTGTTGAAGCTTATAATAACATCAATCATAAGTATAACTCTTACGAGCATTTAATTTACCAAATAGATTTGACATTTTTTTTGGAGAACAACTTTCTTGACATACATTACAGATTATCTCCACCTTGTACATTATATTAGTCAGGTGAACGTTTGTCAACTGATCATAAACTCTTCCATCTGTATTCCATGATAGTTGTCAATTAAATGTACCTGGTTCATTTCAGCCAAACAGAAGAACACAAGCTTGTCTCATGCAGAGGCCCGTCAGATGGCCATTATGAAGGAGGTTCTGTACGACCAGCAGCAGGTGTGTTGATTTTCGCCTTTTATGGAAAACACCTCCATGGTCCATGGACTAGAGTTTCTGCCAGGGGAGCATAAGATCAGGGATTCATTACCCTAAGAGACCCGTAAAGATCTGGGTTAGAATTGGTCTTCAGCAACCCATGCTTGTCGTTAGAGGCAACTAACTGGATTGGGTGGTCAGGCGCGCGCGCTGACTTGGACTCAATTATTTACAGACTGCCACCTTATAGCTACAACAAACTAACATGCCAAACCATTTATCCTGAGATGTCACCCAGCTTTCATTTTCAGTGATGTAATGAATTGGCCATGCATTTTCCCAAGCCTGAGGCTGTGTTATTGTTATAGTGCTCTTGACTTTGTTATCATCATATTAATTGAATGAATTCAATGCATTAAAGTTTCATCTCATCGCAAGTGGAGATACGTTTATGAACTTGTCAGCTCTAGAAAGTTTATCTTGCTATGAAAGCTTGTTTATACCCTGTTAAGAGTTACCAATTTGGATGTCTTCATAAAGTGTGTGTAAGTGGAACATCTTGAAATGTAATCAGATGATTTCATATATAACAAGATCTTGCTGTATGCATCCCTTAATTTCTGCCAGATTGCTGATACTGCAATCCCTCTTTTTTTCTAGCATATGTTTTTCTCTTTTGTTCCTTTCCAGCCCTTGATTTAGGCCAAGATTCTTTTCAGTTCCAGAGTCAGTTGACCCCCCCAAAAGATTGATGTTCTTGTAACCAATATCAATGTTTCAATACCTCGATAGCTGAAATATATTCTTGGCAGTGGCATCAAACAACATTCAATCAAAACTACCCGAAATATGTGTGTAAATCATTCTTACACTTAGATAAGCTAAACCAGTGTGTTTTCAGTTAATATGTGGCATCGTTTCAGCTCCATGACACTTTATCCAAGTCTGACAAGATGATGGCAGTTGTGAAAGATCTGTTTGGAGATGATCCTCGGGTATGTTATGAAGATTGGAAAAGTTCATGTTATCATTGACATGAATCCTGTGAAATGATGTAAACAATTAAACACTTGTGTGAACTATGTTGCATGTCACAAGCAGGGAACGACTGTTGAGATCATGGTGTGATGATTGTGTATGTTGTGTGTTCCAGAGATTCCTGGGTATCCCCAATGTGACTGCTGTGCCTGGTGGAGATGGGGGACACACAAGGTGAGGAGATGCCCCACACTGGAAGTAGAAATATCATTGAATAGAATCTAAAAACTAAAAGTACACAAGTTTGTTAGCTGCATGGTTGGCCCAGTCAGAATTCACAGCATTTCACCATGCAGAGGTTGCATCCCTTGGCCATGACAGGATCCACTGTCTGTGAGAGGCTTACTCATGCACCTGACAGGACCAAGTGTTCTTTTGGGCTGCAGTTTGGGCTGCGATTTGCTTCCCTCAATTGTGCCAGCTACTACTATTTGTGGATTATTACAGGGATTTTATGCAGTGCAGAAATGTGCGTTCAGTGCTCATAAATGTATAGAATGGATGCAGAAAAATATATTCAGTGCCCTGAGTGATGCACAGTTATGTTATTGCACATTATCTTACAGCAGTGTACACGACAATACTTCATTTTTAAACTGATCCTATCTCACAGTATGCACCTCTCTTCTTCTTCTACGACCATGTGTGGAAACGTGCTGTAAGCTAAGTTGAACCAAATCTTACTGTCGATGATTTCCAGTGCGACTTTTTCCACATCTATCCCTTATCCTGTACCCTTTGGTTACGGACTACCACTTTATTCCAGTGCGTTGCTTACCTCCGATGCACCGCTTACATCGGGACAGGTGCCTGTTTGCAGAGCTGCTTTGTCCCGATCCCGCGCTTTCTTTCAGAGCGTCGTTTGATCCCAGTTCGGTGCTTTCGTCCAGAGCGCCACTTGCACTTGTTCCCAGTTCGACGCTTTCGTTCCAAGCATAGCATGCTCCCAGGTTGGCGCTTACTCACAGTGCTTCCTATTCAGCTCTTATTCATAGTGCACCCGGTTCGGTGCTTACTCACAGTACGTCAGGTTCAGCGCTTACTCACAGTGCTTCCGGTTCAGCGCTTGCTTTCAATGTGTCACTTGCTACCTGCTCTGCGCTTGTTTCCTATGCCATGCTGGTTCCCGGTGCCCCGCTTGTTCCTAGTGCGACACTTAGTACACCACATGTTTCCAATGTGTCACTTCTTTCTACTCATCTGGCATCTTCAGCGGCACAGGGACTTGTAACGCTAAAAATAGCCATCAAGGTATATACTGTCACTGACGGGGGTCTTAGTACCATATAAAAAGGAAAGGGATGTAACGAGGTCAACACACCAAGTTCGTTTCAGGGCAAATTCAACAATACTCACTGTATTTATCCCATTTAAAGTTGCACATTTCAAGCCAATAGATTTACCTGCAAAAATAGCATCTTCTCATGTTCATGGTTTCTCTACGCTGATCGTCTCCCCTCCTATGGATGATGATATTGCGTTGTTGGGAACCAAACAGAGAGCCTACTTGCTCTGGTCGAGGATCGTGAGCTATTGCATTTGGATGGTGTCATTAGGAAGATTATGGCTCCCGTCAACATGGTTTTGACGACGACTGAGGCGGTGGCTATGTCGGTCTCACATGCGACTTCCTGTCAACAGGAGTATATTCGGGCGGCGATGGTGCTCTTACAAGAACAGTTTCAGACCATCTTGGATCAGTTGGCCCATTTTTTCTCCTACATCACAGCGATGCGACGCAGGGGACCCCTTCACTTATCCTCATGGGAGGACAGATATCGAACTGATCTTTTCCGCCAACCGTGGTGTGGCAGGTCACTCTTCAACAGGGCTATTAGAGATGTAGCCACCAGAGTCGGTCAAGATGCTCGTTTACAGGTATCAGTGGAGTTGTTGAAATTCCAACAATTGCAGGTAGAGGACTCGTTGCATCAACGACAACCAGACTGTTATGTACCATCCAACCCGGACCTTCGTTCGGGATCTGCTGCTTCCTTTGGTGGAAAGGGTTCGTCTAGAGGACGTTCCAGCCGTCAGCGTCGGGCATTCACTGCTTCACGACCAACTTCCGCTTCCGACCAGTCCTCCTCTCAAAGGCCTGAGAAAAAGTGACTTGCAGACATTAGAGCGCGACTGGGTCCTTCCGCCCCCAGTCATGCCCATCCAGGCTTCCCCAGTAGGCGGAAGACTTGGGATTTATGTTCCCAATTGGACTATCTTGGATGACCCTTACGTTCTCTCCACTTTGTCCAAGGGGTTTCAGCTTCCGATCATCCTCCTCTAACTTTACTTCCAGATCACAGAACGTATCCCGCTCAGCAAACGGCTGTTCTACGATCCACGATAAACTCCTTACTCCAGAAACTTGCGATCGAATCCCTGGGCCCGGCCCCGGTCGACCCAGGATTCTACTCTCCAATCTTTCTGGTTCCCAAGAAGGATTCGGACAAGTTGAGACTAAATTTTAACGTGAAGGTCTTCAACTAGATGTTTCTGCAGCCTCTGCCCCATTATCAAACCAGGAGACTACATGGTCAGCCTCGACCTACAGGATGCGTACTTTCACATCCCGATCTTCCCGGCCCATCACAAGTTCCTTCGGTTTGTCTTCGAGGGCACCCACTATCAGTGGCGTGTCCTCCCGTTTGGAATTTCTGCGGCCCCGTGGTTGTTTACCCGGCTGACGAAGCCTATCACCAGTTTCCTCCATCGCAAGGGGATAGTTTTCGAGGCTTACATCGACGACTGTATCCAGGCTCAGACCGATCATGCCCTTCTACTTCGTCGCATGCAGTTCTCGATGCAGCTTCTTCACCAATTAGGCTGGCTAGTCAACAAACTGTTTGTCCCGAGGAATCGTTCTGCAAGATACAGCGATTGGTTCCCCTTGCATTGGCGCAACCCAGGAAGCTTCGTCAATGGCAGGAGCTCCTGGGCCTCTTGTCGTCAGCTCAGGCATTGACCCTCAGGGGTCAAGTGCGACTTCGGCCCTTGCAGCTTTTTCTGGCTCCTCACATCAGAGTGGGTGATCCGCTCGCTTTGATTACTCTGCCTCCGCAGCTCCATCCCCATCTCCTGTGGTGGATGGAAGAGTTGAACGTTTTCGGAGGAGTTTGCGGAGGTCTTTCGTTCTGTCTCACAACCTGTATGTGGACGCATCTCTACACGGGTGGGGGGCTCACCTTCTCGATCAGCAAGTGGCAGGGCAGTGGTCTCTAGCAGATCGCGCTTGCCACATCAATGTTCTAGAGCTCAGGGCGGTGATTCTTTCAATCATTCACTGGCAATAAATCCTACGAGCAACTTCCCTCATGGTCTGATCGGACAACGCAGCAGTTGCGTGGCACATCAACAGGATGGGGTCAACGGCATCTCCTCAACTCCTGCAGTGGACACAACAGTTCTTCGACCTGGTGGATTCTCTCAACATCTCTGTTCGAGCCAACCATATTCCAGGGGTGAAGAACGTCATCGCGGGATTCTCTGTCCCGGCCGAGTCGTCCCTCCCCAACAGAGTGGAAACTACATCCACAGATGTTCCAGACCTTCTGCCTTCTGTTGACGACTCTGACAGTGGATCTATTCGCCACCCGGTTCAACCATCAGCTGCCTCTGTTTGTGTCTCCGATTCCAGACCCTCTGGCTTGGGGTCACGATGCTCTAGCCATTCTGTGGGACAACCTAAACGTCCACTGTCCCTGACCTCCAGTCTCTCCTCAGGTCTTATAAACTTGCTGACCAATCCCGGAAGTTCCTGCCTCCAGCTTGGGATCTTTCCATTGTACTTACTGATCTCATGTCAGCAGATTATGAACCCTTGGAGGAGTAGGATTTCGAGCATGTCACCTTTAAGACCTTTTTTCTCTTGGCCTTGGCTACAGCTGCCCGTATTTCTGAGTTGCACGCTCTCGATGTCTCTTGGGGATGTTTTGAGAGTTCTAGACATGCTAAAGTGTTCCTTGGTTTGAGGTGGGATTTTCTCACCAAGAATCAGTTACCAGGACAGCCGGACCGCACGTTTACGATCCCGCCGCTCTCTACTATCCTGGGTCCAGATGACACAGAAGATCTTTCCTTATGCCCGGTTCGTGCATTACAGATTTGCTTAGCTGCCTCTAAGGACCGCCGCAGGCTGCGCAACAGAGACTGTTCATTCCGTTATTCACTGCCTCCGCTTTGGAAGTCTCTCGCACTACCTTGGCGTTTTGGATGAGGTCTACGATCCTGCGTGCATATGCCTTTGCTGACCTTCCTCCACCTTCAACGGCGAAGCCTCATGAGACCTCAATTCATGAGGAATTGTTCCCTCTAGGCCATCATGGAGGGATGCTTTTGGAAATCGGATACCGTGTTCGCCTCACACTACCTTCGGGATCTCTCGGTTACAGATGTGGAAGTTCTCCATCAGTTCAGCCCTTTGGTCCTGGAGCAGCAATTGTCATCGGCCCGTGTTCGCAGATGAAGCAATCCTTCTTTCTGTCGGTTTTGCTGTGTACATAATAAAAGATATTGATGTAATCCATGTCTTGGTACTTTTTTCATTTGGGCTTAGATCATTCTCATCTAAGGAACTAGGGTGTGTCTGCACTGTCATAGCTATGACTGGATAGACTGTGAGGCCAGTCTTGTGCTACATGCAGAGATGGTCGACACTCCGCTTACTGACCTCTACTCTGAGCAATTACGTCAGTGAAGTGTTGATTTCTCACCTTTGATAAGTTAGGGGGATTGGTACTGAACGTTAAACTAGTTGAGCAACCGGGCTATTCCCTCTTTCACCGCCTTCCAGCGTGTGTCTGTTGGGGGTAGTTTTGAAGCAGGGACTAAGGATTAAGGTCCTCGACTTTAATTTGCTGGGGTCACCTGATAAATCGCGCGAGGCGGGGCCTACTTGCCAAACTGCATCCTTTTGCTTGTCAAAAGTTGCGGCTAAAAACCACATTAATTTGGGAGTGCCCACTCCTTAGAGTTTTTGTGCTGTGTAAGCCAAGGGGTTATCCGAAGAAACCCATCACAAGTTTTTGGAGTTTGCATATCGGGAGTTGGTGCTTTCTCTTGGCCTCCTTGTGTTATGCGTCCTCACGGTTGTAGAGTTGAAGGGTAATCTGCAGCCCTCCTGCCAACCGTGGGATAATGCATACCGTGAGATAGGACAAGTTTAAAAATTTGGAAATTTTAACTATAAATTGTATATTTATATACTTATCCTATCTCACGCGATGGATACCCGACCGACCTGCCCCACATCACAGATTACTGGAAGCTCAAAGCCGAGAATGACAGGCACAGGATGTCACGTGATCATCTGAGCGATCTGCACGCTTATTGAGATGATTGACAGGTACTGATATCGGAGTGGGGGCTGAGGTCAGGTGGTCAGAGGCCAGTAAGATTTTATTCAACTTAGCCTACAGCACGTTTCCACACATGGTCGTAGAAGAAGAGAAGAGGTGCATACCGTGAGATAAGATAAGAATATAAATATACAATTTATAGTTAAAATTTCCAATTATTTTACAGGACATTCATATTTCCTGTAAGAACCCTTGACATTAGATAACAAGGGTTCTCTTGACTGTTGTACACAAGCCACATGTTGTTGTTCCTGTTCCAGGGCTAAGCATATAGTAGCACCAGTGAAGGACATCCGAACCAAGTCTGAAACTATGAGTGAGTCAGTCATGGACCAAGCAGCACTCAATGACTTTACAGACTCAGAATCAGGTAACTAGCTTGATTGTCAAAGAATGGTTGAAAGTCTCAAAAACACTGTCACATTTGTTTTGTTTTCACAAATTGGAATCTCGACCAAACAATCCAGTGATCAACAGCATGATGATAGATCCATGCAAATGGGATACGATGACATGTGGCTGCAGTGATATGGCTGGAATATTGCATCAAGGGATATTTTGTTTTAAAATACGAAAAATGAAATCATACCATTTGATATTTAAGGTGGGAGGATGGGTTTATTCTGAAAAATATAATTTGTCTTGAGGTATTATTTACAAAGATACATTGTTAGCAGACATGCTGAAATGTCATGAAGTTTTCATGTTAAACAAAATCCCTCCCGAGAATGTACAAATTATGTCATGTGTTACATTGTCTTCACATTTTGAACATGTAATGGTTCCGTGCAGGATTTGACTTTCTCCTGGAAGCAAGAGGCAAGTTATTGAATTACAACAGCTTTTATTGGATATGTAGTCAGGCTGATATAGTCACTAATGACACCACCTAGCTATTTCTCTAACATTGAAGCATTTAACAGGAACATTTCCATGGGAAGTGTAACCAGATGCCATTGAATGAAAATTCTAGGGTGTAATATTAAAATGAGGTATTCCTTTTGTGATTTTTAACCATTTAATAAGCTCCAGGGCCAGTTTAATTAATTTGTATGTTGGTGTCAAGATAATTTTAAGCAAGTATACTGAATTAAAATCAGCTGAACTCAAGTATGTAAGTTTTCAATTTGAGACTGCAGCCGTAAATGGCAATGGAGCAAAATGTCATTCTGTCATCTCAGTTTAGATTAACCCACATATAAACATTAGGAGCTATTAAATATATTACCAGGAGATAAGGTCAGGCTATTAGACTCAAAAGCTTTTGCTGCAGACTGAGCTCCATACAGAGTAGTCTCCCTTTAAAGGGAAGCCCAGAAATAGCTGAACTATACTACCCATCAAAAGTTTAGACTCACTTAGAGCACTAACTATATGTTATGTATGTATATATGGTTACATCGAAGATAAATTTCTCCACTAACTTGGGGGAACCAACTGCAAACCTTATGCAGATGAATTGCAGGAGGATCATACATCAAATTGCTGAAAAGCATGTGCAAATATCGTGCATGTGAACAGCTGCGTTTTGGTGTAAAGTTTTGTTAAGAATTTTGCCAATTTTCACTGAGTTTCATCATTTATTGAACTCATGACAATAATCTTTTCAACGTTACGAATTTGTTTTACAATGCATCAGTTCATGTGTAAACAGTACCTTCAAACAGAGTATGGAATATTTTGCAAAATATAGTTTAGAACATGTGACTGAAGTCTAAACTTTGGATGGGTAGTATATGTTAATACAATGCATGCATCTGTATGCATTATCCAGCTTAACACAGTATTCTGTGCTGTAGTATTCGTATTTTGTTCTTGTATAATAGACTGATGAGCACACTGCTGATATCCATTCTGTATCTGTCAGTGTGTTATATCTGTAAGTGAGAGGGTAGAACGTTTCTCTCACCCCATCTCATTTTTAGTTGGTTATGTGGTTTGTTGTTTAACGCCGCACTCAGCAATATTCCAGCTATCTGGTGGCTGTCTGTAAATAATCCAGTCTTGACCACACACTCCAGTGATCAACAGCATGAGCATCAATCTACAGAATTGGGTTATGATGACATGTTTCAACCAAGTCAGGGAGCCTGACCACCCGATCCCGTTAGTCCCCTCTTACAACCAGGGGCGATGGGGTAGCCTAGTGTTTATGGCTCGTCACACTGAAGACCCGGTTCAATCCAAACAATTTGTGAAGCCCATTTCCCCCACCGATCCCGCTGGAATATTGCTTAAAGCCCCCAAATCTAGTCAGTCAGTCTTACAACGAGCATGGGTTACTGAAGATCATAGTCACGATATGGCTGAAATATTTCCAAAGTGACTTTAAATTTTAACTCACTCACTGAAGATCAATTCTAACCTGGGCCTTCATGGGTACTCACTCTTAGGATGCACCTGTTCAAGTACATCGAGGATGTACTTTGGAAACTGAGGGGGTAAATATTCTCTGTAGCTAAAACACTTTGAACTTTTCCTTTGACATAATGAAATGTTGTCCTGCATCTGCCAGATGACGGGGATGCTATGGAGCCCATTGTGTACCAGCCCCAGATGAACCTCCAGCGATTCCAGCAGTTCCTGGCTGCAGAGGAGGAGCGGAACCAGACACTCAGTTCCATCGGCGGTCAGGCACAGCTCACCCAGAATGCATCTGGACCAATACAGAGCACCAGACTTCAGTCCACACAAGGTGGGTGGAGAAACAGCCTGGTTGTTTTGTCATGATTAAACTAGACAGCTAAACCGAGATGGGCTATCAGCGGTCACGGTTAAGCTGGAGTAGAATATAGGCTACACTTAGTAGATAACCCTTTTCAATCTAGTTATCAATTTAGAGGTTTTGATTTGATACCTGTAAATTTTATGAGCAATAGCTTGAGGTGAGTCAAACAATTGATAGGTATTTATAGTCTGTTTGCAGTGAAAACGTACCGATGAATTTCACTTTAAACAAAAAAACGTAAATCAAATAAAGTGAAATTAGAATTGCGAATCCTCATGATTTTACCAATTGAACATTTAAATCTCAGAATTTTATTCAACTTCGGATAAAAGTTGTTTAACAAACAATCATAGTTTCAAATCGCTATTGTTGGTTTGTATTACAAGGGGGTATGCACCTTAAATGAAAGACTGAGTACAAGTAGGGTTGGTCTAAGTTAACGCGCATCACGTACTGCACCTGCATTTGTATCACTGTTCCAACTACTGCGTTTACTCCCTTGTAATACAAACCAATACTATAGTCTACATTCAAACATCTGAACACACTTGGTTTATCTGCAATCTTGTTACAATGGCACAACAATGACATATCACCTATCAAATTCTGATTGATTACATTCTCCCAGAGAGTAAAAGCATAAAAGAACTGATTTCTTGGGATTGCAATTTACACAGAATATTATCAGGCTGATGTGCTTGGATGGACTCTACATTGATCTGACAGATACAGTGTTCTTCTATCCAGATGTAACAGGCTGGGAGACTCCCAAGAAAGGTCACAATGAGTCTATCGAGATGCTGCAGACGCCTCGTTCAGCCATCAATGACACGAGGAAAGTGAAAAAGACCAAGAAGAGAGTCTCCCCACAGAAAGAAAACAGGCCACAAACTGCGTCTGCTCTAAACCTTACAGATCTCAGGAAGGTCAGATTCATGAAGTTGTTTCCTCATATATACAGGGTTTGAACAGGTATATATCAAGGTCATAAATATCAAGGTCTGTGTTGGAAAGTTCTTGAATTTAGAATCTGATTTGAGAAAGCCTTCAATTTTCCTTAAGTAAAATTTATGTAACTTTCATTCTGACAGTTAAGGTAAAAATGTCATGATAAAAATGAGTGAAAATACAGTTGAGACCTGCTTGGGGCCATGAAAATAGTGATGATTGCCCTGAAAAATACTCAGGGCCATATTTAAAGAAATTAACCCTACTTGCACCTGGTGCAACCTTCGGTAATAACCTTGTTGCACCAGACAAAAACAGGTTGCACCTGCTGCTCAGTATGTAATACCTGAGTTTTGGTATTGATGATTTAGAACATAATCAAACCAAATTATTTTTGGTCATTTTGTCTTATGTCATGAACAGTAACAGTTATTTAGTCACTATCTGTGTAGTGTTTTCCAGCTGAAAATATATCTTGAAGAGCAACATATTAACCTGCACTGGTTGCAAGTTAGTAAAAACAAGAGGTTGCATTTTGCAGCTTCAAGTTGAAACAGTGCAAGTTATAAATGCTTGAATACTGATACTTAACCTAGAAAATGTCACCTATATAAAAAACTTATAAGGACAATATCCTGAAAGGCCTGATTACATTGCCAGGTTTGCGGGAAACGTACAATCTAATGGTTTCACCAAACTGGTAAAAGCCCAAGGCCTGCAATACTATTAGGCTTGTGCCCCACATAAGGCTGTGATTTTTTAAGTATTGTTCAAAGTTGTGTTTGTTGAACTCATTCACTCCCCTTAGAAGCCTGGAAGGACATGTTTAACAGTAGGCAAACTCACTTGGTAGTTTGCCACATTGCATTCCCTTTCTGGTTGAGTATAGTGTTTTGAGAATCATTCATAAATGGCATGCCAAGATCCATGATAAAATAAGTTGATTGTCATCAAGGTAATAGGACTTGTTATGGTATGTTCGAGATAATATCTTGTGCTCGTCTGAAGTTTGCTGACATTTTTATTATATTTTGTTCTTTTCAGGTCTTGGGTCATCTTGAGAATGAGATTGAGGAGTATGAGAAACAAACAGGTCGCCGTCCGCCAGCTGAGAAGCAGAGATCGGAGACGTTCAGTGGCTACACAGTGGCTCTTGTAGACTCTGTGTCAAAACTGGCAACGTATCTGCGGGAGGTGAGGATGTGTTAAGTGATGAAGGAAAATAGGTGTGTCAGAATGTTCTCACCTTGTGAATCAATACATGCTATGATACACAAGTCACAATATGCATCACAGTAATTAAAGTACTGTCGGAAATGCTAGAAAAATGCTTTTTGACTTTTATGTAGAGATATGTAGAGATATTTCAGTTACTTAAATAACAAATATTACTTTAAAAAACATCTACCTAATGTAGACCGAGGGAATAATTTTTGAGACATGCCCTAAAATGTGTTTTTACTGATGAAAATATCAAAAACTTAGAAAAATAATGGGTAGTGGAACGTTATTTGATACAAACATTAACTGCCTGTGTTACGTCATCAGCATGCACGGTATCGACAGGTGAAATTGACACCTGAGCAGAAGCTCGGGTGAGGGGTCATCTCAATAATGTTGAATATGTGTACGTATAGTATACATATTGGTTATGTAAGGGATCATGGGATATCCACATTTTGCACACCAACAACACCTATATTATATATGTGTGTGTGTGCGTGTGTGTGTTTGTTTTGAAATAAACATACGAAATATTGTGCATGAGAAAGAATCACATCACTTGTGTTATTTTATTGAGTGATTGTAGAAATGTGCAACATTTTAATAAATGTTTTGCATGTTAACAGTATATTTCTTTGTAACAATATGGATGTAATTTGGTCAATTTAATCCAGTTGTGAACATTGGTCAAAGATATAACGAAGTCACTGGTATAGCTTCTCTAGAACAGATATATTGTCAGCGATGAGATCTGGCTATGTCGAAGTAGAAACGGATGAGCAATGATAACTTTTTATCTTGTTTTTTGTTTGCTGAAGAGTCACTGTATGAAAATAATCAATTAATCAAAGTAAATTTATGATGGCCCAATGTGTATAAAACCAACTGTGTGAACGAGACTTAAACTCGATGCAAGTACAAATTTTATTCAGCTATAACAGACATTGGAATGAAGACCAGTAGAACACTTAATCCGAACTTGACGAGTCTGAATCCGTGTCCTCATGCATTGGGATCACAACAGGTGTCACAACACTGATGTCCACTCCGTCACGTTGACGGTATTGGCATTCAATGTCAAGGACGTGGTCCTCTGCCTTCTGCCACACTTCAGGGGTTATCCTGCCAAACGATGCATGGATCAACTCCTTCACTTGTGAGAGCTTGAAGGTAGTGTTGTTCCTCGCAACGAACCCTTTACAGTTTGCCCAGATAAGTTTTATTGGGTTCAGTTCACAATGCCTCACAGGTGAACATATCACAACGTGACCGTGTTGAGCAGCCAGCACATCGACCCTGTACTGAATGGGCTTCCTGTTCATGCGGATCTTCTCCATCAGCTCTATCTTTGTGTCTGCCGGTCTGTAGTGAACACCACACGATGTGAGGAAATCCTGCATCGTCTTCTTCAGGCTACTCATTGTCGGTGTGGGCAAAAGATTGGGCAAAAGCTGATGTTCCATCCAATCCATGAAGACATCTCCGTTCATCTCCTGATGGTAACCTCCACTTGATTTCTTTGCCTCAAAGACCAACTCGCAACCGTCGATCAAACCTGTGTCCCGGCTCCCTGCATGAAGTACAATCATTCGGTTGCCCTTCCCAGATGGTACCACGGGGGCTCTCTGTCGGTCTGTGGGTAACCACATATAGTTCGTAGAATGGTTCTTTTTTACCCAAGTTTCATCCAGGTAAACTATCTGGAAGCCAAGGGCACGGTACTCTGCCACAGTTCTCAAGTAAGAGGATCTCATGGACACAATAGAGTACTTCTCCCTGAAGACAGCTCTGTCATCACCGCGGGCTTTGTACTTGAACCCCATCTCATGGAGGGCAATGATGAGGGTGGTTCTGGAGGCGTTGATACTGTCCTTAATTTCCTCTCTGATACTCCTACTTGTAGGTGGAATCTTCTTCTCATAAATTTTGTAGACCGCCCGTCTAATCACTCCCTTGTCAAAGTTGTCGAGGATGGTTTTACGTCCCGGTTTTGCTTTTGAGACGGTCCCTGTCTTGTCTGATTTGTTAACAATATTGTAAACTTGTTGGTAAGACATACCAATAGCTCTACAAGTTTTGTAATAAACCCTTTCTAAACTAATGAAAAGTTTACCTCTGTCTTTCTCAAGCACAAAAAAACTTATAAACCTTTGCAACAATCTGCAAATCGTTGGCCATAGTGGACGCTGTGATAAAGATGTGCATGCATGACAGGAAACTAATTTATTAAGACTTAACATTTATATTAATTTTTCTGCAATGAAGAAACGATAATTAAGTCAAGTAACACAAACATTCAACATTTTATTTGTTTAAGAAAAACGTTAATTGATATTTTTGCACCACCAGCATAAATTTAAAGACTATTTCAGATTTCTGATGTTGAAATCTGAAAAAATCTTGAGTTGTTTTGGTACCAAATTCTCTCCTTTAAACTGCCCTTTAAATGCATGGGAATGTTAAATCGATTGAAATAAAAATTAGGTACACTAAAGGCAAGTTGAAATATTGACAACATAGTACATTTATCACCTTTATCAAAGTATTAAGGCTAAAAAGCATTTTTCTAGCATTTCCGACAGTACTTTAGTTAACTACTTTTTTGGTGAAAATCTCCATTCTATGTGGAACAGCAAGACAAGAAGTTGGTGCTGTCAATCAGTTTGTGTTTGACCTGTATGGTTCAGCTTTTATTTTCATGATTTGCAGTAAAGTAATGATTGTGTCAGTAGTTCTGAGGTGAAAACTCTTTACAGAATTAGACATGAATCAACTCATGGGGAGGCATGTGGTGATTAGTGATTTGTATCAACTATCTCAGGAAAATACGCACATATTACTTGTAATAATGTAATGAACAAGTTGTTTTATCGCAAGATCCAGTTAATTTACATGACCACTAGTCTGACTTGACCAATGGTGTCTACCCATCTATGATAACTACAGCTTTGGTTCCCTGAGATCTGACATGTTCTGAGCATTAAAAATAAACAAGTACTGCATTAAAATAAACAAATAAAGGAACAGTGACAAGTCTGTCAGTCATGGGAAAAATTAAATTCATTGTTCATTGTAGTCTCAGTCTAAGTAAACTAGAGCTGTCTGTCATGGCCTAATTGGCGAGATGATATATCCAAATACCAGTTTAATGAGGTGAGACGATATACCATGAAAGTATTGTTAAGGAACCTGCGAGACGATTATCATCACGATACACTTATGGCGATACGATACGTATCCCGATACTTTACAATTTCTAAAAAAAGAACAGATATAGTAGATAAAATGACTGAAACTTTATTTGTTATACAGCAGAACTTATGTTACATTCACATACACTTAAGGGGCGGTGGGGTAGCGTAGTGGTTAAAGCGTTGTCTTGTCACCCCGAAGACCCAGGTTCGAATCCCCACATGGGTACAATGAGTGAAGCCCATTTCTGGTGTCCCCCGCCGTGATGTTGCTGGAATATTGCTAAAAGCAGCGTAAAACCAAACTCAATCAGTCAGTCACATACACTTAAAAAGCTGTTCAGCATTTCAGCATTTCAGTTTTAGCATTTAATGCTTAAGAAAGTACAGTCAAACATATTCAGTATACCTTGATCTAATACATTGTATATATAAATTTGAAAGTGATGTGTCCCTTGGGAAGTTGTGTTTCTACACCAATGCTCTCACAAACAACTCAATGTAATTTATATCAGAATTCAGAATCACTGAAAAAAACTGTTAAGTCCTCTTTCTAAATTTTATCTTCTCTTTGTTCTCTTCTTAACAAAGCTAAGACATTGTTCATAGTTGTTAATAAATGGTGTTATTTGTCAAACAACTAAAACATATCTGCATATTTCAATTACTTGAAGACAAGTATTCTACATCTCACAGAGTTTGTAAAATGTTCACACTCTTTGACTTATACACCAACTCCTTTGTTCATGTCTGACTGACTGACTGAGTTTGGATTTACGCCGCTTTTAGCAATATTCCAGCAACATCACGGCGGGGGACACCAGAAATGGGCTTCACACATAGTACCCATGTGGGCTTTGTTCATGTAACAAAGATAACAGACACAAACAAATTCCCTTAAAGCTGAATTTGTTTTTTATATTTCAGAAGAATTTCAAAAAGACTCCTTTTCTATTCCTAATGCAATACTCCTTACAACTTTAAGTCTAGTATTTAAGTTGTATCGGGATATATCGTCTCTTGTGGTGATACATCGATGTATCATGGACTCTCGTGATATAAATATCCTGATATATTGCCTAAATGTGTTTTGTATTGATGCACTCGTATCGCATAGTTGACGATGTAACTATCGATAGTATCGATGAATCGTTACACCACTAACGTAAACTTAGGCTCAGTGTTATTCGTTACACTTCTATACTGAGTCTAACAAACCCTAGTAGAAGGTTACCGTCAGCTAACCTTTGAGCAACCTATGACTGTCCAATCAAATGCGAGACGGCCAAATGGATTTAACCAATCAGACAACGACTACTTGTTAGGGTTCAGTGGGACTTACAAAACTGTTTGGGATTTTCTCTTCCCTGGTCACTGACACTGATCTATCAACAAACAAAAATCCACATAAAACACAGATATTTGACCTGCAGTATATACGCTTATGGGTTTCTAATGACATGGTTACTATTAGCTTATATTTTCGCAAGATGACATCCTTGAATATTGACAAAAACGCTATTTTCAGCAACTGTTTATTCATTGAGTGTATCACTCGGAAGCGATCGTGCGGAATAGCATTCGGAATCATTAGAGTTTTTTAGGTAAAGGTTCAAACAGTATATGCGAATGTCAACTTTCGCGATTTGTTAAGCTGTGTTCTGATTGGTCAGTCCAAAAGGTTAGCTGACGCGACCTTCTACTAGGTTTTGTTAGACTCAGTATAGCAGTGTAACGAATAACACTGAGCCTAAGTTTACTTAGACTGATTGTAGTCTCTTTCACTGTTATCGGTAAAGATGACCATCTGTATTGTGTGTCCTCTTCTGCAGACGGGGCGGTGAGGTAGCCTAGTGGTTAACGTGTTAAAGTCACGCTGAAGACCCGGGTTCAATTCCCCAGATGGGTACAATGTGTGAAGCCCATTTCTGGTGTCCCCTGCCACAATATTGTTTGAATATTGCTAAAAGCTGTAAAACTAAAACTCACTCTGCTGCAGACTGACCTGCGCATCCAGGCCGAGACGACGGTCAGGGAGCAGCTGACCCAAGATGTGTTCCAGCTGAGACACATCGTTGACACCCTCACCTCTGTAAGTTATAACGCTAGCAACGATCATGTCATTATATCCCAGCAGGAGGGCGTTTGTGCTTCTTGTGGCTGAACAACAGATAGACATATTGTTTGAATTATTTACAGCAAGGTTTTTAGATGATATTGAACGTGCACAATTATCAATTTCAAGAAAATGTGGAGGACCGGTGTGCTGTAATGATTGTGGGTTTGAATCCCAGAATTGCCCTGATTATGTTTCTAGGTCTGTCATCACTATATCTATACCTTTAAGTGTTAAATGTAGTAGTGTTGATCTTTGGACTTCGCTAAACTGTCACACTGATATTCCTGACATACCTGTCAAAGCAGTATTAAACCAACTCTCAAAGTCAGTTTCCATGTAAACAATCAAGTTTCTGTTCTATATAAAATGCTGTAAATTGATTTGATTTTTATTTATCTCATTGATAGCCTGTTTATTTTCAGGATATTATTGTAACTCAAGAGGATTATGCAAAGATGTTGACGGCGTTTGAGAGGTATCGGTCTGAGAGTAAAGAAGAGATAAGCAGGCTGAAGGTATAACTATGTCACAATGTATCTGAATTCAGAACATTACAAATTGTCAGTATTGCTGGTCAGGCTTGTTGACTTGGTTGACAGATGTCACCGTTTCCCAACTGCATATATGGATGCTGATGATGTCAATCACAGGATTGTCTTGTCCAGATTCAGTTATTTGCAGACTGCTGTCATATAGCTGGAATATTGGAGTATAGTATTAAACAACAAACAATTCTTTTCAGAAGAAGTCCTCCTTGGGGTACATATAAGCATTAAAATGTCCATTTTAAAAGCCTACGACAGTTGTAACAATATTTCAATAAAATATTTTACCAAACAAAAACTCGCTATGTGTGGTGAGACTTCATTCCCTACAGGGCCCCGTAGAGGGCCCCCTACAGCCAAGAGCAGGTAACTCTGGCTGTGTACCTCGTGACTCTCACTTTTCATGCTGTCAGCCGGGCGTAGGTCGCATTGCATGGTCCAAGAAGCTACTTAATAAGAGAGCCATGAGTGAGATAGAGTCAAATCCTGTATGTATGGTTCCTTTTTTCGCGCCGGGCTTAGCTGGAATCTTTGTATGACTTTTTTCATTCATGATTTGTTGTAACTTTATCGGGCGTGTTCGCTGTCTCCAGCCACGCGGCAGGCAAGATGGCGGACCGCTGGGTCCCGCTTTGTTTTCCTTCTCCTGGCTTTAGAAAAAGCCTTGTAGTCGGGTCGTGAAGGGGCTGATATTTCATTTTGTAGATTATACTTTGCCTAAATTCTTTTTTCCAGGCTTTAGGTAAGTTTTGCTTGAGTGTTTTCGTGACGCGTTTACGTGTCGCTCACACATGTTGCTCTTTGTCACCTATGTACGCAATTACGCTTCGCTATTATGGCTTTGCGCTAGTATTTAATAGCTTTGCTGTAACAGTTAAAATATCGCCCGGGCGTTGTATTTTGTTCTGTTTTGTTGTGTGCATATTATATTATATATATCGTACAGTCCTTGCTATTATCATAGCGCGGTTCTGTTTTTTGCAGCCCAAGGGTGTGTCACCTGTAGCGCAGTTTGTCGCCTCAGGATCGCCACCTGGTTTGCTTACGCTGTTTTTAGCGGAGGAAGCCCATGACGCAACAAGGTTGTTCTATGTGTCAGGCTTTCCCCCAAGCACCATCAAGTCCAGACGCGTTGATTACATGTTCTACACGCCCTTACTTCAGGCGGGGACATTTGGGGTCAGGAGCCTCCTAAAGACAAAGATAAAAAAGCAAAGAAAAAGAAGGCTTCGGCTTCCTCTCTTTTGGGGGATGCTGCTCCTAAACGGGCGAAGGTGGTGCGGGCCTCCGCCCTTCACCTGCCATCCCTCCACATCACAGGCACCTTCCCCCCTGTCCCTGTTTCTAACCAGCTAACAATTGATTTACTTTCTGATATATTGCAGAAGCAGATGGATTCGTCCACACTCTAGTGGCTGACGCTGATGGCTGGCCTCCGCCAGGAGATTGGCGTCCGCCAGGTACGGGTGTGTGTTCCGGTCTATGGCGGGCAGTGCTCCCAACCTTAGCTTAGGCTCTGGTGTGGGGTTTCTGTCGGGTGCGCCGGCCCGAAGTCTCGCCTCGCTGCTGGCCACCCTCCGCTGTAGTAACTACTACCGCCCGAGCCTTGGCTCTGGGTCTGGTCCAGTAGTTAGTGCCGGTTTTGCAGCAGTCCCTGTAGTTGCCGCTACTTCGCATTTGGTCCCACCGCTTGCGCCGGCTTGGCCGGGCCATTCGGTGTCGGGATCATTTTGCCTACCATTGAGGAATCCCAGCATCGGCTCTTCCTCGCCACGCCACCGCCACTCAGTGTCGAAGTCTTGGGTCAGGTGTGCCGGGCAACCCGCTCTGCTCGAGCCTTTGTCCCTCTCTGTAGACCCTCGATGATCCCTCAGAGCTCTCTGGTTACAGAGACCTCACTCATTGAGGATCGATTCGAGGAGGCTATGGAGGAGGATGAGGGTCGGGAGGAGTTGGGTACGCCTTTGGTTTCGGCTGCGCGCCCCTGAGGCAGGTACGGGGAGCCGCATTGCCTCTGTCCTGCCCCAGGTAGTGGTCAGTACTGGCGCACCCGACCCTCAGGAGTTTCGGCCCCAGGGGAGGCTTTTGCTCCCACCAAGGTGGGGACACAAGGCTGCGATATTACCCTCAGTCTTGTCTGAGGTAATCAACCCTCCTCTGTGGTACCAGGTCCAGGTTCGATTTGCCAGAACTTGACCGCCGGTACCTCATGGGGAGGCTTGCCTTTACAATCCCCCAGTGGTTGACGACAGTGTTTACGCATCCGCCGCCTCTGGGGGTTCGCCGGGTAATTCTATGGCTTCAGCCAAGCAAGGTCGCCGCTTCCGCCGCTCACTTACTAACGCTACAGCTTTAAATCCGCTTATCGATCCTTTGAAGAGCAATACCGCAATGCGTTCAATGCCTCAAAGTGACGATCCATTCCGCCTACATCTCGGTGTTGCAGAGGCAACTACTGGATGTGGGTGGGGTGGAGGAAGATTCGCCTCCCTCCACCTTGGCTAAGCAATTAACGGAGGTACAGTCACATCTGGCGCTGATTCTATCAGGTCGCCGGGTTTGCCAAATGATGTCGGCGGTGATGGGCCTCCGTCGCCTGTGGCTTTCCGCGGGCGCAGGTATTCGCCTGCCACGCAACAGGCTCTGCTGGCGCTGCCATTCCGGATGGGTTCTACCCTGTTCCCCGGGCAGCTACAGTAGTCCGGGAGGCCGCTGAGGCTGTCTCAACCTTCAAGGACTCTAAGCCCTTGCTGGAACAGCCTCACATGTCTCGCCAAGGCCCCCGGTTGTCTCCTCGCGATATCCTTCTGCCACGCGGCTAAGGAATCTGTTAAATGGGCTCAGCCCTTGCAGTCGCTGAGGGTAAGGGCAGAGGCAGGGCAAGGGCAAGGCAAGGGCCACGCGCCCCACCAGCCTTTTCAGAGGAAGGGAAGTCAGCCCCGCTTCCCAGCTATAATTCCTCCGAGCCCTTTGTTGGTACCAGACCAAGCAGTCGGAGTACTGCCGGGTCAGGTATTCAATGTCTCATGCCACATATCCCTGTGGGTGGTCGACTTTCCTCTTCCTGTCGGAATGGGAAAAGTCACGCCCAATCCCTGGGTCCTGTCCACACTCAGGGAAGGCCACATGCCACAGTGGAAGCGAGACCCACCCCCTTCTCCGGATCCGCTGCACTCCAGTGCCGGGCTGCCCTAGAGAAGGCGGAAGTGCTCCTGTCCGAGGTCCAGTCGCTGCTGGACAAGGCAGCCATAGAGGTGGTTCCTGTGGGACAAGAAATGTTGGGTTTTACTCAACTTATTTCCTTGTCACCAAAAAGGACGGAGGGTTCAGACCTATTCTAAACCTCAAAGGTCTGAACGACATGTTAGAGGTACCGCCCTTCAAGATGGAAACACTGCGCTCGGGTGATTTCGCCTGTGGAGAAGGGAGATTGGCTCACGCCAATCGACCTCAAAGACGCCAGACTTCCATGTCCCTATGCACCCCCCCGAAGTTCAGGAAATACCTAAGGTTTTCCTTCGACGGGAGGTGCTATCAGTTTCGGGTACTCCCTTCGCATCTCCACAGCCACGGGTGTTCACCAAACTCATGCTAATTCCAGCTCAGGTAGCCAGGTCACAGGGCAGGTGCTGTCACCCGCACTCTAGACGATTGGCTCCTTCGCGGCGCTTGCCACTCACTTGAGTCGAAGTTATGACACTTTCTGTGATGAGTATTCTCACCAAGTTGGGCTGGATTATCAACCTCAAGAAATCAGAACTGGTTCCCACCCAGGATCTGGTGTTCTTGGGAGCAAGATTCGAGACAGCCAGGGATAGTCTCCCCTGTCTCCTCGACCGGCCACCAAAGTCCAGAGAGTTGTGTTACAATTCTCGAAGTTCCCCAGGGCCTCAGCTCGACTTGGCTCCAGTTGCTAGGCAACATGGCGGCAACGGTGGACATCGCTTGGCGAAGCGCTGGTTGAGGATGCACCCATTCAGCAGGCTCTAGCTCGAATGTGGGTCCACACCCAGGGTTACGAAGTTGATTCTCCACACTCCAGGGTGGCTAATTCCTCATTTACGGTGGTGGACACTGGCAGGAATTTATCCAGGGGCTCCCTTTGGACATCCCATCGCCAGATCTCTCAATTCAGACGGACGCTTCCCACAGGGTGGGGCGGCTGGGCTCTGTCGGTCTCAGGCCTGTGGTCACAGAGCGAGGCGCAACTGCACATCAATGTGCTAGAATTGAGAGCAGTCAGGTTGGTGTTCAAACGACTTCGAGCAGGTTCAAGGTCGCGGTGGTCCGCCTCGAGATGGACAACCAGACGGCAATGACCTACATCCTGAAGCAGGGCGGCACGGTTTCCGCCTCTTCTGCAGGAGGCATGGCAGTTTCTGCTCTGGTGCCACCAGTTCGACATACGGGTAATGCCTGTTTATCTCCCTGGGCGACAACGCTCGAGCAGATGCACTCTCTCGTCGATCCTGGCCCCACACGAGTGGATGCTCCATCGGGGATATTCGGGCTATCTCCCAGTTGTTCGGTCGCTCCAGGTGGATCTGTTTGCATCTGGGGACGAACCAGATTCCGTGTTTTGCTCTCGGATACCGGATCCGGAGAGCCATCGCCCAAGACGCTTCCAGCTCGATTGGACGGACAGGGTTCTGTGGGCTGCTCCCGCCACTACCCCTGATTCCCAAAGTCCTCTTTGCAGCTTGCCACCCAACCAGCTCGACTTCTTGTGCTCCTTGCACCCCTTTGGTCGGCTCAAAGCTGGTTTCCGTACTACTCAGGTTTCTGGCTCAGCCTCCTGTACTATTACCCTTTCGACCGACTTACTATCCCAGAACGGAGCCGCACCAATCCCAGGATTCAGTGGGTGGCCTGGCTTCTGTCCGAATCGCTTCCACGCTGAAATGAATTCCTGCACCAGTTGCAGACACAATTCTGGCTTCATGGAGGGATTCGGACAAACGCTCAGTATGAGGATAGATGGGCCTGTTATGCGCGCTGGTGTGTCGGGCAGAGGGATTCTTGATCCCTTTCTTCAACTGTAATTGAAGTACTGGAGTTCTTGCAGTCTCGTTAGAAGCCGGTTTAGCCGCTGCCTACTATCCGGGCTACTCCACGGCAATCTCTGCCTTCCATATCCCTGCCGACGGTGCTCTCTTTGGGGCAGCACCCTCTAGTACAGCTTTTAGCAGGCGCGGACAGAATCCATCCGACTGTCCGGGCGGATTAGTCCCCCGCGGGACTTGTCAATCGCTCTTGATTGATGTCCGGGTCCTCTTTCACGATCTGTCGCCTCTTTCACTCCAGCTGTTGTTGGAAGGCTGCCTTCTTGTGGCGTAACGCCTGGCAGGCGGTAGGTGATATCCATGCGATGTCAGCGATCCTGCTCTGACTGTCTTTCACAAAGACAGAGTCAGTATTCGCTGCCAGACTCCTACCGGCCCTAAGGTCGCAGGCTTTCATATAACGGCGCCATCGAACTGCCAGCTTTCACTCAGCCTCCATCGTCCGGGTACCTCTTCTTCGCGTTTCACGCCTTAGATGTCCGTGAAGACTCTCAAGGTTTATATCAAACTTAACGGCTGCTACCAGGAAAGATAAGCAGCTGTTCTGTTGTTATGGCGGTGGCAAGGCTGGTCTTCCTCGCCAACAAGCAGACCATATCTAGGTGGCTTGTCTCTGCCATTTGTTCGAAAGTTACTCTTACAAAGGATTAACCATCCCTCAGGGTTTAAAGGCTCATTCGACAGGGCAGTGGCGACATCAAAGCATACGCCGCACTGCCCATTGAGGAGATCTGCTCAGCTGCTATCTGGAGCCGTAACCGAAAGCACGCTCATCCGCCACTATCAGCTGGACAAACACTCACCGGAGCCGCTTCGGCTTTGGCCAGACAGTTCTCACCAGTGGACAGCAGTCGATTCTCTAGCCGAATGAGCCTTAGAAATCACGCTTGCTTTTCTCATGGTGTAGGTGTTAATAAATTCCCTCAATTTTATCGGTGGTGGTATCACATTGGTGGTGGTTTTACCGTATGTAGCGATTATCACTCGCTACAGTCACTGTGTTCATCCCTGCACCACGCTGGTTTGGGTTGCTGTTGAGGGATATATATTGGACTCGCTTCATACTTTCCCTCCCATTTTGATGGTTGGGGTGGACTTTAAGCCCGCCTTTATAATTCCACCAATAGCCTATCGGCTAGGCTCCTTTCGCTCGCCTTTGCCTCCTCTGCCTGATTGACATCAGCGTCAGGTGACTAGGTGAGTGTACTTTCTCTCTCTGTCGCTTCGCTGTGCCTCTCGACTGAACTAGGGGGTATGTTAGGCAGACAGAATACCGGCCCCCGACTCAACATCGTTGGGAGTCTGTCTTATGCTTATATGTACCCCAAGGAGGACTTCTTCTGAAAAAGAATTTTACAAACCTGGAGAGGTTATGAATTCTTTGAAGAAAAGTCCTCCTTGGGGTACGGCCGCCCACCTCCCCTCATTCTGTCTGACACGTTCAGCATGAAAAGTGAGGTACGAGGTACACAGCCAGAGTTACCTGCTCTTGGCTGTAGGGGGCCCTCTACGGGGCCCTGTAGGGGTGGTCTCACCACACATAACGAGTTTTTTGTTTGGTAAAATATTTTATTGAAATATTGTTACAACTGTCGTAGGCTTTTAAAATGGACATTTTAATGCTTATATGTACCCCAAGGAGGACTTTTCTTCAAAGAATTCATAACCTCTCCAGGTTTGTAAAATTTTCACCAAATTTGCTATACTGCCTCTCCATATCATGTAGATGTACCTTTTGGGGGTTTGAACTTTTCTTTCAATTTTATTTTTTTCTGTTTCAATGGCAACAAATTTGGACTTTGTCTTTTTGATGGGTAGGGTTTGTGTTCGGAGCATAACTCTAAAACGCACTTCACCCATCTTCACACAACTGTGAAGTTGTTCATTTGTTGATAAGCTATTAAGTTCAATTGAATATACAAATATTAAATGAAGAGTTTACAAACATAATAACATACTATCAATAATATGTATTTTCATACTTAGAGATTTTGAAATTGAAGGAATCAAATGAATTGGTCTCAACATTGAATTGGGGGAAGGTGGTGACATCTGTTTTTACAAGTAAAAACACTTTCTAGTTCTGTGTTTGTGTTTGAAGGATTTTATGACAAAGGTATGTGTAGAACTTTGTACAATGTTTAGGTATTTGTGTCATTTTGAATAAGTTGAGTGTATGTTGTATTACTACTCCAGCTCGCACTGCAAGACTCACTGAGACTACAGTCATCTCCACATGAACCATCCTCAGCTCCCCATGTACAAGATGGTGGCATGTCACGCATACAAGATGGCGGCATGTCACACACACAACACAGTCAAGGTGAGAAACATGAGTTTGGTTTCATAATAGTGATGTTGTGATGTTGTTATTTGAAAAAGGTGCTTATCTTTGACAAACAATATCACTAAGTACCCAAATATTCTTCAGAAGCCTATGCCAAACCTACCAATACCATAGACATTGACACAAGCTACCCAGGTCTGCCCGAGCGTGTTCCATCACACGCTGTTGTCCTGTCACCTCCGATCAGGAAGACAAGAGTCACCGACGGACCAGACCCACAACCAGCTCCACAACCAGCTCCACCAAGTGAGTGACAATAACAGTCCATTCCTCATTGATGCAATTTGTCATACAATAGGCTGTTTTCTCTGCAAGATGAAGCCATGAGAGAAAGGTATCCACTGATAAATTTGCAGATAAATGTCAGGTTAGATGGGTACTTCTTTCGCTGTGTACACACAGACATCTGCGATGTAGTCAGAATGTACGATTTGGTATCTGGATAATAAAGTTACTGGCAAAATTGTTTTAATTAAGATACTAGTCCAAGATACAAAAAGACAGTGTCAAACAGAGATATGTAGCTAAGGCGTTAGCAAAGATGACCTGATCCCCCATGTCTCCGTTGAACACTGCTTAGCTTCCTTTCCTGAATTAAAAACATTTGGATTTCGATGAATGGTATTGCAAATCTTACCATGATTTGTGTTCACTGTGTGGACATCAGACAGCATTTTATTATCCTGTTAGGAAAGATTATGACTGGCCAGACAGAGTCTAAAAAACATTTCACAGACTAGGGTTGTTTCTTTTGATAAAGGGCATTTACTCTAACAGGGGGCCAACATTGCAACTAAACAGCAGTCACTGATAAGACAAAGTTAAAACAATTTCTGAATGCAGTTGTCTTTTTGCCTACATGTTATTTAGTTACTAGGCATGGAACTGTTTAAAAGTACTGTGCCTGATTTATTGCTGATGCAGTGTAAATTTATGTCAAGATTCAACTTACTGTATGAGTACTTCACTTCTTCCAGAGAGACAGGCCTCCTTGATTGACATCTCCACCTTGACGGAGTCTGATGCCTCTCATATACCTCCTCACATGATGCGACCTGGTCAGCCACCTCCCCATGTGGCCACAGTGAGTGTTCCCCGTCCAGCACCCCTCGTACAGTCAAATCTTCCTGGGGGGAGCCTCTCCACATCAGGACACTATCACCCCTCCCAGTCCATGTCCATGCCATCGACTCAGACCTCAGGACCAATGTCGGTTCAGATTGCTGAGCTGAACCGACAACACGAAGAAGCACAGAAGAGACTTCAGATCCTGTTTCAGCAGCAGGAGAGACAACACATGCAGATGGTGAGGCAACAGCAGCAGAAGTTTGATCAGCAGCAACAGGTGATGCAGCAGCTCAGCTCGGATCCACAGCCTGTTGGAGTGTCGAGTTCCACAAGACCAGGCCTAGAGCAGGGTGTACATGGGCTTGATAACGTCTCACATGGTGGAGTAAATGGACAGTCACAGTTTGACGCTCCGCCAAAGCCACAAGCCCAGGTAATATTATAAGACATGATTATGATTAAATCATCACCATCCATGAGAGTGTATGGCTGATTCTATTTTTATTGATGGCACTAGTGTTTATATTCTTTAAGCTGTGAAGGGGGAATAGGTAAGCACTATTAAAGGAGGAGGCTCAGGTAACACTATCTACGGAGGAGGCTCAGATAACTATTCACGAGGAGTACCCAAGTGGCAGTGGTAATGGAATGCGTTAGGTAACACAATGAATGGTACACACATTATTTGTGGAGGGGGAATAGGTGGCACTTTCCATGGAAGGGGAACAGGAATGATGTAACAATGAATTTATTTTGACCATTTATGGAGTTTACCAAAATCAGAAAGATAATATATATTTCCAATATTTTCCTTTTCAGTCTCGCATCCAGGGTCCGGTCTCCCCTCCCATCTCGCCTATCTCCGACCGATCTGACAACTTCACAGTGTTACAACACCTGCAGGAGAGACAGAGACAGGTTAGTGTTGATGCTGTTCTCTGTCAGGGATTGGGACTCAATTTAATCCATTAGTTTCTTAAACTGATGCATACACACATTCAGAGGTAGGATCACAAATTCCCCATACTTGTAAACATCAAGACGTCAATTCCCAGTTTGTCAGTGGCTTCAATTATGTAATTATTGCTACAGTGGCTTCAGTTATTCCACTATTGCTATAGTGGCTTCAATTATTCAACTGTTGCTATAGTGGCTGCAATTATTCAACTGTTGCTACAGTGGCTTCAGTGATTCAACTATTGCTATAGTGGCTGCAATCACTGCTATAGCAGCTTCAATTACTCCTATCTTCAATTATTCAACTATAGTGGCTTCAATTATTCAACTATTGCTATAGTGGCTTCAGTTATTGCTATAGTGGCTTCAATTATTCAACTGTTGCTACACTGGCTTCAGTGATTCAACTATTGCTATAGTGGCTGCAATCACTGCTATAGTGGCTTCAATTATTCAACCGTTGCTACAGTGGCTTCAGTGATTCAACTATTGCTATAGTGGCTGCAATCATTGCCATAAGGGCTACAATTCTTCGACTATTGCTATAGCAGCTTCAATTACTCAGCTATCACTATAGTTGCTTCAATTATTCAACTATTGCTATAGGGGCTTCAATTATTGCTATAGTGGCTTCAATTATTCGACTATTGCTATAGTAGCTTCAATTATTTAACTATCGCTATAGTGGCTATAATTATTCAACTGTTGCTACAGTGGCTTCAGTGATTCAACTATTGCTATAGTGGCTGCCATCATTGCTATAGTGACTACAATTATTCAACTATTGCTATAGTGGCTTCAGTTATTCAACTATTACTATAGTGGCTTCAATACTTGCAACAGGGGCTTCAATTATTCAACTATTGCTACAGTGGCTTCAGTTACTGCTGTAGTCGCTTCAATTATTCGACTTTTGCTATTGTAGCTTCAATTATTCAACTATTGCCATAGTGGCTTCAGTTATTCAGTTATTGCTATAGTGGCTTCAATTATTCAACATTTGCTATAGTGGCTTCAATTATTCAACTATTGCTATAGTGCATTCTCTTATTGCTATAGTGGCTTCAATTATTCAACTTTTGCTATAGTGGCTTCAATTATTCAACTATTGCTACAGTGGCTTCACTTATTGCTATAGTGGCTTCAATGATTCAACTATTTCTATAGTGACTTCAGTTCTTCAATTATTGCTATATTGTTCAAAAGAATCATATCCATGATTTATTCCATCCATTCCCTTATGATCTTAGCTGTGCTGTGCCATTTCCACTATAATACAAGGAATATATCAACCTGCACTTGATCTAACATATGAAACAAGGTTTGCTGAACAGTCTGCGAAATACTTTCCAACCTTTGCTTGCCAGTCGGGCTAGCTATGCCTGAAAGTTACTAAATAATCCACTAGCCCAAAATTTGAATGTAGAAACGAAGCAAAAGATTACAAAAAAGTAAAATACCATCTTTTATCAGACCATAATCTTGTATGATTTAAAAGTGTATTATAACTTAACATGTCGGACAGAGTGATATGTTTAAAAAAATGACCCCATGAAAATTCAGTAGCTAGTCGGGAAATTTACTGGCCCAACTGTAAGATTTTTACTAGCCACAGGCTAACAGACCAGTGGCTATTTCGCACACTGCACATGAATGTATTGATCCTTAAACATTTATTTCTTTACACTGCTATTCCTGCTGTGTGATGCATGTAGTTATCTGTGGACATTCTCTGCTTCAGTATGGTGGAGGTACAGGTCGGGAGATCACTGTGTCCCTCCCAGTCATGGATCTTGAGATGTCAGGATGGAGTCCATCTTAGTCTAAGACTTCCTGACCAGCCCATTGACAGGACATAAGACCTCACACACCTTCCCACCTTGACCGGCAGAAGTGGCTACAAGAAACACCATCATTCACACATCAGCTGGACATATGTGATGAAACATTGTCTTTTCCCTCCTTTATGTGACTGTTAGGGCTTAATGGATGGACGTAAGAGGCGACTAACCGTATCGGGTGATCAGGCTCGCTGGCTTGGTTGATACATGTCATCAGTTTCCAATTGCACAGATGGATGCTCATGCTGTTGATCACTGGATTATCTGGTCCAGACTTGATTATTTACAGACCGCCGCCATATAGCTGGAATATTGCTGAGTGCAGCGTAAAACTAAACTCACTTACTCACTAATGCCGGCAATGTGGTCTGACGCACTGATATTCGCTGCAGAGTTGTGGCCCTTAGGCATGCCAAAAACAAATTCTTGTGAGTTCAAGTCTCACTATTTTCTTTCTAGGTTTGTCAGCAGCACACCTGTACTCTTGGCTGTCACAGGGGGACCCATGAAGATTTGGGTTAGAATTGATCTTCAGTTACGCATGTTTGTCGTAAGAGGCGATTAACGGGATCGGGTGATCAGGCCTGCTGACTGGGTTGACATACTGTATATGAAGCTCTTTGTGATTTCAAACAAGCCGGTTGTTGTGAATGAGATGATTGAGTGTTAGTGACTATTCGCCCATGATGTACTGGTGAATAAAATCTTAATGAATAAATAAAATACTGCTGTATTATTTCTTTCCTCGAAGTCGCTTCACGGTAATCTGTTTTGTATCAAACCATGTCATGTGACCACTTCCATGGCGGCCACAACACACATTGCTGTTTTCGCTAATTCGCAATGGGATTTGGCTCATTATTTAATTATGTTTTGGGAAATCCATTACAGCGACAGTTAAGTATGATCAGTCGTCATTTTAAGATTCCCATTGATTTCTGTCTTCAAACGTGATGTGTTATGGTAACAACTCAGGGGCGAGCGTGGCTAGACTGAATGAATGACAGGTTTATTCGCTGGTATAAATTTTCGCTTAAAATGTTTTGTATGCCAAAAAGCCAAAATAAAACCTGCGCGAAATATAATACGTTTACAGTATGTCATCGGTTCCCAATTGCGTAGATTGATACTCATGCTGTTGATCACTGGATTGCTTGGTCTTGGTCCAGACTCGATTATTTAGAGACAGCGCCATATAGCTGGAATATTGCTGAGTGTGGTGTAAAACTGAACTCACTCACTCACTAATGTGGGAAACCTCACAGAGCAGCATCACTTCCAGCCTTGTTCCCACATGAGGCTGACGCCCCATTATACAGCTGGAATATTGTACCCAACAACATTAAATCTGATCCACTCCCTAAAGTAAACTCACTCACTCACTAATGTGGGAAACCTCACAGAGCAGCATCACTTCCAGCCTTACTCCCACATGAGGCTGACGCCCCATTATACAGCTGGAATATTGTACCCAACAACATTAAATCTGATCCACTCCCTAAAGTGAACTCACATCACTTCCAGCCTTACTCCCATATGAGACTGACGCCCCATTTTACAGCTGGAATATTGTTCCCTACAACTTTAAATCTGATCCACTCCCTAAACTGAACTCACTCACTAATGTGGGAAACCTCACAGAGCAGCATCACTTCCAGCCTTACTCCCACATGAGGCTGACGCCCCATTATACAGCTGGAATATTGTTCCCAACAACATTAAATCTGATCCACTCCCTAAAGTGAACTCACTCACTCACTAATGTGGGAAACCTCACAGAGCAGCATCACTTCCAGCCTTGTTCCCATGAGGCTGGCTTCCATTATACAGCTGGAATATTGTACCAAACAACTTTAAATCTGATCCACTCCCTAAACTGAACTCACTCACTCACTAATGTGGGAAACCTCACAGAGCAGCATCACTTCCAGCCTTGCTCCCACATGAGGCTGACGCCCCATTATACAGCTGGAATATTGTACCCAACAACATTAAATCTGATCCACTCTAAAGTAAACTCTGATCCACTCCTAAGCTAAACTCAACTCACTAATAATGTGGGAAACCTCACAGAGCAGCATCACTTCCAGCCTTGCTCCCACATGAGGCTGACGCCCCATTATACAGCTGGAATATTGTTCCCTACAACTTTAAATCTGATCCACTCCCTAAAGTGAACTCACTCACTCACTAATGTGGGAAACCTCACAGAGCAGCATCACTTCCAGCCTTGCTCCCACATGAGGCTGACGCCCCATTATACAGCTGGAATATTGTTCCCTACAACTTTAAATCTGATCCACTCCCTAAAGTGAACTCACTCACTCACTAATGTGGGAAACCTCACAGAGCAGCATCACTTCCAGCCTTACTCCCACATGAGGCTGACGCCCCATTATACAGCTGGAATATTGTTCCCAACAACATTAAATCTGATCCACTCAGTCCCTCCCTCACGCATGACGGTATCATGTTACATTACCATAGTTCATCTATGGCCTGGTCTGGAAGAAGCTTCTTGTTCACAGGTAGAACCATATTGAACTTATGACAAGGGTTCATTGGTGGGAAGAAATTTTCTTTTTGTATAAATTATGGTATTTATTTTAGAAATCCACCATCATTTGTAGGGTGGTGTAATGGCAAATAAATTGTATTGCAATATTGTGAGATACAGGTATCTGTTTTGTAATACGAATTATGATATATTGGGAGCTAAAATGTTTGTTGAGTGACACAAATTGTGCATGTAGATGATATTATCTATATACTAAGGCTCTGTTAATATGTGTCAAGATAGCAGCTGTCTCAAAATTAGGTGGGATAGTTTGGGATTCTATCTTTATTTTTAATACAGGTATGTAAAGTATGCTGTTTTGCCAATCAATTACAAAGGGAAACATCAGATGTGATTGGAAGTCTGTATAGATTTTAATTTAAACCATTCAGTTAATCACAAGTAGTTTTTTACCCAATATAACAGCATTCAGAAAGAAATATTGCAATATGTATCGTTTGAAAAGCGTATTGTTGTTTGCCGATATTACTGTGCAGTACTCATGAATCCAGCTGAACACAGTTGATGTATTGGAGGCGGTAGGGTAGCCTAGTGGTTAAAGCGTTCGCTCGTCACGCCAAATGTCCGGTTCGATTCCCTACATGAGTACAATGTGAGAAACCTATTTCTGGTGCCATATTTCTGTGACTATTGGGATCTGAAAGGTGAGGTGAGGTGAAATTGGGTTTAACGTCGTGCTTGAGAATATTTCGCTCATATGACGACGTGCATGCGTGTGTGTGTGTGTGTATGTGCAGCTGCTTGTACTAGCCCAGGCTTAAGCTGGTTTAATAGTGCTAGCCCACTGAGATACCATGCCACAGTGAAGCATGAATACCCCACTCAGACACATTATACTGACTCCGAGCCGACCAGTTCTTGTTGTACCCATTAAGGCCAAGCGCCAGGCAGGGGTCAACAAGTACCATATTTTAACATCTTTTGGTATGACGCGGTCGGGGATCGAACCCACGACCTTCTGCTCTCCGGGCGGACGCTCTAACCACTACACCACGGAGGCGGTCTGAAGCAGATTATTAGCGACTTGCAGCTGTGTAAATTTTGTGGCGTATTTATTACAAAAACATTTAACATTTTGTACATGTGTAGTACTTCTTAACTGCTGAACAAATGATTTACTAATATTTGATTATTTAATGTTGACATTTTGTTCATCTGTGTAGTTATTCTTTACTGCTGAACAGTTGTTATTTTGTTTGGCTAGCTGTATCGGTTCATGAAGATTTATTGTTGACAGTTGGTAATACCAAAGTTGTGATAATTGTCTCACAATGGTAAGACATGATAACATGGGATAATACTGACAGTGTGGTCCAGCTTGTGTAAAGGTGAAGTATTAATTCATAGAACATACTTCAAACAAAATGTCAAATGCAGAAAATTGTGTCATGGTCTGAACAATATGCAGATAATATCTTGTGGCATTATCCCAATGTATATATCCCGGGTTCGATTACCCACATGGGCACAATGTGTGAAGCCCATTTCTGGTGTACCCCGCCGTGATATGGCTGGAATGTTGCTAAAAGTGGCATAAAACCATATTCACTCACCTTTATTGTCTTTGTAATTAGGAAGTCCTTTCCTAATGTTCCAAGAAAAGGTCTTCTAACTTGCTGAGAGCTATCATGCACATGTTTGGGTTTTTGTAATGCAGATCTGCTCCAAACTTGTGTTCAAAGGAGATCTATTTATTGGTTGTTGATTTGAAACTCATGAGTGAGAGTAATTATTTATACACTGATGTGAATCCTTTGCAGTGTTATTAATTGAACATGGCAGTGTAAGGGATGCAATAACCATAGAAATTAAAAGTTGGATATTAAAACGCCATGGTTTGGACACACCCATTGATTTGCTGCTGGGACATTATATAGTTCAAGCCAGGAACATTTATCATAGACTAATTGTATAACCATCCTTTCCTGACATAAATATTGTATCCTCAACTCTCTGTATTTTCACACATCATGAAAACTCCTTTTCTATGATAAGCAGATGAGAGGACTATATGCCTTGATTTTAAGGCACTTTTCCCCACCAACAGACTTGAGTTCTGCCTACACTCGCATTTAGGACCAACTTCAATGTTATACATATTTTTTAATGTGTATGTAACATTGTTTAACCCTGGTTGCTAACCCTAACCCATGTGGAGGATACGTACAAGCACAGAACAATTAGAATGATGTGTAAATTGCTCATACTGAAGTGTGTTTAGAGTTATCTGCTCTTACTAAAATGTGGTGAGAGTTGTCTGCTCTTGTCTTGTGAGGTTTTAAAAGTAGAATGGGTTCACAGTAACCCATGTCTATGAAGACTACCATGCTGATAGGGTGCTACCACTTGGAAGTGTGCTGTCAGGTCTTTGCTTATGCTGCCTAATACTACTGGTTGGTCTGGTGAATGATGTGTGGCATTATATACAATGTTAATAAGAGACTGAAAACATCAGTGTTCATTCTAGATTTGTCAGAATGTTAGTTTACATATGTTTGTTTATGACCAATTTTGTAAAATATGAATAATAAATAACATTAACCTTTTCATGAACGTGTTCTTTCTCCATTACAGTGGAAGCTGTAAAAAACATGTACAGTGGAAGCCCCCTAAACCGGCATTCGTTGGGACCGGCCAAAAATGCCGGTATAGAGGGCGTGCCGGTTTAGTGAACTTTTCCCATCCACTCGCTTGACTGGTCTAGCCATCTTGACACGGTGAGCGACTGACAAATTGTGACACGACAATTAATTTATGATACAACTGACACGTGTCACTCACCAATTCACCTCACCTACCTATAAGCCTAATCCTTTTCCGTACACTTTTTATCAGGCAACATCAAATGCTGATGGCAATCCACTGTGTTGTTAATACACGTTCAGCCAATCAACAGGAGAGCCGAGATGCCGGTTTAGAGAGCAATCAGGTCGCTGTCACTTCCGGATCTCG